GTTACGTGATGGGATCTGTTAGCCAAAGGCTGTCAGCTTCGTTCAGACAGAGTCTCCAAATGCAGATTCGCATCCTGGATAGCGCAGTCGATCAGCTGCCATGAAATCTAATAGGCTAAGACTAATTATGCAGCATAAATCTGACGTTTTTATGCTTATTTGCTCCTGTTTCCCTCTAAGAGGATAGATACGCGACGGTCTGACACGGTGATACATACTGACAATGGCTAGAAAACACAGGGATACGGCTTAGCGTTTGGAGACTCTAGACCACAGAACAGCGATAACCTGGATTGGATCCTGAACATATGTGGAGGCAAACAGGTTTCATATGGCATCTAGACTGCATCTATAAATACAATTCCAGATTTGCAACCCCCGCGCAGCGGGGGTTGCAAACCTTGGAAACGGTACCAAACTGTCCGCTATGATCCTTACAAAATAGTTAGGACGTCTCTCCACCTCGTATCAGATGCCATTTGATTACAAGCATGGCGCATTAATGCTTAGGTCGGCGATTGAATTCCGGATATCTCCATCTAAGCATTCTTTCTTATCTTGCTTGCGTTATTAACGCTGTGAAGACTTTGTGCCGTAGATCTTAAACTAAAAGAGACCGGGACGCTCAAATGGAGGTCCTTCTCAGCAGCATAATCCTTAGCCTTGTTGAGATTAAGTGCAGGCTATACTGTGTATGCACTGTAAGTCTTACCTGTTGAGAAACAATACTCCTTGAAACTGTAGTACTGATAAGTGGCAGTGCACAATGCTGACCTGAAAACATAGTATGGGCCGAGACCCGAAAACATGATTTGGGCTGAGACTATACCGGTCGAGACTATACGGGCCGAGACTATACGGCTATACGAAGGAGTTGTTTTTACTGAGCACTCGGCGCAGAAGCTAGCTCGTATCAAAAAGACCACACCCCCACAACGCAAGGATAACAGTTAAACTTTGTAGAAGTCGGCTGTTTGCTTCCTCTAAAGTTACCCAGGGTTTCCCCCGCATGCTTCCTCTCATCAACTTCACAGCATGATAAATTGTGCATCACTGTTAATCAATGTACACCCCGTTGTCAAGAACACAGAAGATGTGCTCTAGTAAGTACTGCTGTATACCATACAATACAGAAACGCTGTCGGTTTGGAAGTTATCGCTGTGCTCAGCTGTACGTGCGAAATTTAGCCCCACCGCGCTGACTAGATACAAGGGGGGAGCATGTGTAGATAGGTCAGTGGGCCAGCGAATCTTCTACAAATTCAACCATTTTCTATATAAACTTCGTCCGTAAACTGAGTCCTACAACCCATCCGCATATGCCTCCCCCTTGTAGATACGAGGTCATTCGTACTTCAGTCAGAGGTCGGACCGACAACATAATCGTACCATACTGTTTAGGTATGAAAGAGCTGCAGGTCAGTAAGCGGGATCTAGATTTCAGGTCCCCGTGGTCTACACTTACCCCTCCCTCCTGGACGAACTGTTAGCTGTTTTCTCGTGCAAGAGCCACCGCTAGGGTTTTTGTCCAATCTAATATTGTACTATTTAGAAACCCTTGAACTGGCTCTTGCACTAGAAACGCTAACGATTCGTTCATGCGGGGAAAGTGTAGATGAAGACCGAGTCGTTCCCGATCTACGTCCTTGTTTGCTTACATGGGCGACACACATGAAGACTCTTATTCAGATACCTGCGTGTATGTTAGTGACCTAGATACCTTCATAGGTAGGTAGAAATGAACAATTCGCATACAGCCCGTTGTGCTACTGCTCTTTTCCCCTTTATCTAGGTACGTGGGCGAAAAGGTCTTGGGAATTCCTCTAGCGGTGGGAGTGGGCCGATAAGGCGGATGTTCACGGAAATTTGGACTGTGGCTTGACGCACATGACTAAGCACTAGGCGCAACACCGTCCGCGAAGCTTTCGGCATAGCTAAACCTTACCCAACGACTCTCACGAACCCCATCCATTGACTCTTCATCCGCCACTCTACGGCCCGTCGAACCCTCAACATCGCAAATATGGTTGCTATGTACAACATCATGGGCCGCCAGGTCGGATCGCACATCGTACGTTCCCCGGGAGAAAAGCTTGAAGCTCTCAACCCGCGCATCACCCCGGGCGAAGTTTTGGGTCGAGAGGAATTGGGGCTGACTAACACCGCCCACAGCTCGCCATCGCAACCCTCACCGTAACCATTGGCGGCGCCGTGCTTGCCACCGGCGGCAAGAAGGCCGAGGCCCCGACCTCGCCTCCCATCAACGCGAAGAGCAAGGACGAGGAGAGCTTTGTAAAGTACGTCGACGCTATTTTACATCTTCCGCGATGAAAGGGAACGGACGTATACGGCTGTTTCTCGATATCAACATGTGTAGAGAGTGTTGGGGACTGATTAGTTCTACAGGCAATACATTGAGAAGGCGGCGGATAAGGTGCAGGGAAAACAAGCTTGAGATGGGCACGAGGCATGGAGGGGGAGAGGGAGAAAAGGACAGTCTGCGCGATTGATCATCGCATGTGACGTGGAGGATGATTTGGGGACGAAGGCGAACTGTAGATACGACAAATGTACCAACAGCATGCATTGGAACGAAGCATCCGGAAAGAATCTTCATGCACAGCGTTCTCTTCACGTGTCGGAAAGCGACTGATGAGCAGCATTCGTATATGTCTACGCTTTTGACACGCAGTACGCTGCCCTGTCGTAGAACCACGCTGATTACTCGCGCATGGTCAAGTTCTAAGTATTTGCAAGCACGCGACAGGCTTTCAGAAATCCTACGACATTGGCCTAGCCTCCAATCGCATTGAAAGTGTGCCGCGATCGGCCGAACTGCTCCCTCTAGATGAGATTCCAAATGTGATGTGACGCATTCGTGCCATCGCAAACATGACGGCATGTGGCGACGTCACTAGCCAGACTACGAACTTTTGATGTACTTAGGCATAACTATATACTGCGTGTCCAACAAGCGAGAAAATCCTTTTCTTGCTCTAAAAATTATCTTCCAACATGTCCTCCTCAAACTACTCCTTCAAGTGTGCACTCGTAACCGGCGGAGGCGGCGGCATTGGCAAAGCCCTCGCCCACCAACTCATCAAAGACGGCAAGAAAGTCATAATCTGCGGGCGCACGGAATCAAACCTCCAGTCTGCGTCAAAAGAGATAGGCGCAGCAGCATACTACGTCCTCGACACGGGCGCCGTCTCCTCTATACCCGCCTTCGTCGAAAAGTTGACATCCGAACACCCCGAGCTCGACTGCCTAATCAACAACGCCGGCGTGCAAAGACCTTTGGATGTCAACAAAGACACTGCGGAGGATTTTGCAAGCAAAGCAGACCAAGAAATCGACATCAACATCCGCGGCCCCATGCATCTCGCTCTGCACCTACTCCCCCATCTCAAGACAAAGCAACACCCACTCATCGTCAACATATCCTCCGTCCTCGGCTTCGTGCCTGTCAGCATCCAAAACCCCGTGTACAACGGGACGAAAGCGTTCGCGCATTTCTGGTCCATGGCGCTGCGCCAACAGCTCCTCAATACTAATGTGAAGGTGGTGGAGATTGCACCGCCGACGGTGGCGACGGATCTACATCGTGAGAGGGAGGATCCGGACGATAATAAGAAGGAGAAGAATCAGGGGGCTTTGAGTGTGGAGGAGTTTGTTGATGAGGTTAGGGGGAAGTGGAGGGGAGGCGAGGAGTGTATTGGGGCGGGGATGGCGGCAAAGATTGTGAAGACTTGGGATGAGGGGATGGGTGGGGTTTGGAGGGACATGGTGAAATAAATGGGAAGCTGAGTTGAGGTGGTTTGATAGTGTCAAGCCATTTCAGTTCCTCGTGATACACTTATTGGTTGTATGACGTACATGTCGTGATGTTCAAGATGGTGTTGCGGAGTACCCGCGCACGAGCACCACGAAGTCGCGCTCGGGCCATGTTGTTTACACATCCCACTTCCTATCGCACGTCGCGAGCTAGCAACAGCACAACAACACCACGACACAAACTTGCGCGCGCACCACCAAATCGCACAAAATGGCGCCCCGCAGTGCGATCGCAAACTACTCCTTCACCGTCGACTCGGGCTCCGACGACGACGAGCTCAACGCGCTGCCCACACCCGAATCCAACGCCGAAAACAGGGCGCCGGCGAAGAAAGCGCGTGGAAAAGCCGCGCAAACCAAAGTGACGGCGACTGCGACTAAGGCGACCGCAAAAGGAAGGCCGGCGACGCGTCGGGTCAGCGGCTCGAGCGTGTTGGGCGTGAAGAAGACGAGTGCGGCAGTCGTGAAAAAGGCGCCTGCCAAGGGCGGGCGCAGAGCCCTTGCTGAGCGCAACGCCGTCAATGGCAGCGATACGGAAGAGGTGGACGATTTTGAGGAGGACGTCGCGCCACCTGTCAAGGCCACTAAGAGAGGTCGACCAGCGAAGGCACATGAAGAAGTCGTAGAGGCACCGGCGCCCGCGAAGAGAGGGCGCAAACCGGCGGCGCAAGAACCTGCGCCGAAGAAGGAGCCGAAGGCGCGGACGAGACGTGTGGCAGCAGAGCCCGAGCCTGCGACAATTCCCGAGACGCAGCCTGAGCCGGAAGAAGATCCCATGGATATCGAGGATTCGATAGAGGTGGATGAGATACCGGAGAGCATGCCGCCGCCGCCGCGACCATCGGCACGACGCGCACAGGTACCACCAAGCAGGGCGCGACAGACTTCAGCTGGTGCACGCCGAGCGGGAAGCGCGTCGGATTCTGAGCGAGATCCGGTTCTGCGGCGGAAAGTCGGCGATTTGACGAGGAAGCTGGAGGCTATGACGGTCAAGTACGAGACGCTCAAGGAGGCGGCGTCGTCAGGGAAGGAGTCGAACTTTGAGCAGCTGCGGAAGAGGACTGAGCAGACCGCAAAGGGTGAGTTTGGCGGCATTGAAGTGGTCGATAGAATCTAACAGCATTCCCAGACCAAGACGCAGTCATCAAAGCCCTGAAACAGCAAATGGCAGAACTCCAGTCCCGCACCTCCGACCTCCCCTCAATGAAGAAGGAAATCGCCTCGCTCTCCAAAGAAAACACGCGCCTCGCATCCGAAAACAAGAAACTCTCCGACTCAGTCACCGCCGCGCAAAACGAGAGCAAAACACTCTCCAACAAACTCGCCGCCGCGCGCTCCTCGCAGCAGCCCGAGTCCAAGAACGTCCCCGGAAGCGCCGTGAAGCCCAGATCAAACGGCGTCGTATTGCCAGGTACGGCGGAGGCTGCAAAGGAAGCGCAACTCGCAAAGCAGAAAGTCGATCTGTACAGCGACTTGACCAACCTGATCATCCTCGGCATGAAGCGCAACGAGGACGAGGAAGACGTGTATGATTGTCTGCAGACTGGAAGGAATGGAAGTACGTCGAAACCCCTGTCCCCTCTCCCATCGCACCCACTAACACATAGCCAGCTCTTCACTTCCACCTCACTGTCGCCGCCTCCGCCGATTCCGCATACGAAGACACAGAATTCGTGTACCAGCCGCTCCTCAACGACCAGAGAGATCGCGAGTTACTCGATTTACTGCCGGATTACTTGACCGAGGAGATTTGCTTTCCGCGCGGGCAGGCGGCCAAGTTTTATTGCAAGGTCGTGGATAGTATGAGTAAGAAGATTGTGTTAGAAGAGGAGGATGAGTAGGCGAGGGATGGGAAGAGGTGTTTGGGAGTTTTGGGTTATGATGGGTGGGGTGGTAGGGTTGGGACTGGGAGTGCTATGATACCTAGCGCTTTTGAATTACTTCTAGCTTCTATGAAGTCTTGGCCTGGGCAGATTGATACCTTGAATATGATTTTCCTGTATGTTTTGCAATATGTACAAGGGATCACAACATCACAAGTCAATATCGTAAGTGTTTGACCATATACAAGTCTCATGTCATTAAGCTCGTCATCCATGTCCAAGACGACAAGGGCTGCTATCTACACACCACTTTCCGCACCCAAAACGCCATCCCAAAAAATAGCCCATCTAGGCAGGTATCATCAAATCATTACCCGAATCCCCTTTCTTCTCCTTATCTCCCCACACTGCTCCCACCCCAACTACTCGGCGCCATGCTACTCATCTTACTCTTAATGCTACTGCCACTCATCCAACTTGTCAGCCCACTCCCGCCTCCCCATCCTAATCCGAACTTCGCCTTCCAACCGCCCAACCTGCGCCCGCCACCAAGATTCGTCCTGCCTTTCTTATCCTCCATGCGATCCTCCCACTTGAGCTTAGTCTCCATGATCTTGTGGATCCAGTTGATGACGAGGAATGTCGTGCTGCCGATGGCTCGGAAGAACGCCAGCCCGGCGACGGCCCAGAGGATGAATGTCAGGTAGAAGTTGTTGGTTACGGCGCGGTTGCCGTATGCTTCGGACACGGCCATGGCGAGGATGGCGTTGCTGATGAGCCAGATGACGACCATGTACGTGCGCACGGCGCGGTAGTAGTCTTCCTGCTGCTGTGATTCCGAGATAGGTGGTTCCGGAACTTCGACGCGATCGCGAAGGTTGCGCAGCGCCTCGTCATAGCCGGAGTCGATGTCAAGTTGCTCGCTGGGCATTTCGAGCTCGACGACGTTTTTGGTCTTGGCTTTCGCATCTCCGAGATCAGTTTTAGCTACGTTATCACCTTTGGTACCCCAGGTGATGTCGTGGGTGTTGCAGAAAGCGTAGACCTGGAGGGTTGCAATGTACGAGGGAAGCAAGGCGAAGTATTGCGCTGACGAGGTGAACATATGCCAGGGGTCGAAGTACATGAAGGACATGACGAAGTAAAGGCCGATGGTTGTGGCGGACGAGATGATCAGGTTGGTGAAGACGTTGTTGCCGAGCGTCTTTGGGGCTTTGGGGTCCTTGAGTTGAATTACGACGATGTAGAAGGAGGCAAAGGTTGTGTAGGCCATGATGACACCGTACATGATCATACTCCAGAAAAACATCTTCTTGGCGCCTTGTGGTCGATTACCCATGGAGAGGATGAATTGCATGCAGATGAGAAGTGTGCAGGTGTAGCGAAGGATGTAGAAGACGTATTTCCCAATGTTGTGGCCGAAAGGATCCATTTTCGGGTCGGCGAGTGAGCCGGCGACGAAGAAGAAGGTCAGGTAGAAGTTGGCGAGCGAGAAGAATGTGAAGAGCAGTTGCACGAATTGGTAGACGAATTCGATGTGCAGCAAGATCTTGCGCCAGATGGTGTGGTCGGTCGACCAGACTTGTTTGAAGTGGAGGAGGGAGTAGACAGCAGCGAAGAAGGCTCCGTTGAGCCAGCGACGACGTTGCGAGATGAACTCGGGAACAGAGTCTGTGGATATTAGCTAACATCATATAGAGTTTGGTTCACCAATTACCAGGCACATCAGTCTCTCCTGTCGCCGCCTTGACATACTTCAAGACCCACTGCTCACTGCGCTTCGCGACAAGCTCCCAACAAAGAATACGATCTTCAGCCAAGTACATGTTTGCGGTAAACACATCAGCATCTTGGCCGTGCAGCGTCTCTCCCTTGAAGTATTGGCTGAGGGGACCATGACCTGTGTGATCGTTTTGCAGAGCGTGGTATCGATATGCCGACAGGGCACCAGGCAACACAGTAATGTAGCCAAACACCGACTCAAGCGGCTTGTCGAGGATATTCGACATCTTGTACTCAAAGTTCTGCGACGCAACAAGCGGGTTAAGAAGTCCGAGCCACGCTTTGCCTTTGCCGGCCTTGATCTCGCCTGCAGCTCCAGCCACGGATGAGTCTGTGTCGAACGCCTTCCAGAGATGGTACAGAGCCTTGGGGCCAGGCTTCGTTCCCACATCGAGCAGAATGCACACATTGGGGTTCAGTGCGCGACCAAAAGCGTTGAAGAACCAACGATGCGAGTTGAGCTTCTTGGAGTTGCGCTCCTTGAGACAGAAGATCATCTGACAAGGCACAATGCCCTTCTCGGCTCCCTTGAACTTCAGGTCCGAATCCAGGGAAACCTGGGTGGTGTACTCGTACACGTGGGCTGTGACCTCCTTCTGGTTGACGTGGTTCTTCGCAATGCCTTCCTGGAAACAGCCCATGGCGGCAATCGCATCAAGCGTACGAGGGTGCACTTTTCCTCGCCCGTCGGAGATGATGCAGACGACAATCTTCTGCCATCCGTCCTTGCCCCATGTTCTCGACTTCATACGCGAGCAGAAGTGGCTGATGTTTTGCATAACTCCGTGCATCGTCCGGGTGAAGTCAATCTCGTTCTCGTTGTACATGGTGATGCAGATGAAGAGCTCCGTCTCGCGCGCGTTACCGATGTTTTGTCGTAATTGGTAGCCGCGCTCCACAAAGTCGTCTGGATCGCAGGTGACGGCTGTGTACCGCATGTGGGTAAACTCGATGTCGTCGCGGCGCGGCAGGAAACTGTACAAGATGGTCGGAATTTTACACTCCAAGATGAGTTCACCGTTGATCAAGCGGACCTCCTTTTTGGTCATGACGGCGTCTCGCGCACCACGTCGTGTCTGTGCGCCATCTGGAGCAGGGCCATAGTGCTCGACCTTTTCTTTCTCGTCGACTGTGGTGTATACGTCTGTATAAGTGTCGTCGGACATGTATGAAGCGCGCGAGTGCAGGTCGGGCCGGCTCTCTCCTCGCTCAGTGAAGGGGTCGTCCTCGTCAATGGGTATCGAAGTCATATCGGTCATGTCCATGGTCATTTCAGAGTCACGCGAAACCGGCCGCGCAGCACCAGAGAACAGCGGCGCAGGAGGTAGTGGCCGCTTGGGGCTGCCTGGTCGGCCTCCGCCATATCTCGATGACGGAGTGCCCGGTCGCGGACTGCCATTAAGATCTGCTGGCTCATACGAGATTGATGAAGCCGCTGGTCGCGAGTAGTCGACTGATGTGCGGGTGGGTGAATACGACCGGTCAGGTGATAATGGCCGTCGGTACGGCACATATGAAGGCGAGTCTTCTGATGGCGGCGGCATATTCGGTGCCGTGTCCATGACAGAGGGTGTCCGTGACAATGACGAGACTGTGGATTGATATGCGCGCGTGGGCGAATGTGGTCTGTAGAAATGGGACATGGGTAAGCCTGGGTTCTTCTCCAGATTCGAGTGCTTCTTCGACTTTGCAGGGTCGACGAACCGAACATTGAGCGTCTTGCGGCGCGGCATGGACTGCGTCGAAGGAACGGCAGCAGCGCTAGAGCTCGAGTTCAGCGCATCGCCCGCCTCCCGCAAGAAGTCGACGATGCCCGACTCGGCGGCCTTTTGCTTGCCAACCTCGGAAGAAGTCATGCGCGCGCCCAGCGCTGCCGTGGTGCTATTCGCGCCCGACATGGATGAAGCCGACTCTTCGAAAGAGGGTCTTCTGCGTGGAGGGGCAGATGAGTATGGAGTGGAATGGAACGACGGAAAGAGCAGAAAGAATGAACAACGTGGGAGAGATACTCACGGCATGTAGCTGTGGCTGTCGTCGACGTTTGTCAACAAGCGCATTGTTGAGCCTCCTTGCATGTTGGGAGAGAAGCCATCCTCGTCATCATATGCGGGTGGCCGCCCGTAGTGTGTACCGCCCGGTGTTGTGGAGCGCTCCATGGCGACTTGTGCGACGGTGTTGTGATTGCGACAAGACGCGCCAAAAGGGAATCGCGTGAATTGGGTATCGTCGAACGCAGCGAAATAGTCAATTAGGGGTCTGCAACAATGTAACGAATGCGCCTCAGGAATGCGATATGAATGTCTCTCGATGACGGGTGCGGTTTGCGTGCGGTGCAGTGCAAAGGTTCCGGCTGCTGCGGGCTTGTTTAGTTGCCGGACGTTGGCAGGGCAACACGCCAGGCCACCCATGCTGCGGCCCGTGGGGCTGAAACATGGACACCGCCAACACCGGATTTACATGCAACTATCAGATTGTACGACTTCTTCCATGTCGTGACATGCATCGTCTTCGTGATTCCTTTTTGGCAGTTCGCTATGGTTGCCATGTGTTGTGCAGGCGTGGAACTCGACGCGACTGGGTTGATCGACATCAACATCCAAGTCTGCCTTGCAAACAAGAGCCTCCAATAGTGTACTCCGGTCCTCACACCATCGTCGTCAGCGCTTAGCTCCTCTTTTGCGTTACCTGGCCGACGTTACCTGAACTACCTCTTACTCTCTATGGTAGCCTATCTGTTAGCCTCACTTCACGTCACGCAAGCGGACAAAACTTCGGATGAAAGCTACTACGAAGTACCACAACGCTACCACAACAGAAACTACCCCACAAACACCCCTCTGAAATACGTCTCAACACCCGCGTATCCCTCCTCATCCAGACTATCAATATGTCCAACATACTGATCCGGTCTCGCCACTACCACACATCCACTTTCCCTGCTGACTCCGTACCCCTTGTACGCATCTGCAAAGCCCTCGTGATAGCTCTCGTCATCCACATATACCGAGTCGTAGTCCCAGCCCGTCTTCTCATCGTACGGATGCAGCACATCGGGAAAGTCGCGTAGGAGTTCTACCTCGACGCGCTTGGACGAATGAACAGTAAGGACGTGTATGTCCTTGTGTAAATGCTTCGCCAGGAATGCCGAAGCCGTGAGTTTCGCGCAGAAAGCTTGCAGCCTCGCCTGTTGCTTCTCCTCCACAACATCGCCGGCAAAAACAATGATCCTGAAGCGTCCGTCGCTCTTCAGCTTGGGCTGGAATTCCCACGGCCGCGCGTCGGATTGGTTGAGCACTTTGTAACTGGGGAAGCGCATGCCGAGTCTGACGTTCGTCGCGAGATCCTGCTTGCCCACGGCTTTCTCGGAGTGCGAGGAGGAGACGTCCGTCCCGTCTCCTTCCTCCGTCGCATCGCCGGGTTTGGCTACGAGCATGCTCGTCCCGTAATCTACGCTCAGCCCGCTCGCGAATAGGTTCCCCTTGAGAAACGCGGCCTTGAATTCCTCCATGCTCACGCCCTCGGCATCCATGACATCTTTCGCCGGGCGCCCGCTAAACAGCCGACTGAACTTATGATCGAAAGCGATGAGATCCTTCGCAATCCGTCGCCTCTCGCTTTGATACGTCTTGAGAATCTCCGGCTTCGCAAGCCCCTTGACAACCATTCCAATCTTCCATCCCAGATTGTAACTATCCTGCATACTAACATTCATACCCTGTCCGGCCTTGGGACTATGCGTATGCACCGCATCGCCCGCCAAAAACACTCGCTCCTGGTAGCTGAAATCCGTGCCCACCCGTTGGCCGATCTGGTACGCCGTCCACCAGTCGCAGTACTCGTAGGCGAGCGTGTACGGCGCGAGAATCTTCTGCGCGGCGCGGATGATGGTGTCGGGCGTGATTTGGCTGCGGTCGGCGCGCCCGCTGGCGTCGGGCTTGATTTCGGTGAGTTGGATGTAGAGGCGGACGAGTTTGTTTTCGCGGGGGATGACCATGAGGGAGCCCGAGGTGGCGGAATGCACGGCGCAGCGCATGCGAATGTCGGGGAAGTTTGTGAGCGGGATGATATCTGTATATCCATATGAGCGCCATTTACATCTCACCCAATGGAGGGGTGTAGTTGTAGGGAGAGGGGATGTGGTATACCTAGCACTCCCCAAATGTAATCCGTCGGTTCACCCTCGAGTTGAAAGCCCAACTGTCGCCTAGTCCAACTATGCGCCCCATCACAACCGACCATATACTTCGCCTGCACAACCTCCGTCTGCCCTTCCTTCTCCCTACTCCTCCCGATCAAATCATCAGTATCATCTTCAGCAAGATTACTCCTGAACAATCCATCACTCACGCCTGACGCCTTACTCTGCGCAGGCTTCGCTTCTTCCTCGCTCAAGTGCCTTAGTTGGACTGTAATCGGATAATTGTCCGCGCTGTGGTCGGCGCATGTATCTGCGATGTGGAGGGATTCGGGCAGCACGCCGCGCTCGACGTTGAGGCAGCCCTTTGAATGTTTCTTGATGTGGTCGAGGAAGAAGCGCTCGATTCGGCCTTGGTGAAGGACGATTTCCGTGAAGCGAGAGAGGCCGACGGGCACGTCGGGGACGCGGTCGGAGCGCCGGATGAGACCGTCTTCACCGGGGTTCTACTCAAAATTACATTAACATGGCCAATTCCATCTGGATAGAGGAAGAGGAGGAGAAGCTTACCCACATACAAAACTACACACCCAAAGTCAGCTAAACTCCATCACATGACATCATCTCCGCGATGTAAAACAAACTTACCTCAAGCAAATGATTCGCCTCCTTGACGGCACGATCTGCAAACCCAAAACTATCGAATATCTCTAGACTGCGTAGTTGTAAGCCATCCGCCTGGCCCGCGTAGATCTTGCTTCCTCTCTTATCCACGATGCGCGTGGTGATGCCCATGCGCGCCATCCACGTGGCGAGCATCATGCCCGCAGGCCCAGCACCGACGATAAGAACGTCACATTTGGAGGTAGGAGCTGTCATAGCGATGCCCCGCACTGAGATGTTAGAAGCGCGACGTCTAGGAAACGGTTGATGCGTTGAGAGATTGAGGACTGAAGTGGTAATATATTCGAAAGCAAAACTACCGCATAAGAACGGTACATCCTGGCAACGTTAAAGCTGCGGCAGTCTCTTTCGGCGTCACAAGTGGTTGTTCGTCGCGCAGAGCTCCAAGCTACCCCACAACGATGACAGCTGCTGAGTCGGGCCGGATGACGCGCTGCATCACTCCAGGTTATCTGATTCGTCGGGACCGTACAGGTGGAGTTGAGTTATGGTGGGGTTTTGTCAGGACTTTGTAAGGCACGTCTAATCCTGGTGGGGAAGCTAGGGTTGAGGAGATTGACGTCGGCTATCGGTAGAGTGTTGTCGCGTAATGCTTAACGATCTGTAAGTCATCACAGGATGGTAGATCTCAGATGTGTTCAGGGAACGCATGTCCACTCGCCAGATGTAGAAAGAGTTGCGTGGAGCGCTGAGATTTACGCTCAGGATTGCAGCATTAACGTTGCATTGGGTATCGTTGTTTCCATCCGTCTACAGGCCATCCTATACAAGACCAACTGTACTGAGATCTACAGTCTTGCATCTACTGTAAAATCGGGATGCTCTCCAACTGCGACATCAAAACGATCCTAGGACGGGGGCCTTGCTTCGATATCGCTGACCCTGCCCACCTTATCGCTTTCCTTTGCTCGCCTCGCACGCCCTGGTAAACACTTGCAGCAATTCCATAAAGTCGCAAACATTCATCGACTCGAATACTCCAGTGTTGTAAACCTTCAGATCTGTTCCACGCGGGCTCTTGATGCCAAATGCTATCTTAGCAAGGAAGCGCGGGTCGTCCCGAACACTAATCTTGTCCAGAACCTTCTGAACTTTCGCTGGATCCGGAGGCAGCGGTGGTTCGTTGGGCAGCACGACTTGAGCATGAGTCTCGCACCATGTACAATGACCGCAATTTACTGGGGCATGGCTGCCAGTCTCGCCAAAATAGCTTGCCAGCGCGCGCGAGAAGCACTGCTTATCTGTGATCAGATCAATGAGGGCTTTGGTACGGTCCAAGTTCATCTTTTCTGTCGCACCCATGCCTTCATCGAGCTGGTTGATGATTTCATCGATCTCTTTCTTTGTGGACGGCAGACGTCGCTCAAGTCTGAACATATTTCGAACTCCTTCAGTCTTCAACTCGATTGCACCCTGCTCATTCCACTGATTGAGCTTGCGGACCAAGTCTGCCCGTTCCATCCGAGAGGTATTGGCAAGGTCGTCTACCGCGACATGCGTCCACTTTGTTGCTTTGACGGAAGCTTTCTTGATGACGTTCGCTGCTGCAGTGGTGTCGTTCTTGATGGTATTTGCGTCTTTGGTGGCGTACTTGTAGGTACTATAGAGGGTTCCGGCAGCGCGAAAGAGTTTGTAATGTAGTTCGAGTTGAGCGTAAATGATCCCGAGGACGATGGCGCTAATGTCGACTTCCCTAGCCTGCGTGTACAAAGATACTGTAAAAGTCTCTCCGACCTTCAATTTCTTATTCGCAGGCGAACATATGTCTTCGAGCAAGAGCCGGAGCGATCGCAAAGAGGGCCTTGCTCCATAGGTGAAGATGTTGCGGAGATGGAAATCTTTTGTTGCGAGGTAGAACAGGCAAACACTAGGCTTCCCGTCGCGGCCAGCTCTGCCAATCTGCTGACTATAACTTTCGATTGAATCTGGAATGTCGAAGTGAACAATGTTGCGGATATCTGGCTTGTCGATTCCCATCCCAAAAGCAATCGTGGCAACTACAATCATGTCTTTGCTTGCAAGAAACTCGTCTTGGGTCTTGGAGCGCACATCAGGAGTCATACCGCCGTGATACGGTTTAGCCTTGAACCCTCGCTGGTTCAAGTCATCCGCCAAAGATTCGGTGTGCTTTTGTAGGGTGACGTACACAATGGTCGGGCCAGGATATTTGCGCAGATGCGCAACCAGTTTCGCTTTGTAGTCGGTGCCTTTGGGGTTCGCTTCGGCCAGTAGTCGTAAATTTGGTCGATACATGGTGGTCTGGAAGAGGCCCTCACTGGGGATCGAGAACGCATCTCTGATATCTTTGGCAACCTTCTCTGTAGCGGTTGCAGTGAGACACACCACCCTCTCCACGTTGGCCTCCTTTGCGAATCGAGCTATCTTGAGGTAGTCTGGACGGAAAGAATGGCCCCATTCTGATATACAATGCGCTTCGTCAACAGCAAGGAGTCGTATGCCGCCCGGTATGTCTTTCAAAGAAGCGATAAACCCTTCGCTGTTCAGTCGCTCAGGTGCACAGTACAGCAAATCCAAGCGGCCATGTCGAAGGTCATCTTGAGTCGCCAGATAGTAGTCGCGGCTGACGGACGAGTTCAGGACGGCCGCTTTAATCCCTCGTTTGAGCAAGGCGTCAACCTGATCCTTCATGAGGGCGATGAGAGGCGAAATTACGAGACTGACACCTTTGCTTTGCGATATGCGGCGCCCAGCTTCTTCATCTTGGTAACGGAAGCAAACAGCGGGGATCTGGTATACGAGAGACTTGCCTGAGCCGGTCGGAAACACGACGACTGTGCTACCGCCATCCAAAATTCGAGTGATAGCAGCTTCCTGCTCAAGTCGAAAGCCGCTCAGACCAAAACGGCCTTTCAAAACATCGTTTGCTAGTCTAGTGCTTGGTGACGTTGCTTGAGCATTTCCTTCGACTTTCTGGCGCTTGCTAGAGGGTCCCGTAGCCTCGTAAGTACCATGACTGCGCTTGCCATCCGCGACGTGCTCGGATGCTGCAAGTAACTCTGCCTCGTCATCAGAGCTAAGCCCAAAGTCGTCGCTCATGTTGCGAGAGTGATTGGCGGTGTACTTTGTGCGACCGATTTTTTCTCGTAGACCTGGACGTAAGTAGCAGGTATATTCTTCGACTTGTTGAGGCAAATGCAAAAGTGCTGGTGATGTTGTTGAGTTGCGAGCTAATCCTGCGATCGGACCTGCCAGTGCGCTAGCGCCGCGCGTGGTCACGTGACATTACATGCATGCGTGATGTAATCCTGGATGGGGCTGTTGCTTTGCCAGAGCAGTCTGTAGCATACGCCCCTCGAGTATCTCATCGTTCACGTATGAGCTCCAATTCAGGAGACCAGATTCTGGGGATCATGACGTCACCGAAGCTTCGCAGACGGAGATTTTGTTTTCACGCCTTCGATAGTCTCAAACCCACAAGGTTAGCAGTGCTGCCAAGCAGGAATTCTAGGAACCAAACAGATCTGCACGTAGTTCTGTTTCAGTATACTTATATACGAGTAGTACTAGTCTGCTGGAATAGATACGACACAGAAACTAACTTCCTATATAGTCGCCGAAGAATTACATATTAGGTGCAAACGCATTTCTGACTTGTTTATGTATAGATAAAAAGGAGTAAGTCTGCTTCAGCAATAGCATTCACAGCAAGCTACGGCTGTGACGTGCATTAGTTAATCCCCTCATGATGTCACTAGTCTCAGATCGAACAGATCTAGCAGAAACAATGGCTGTTTGCAGTCCATAGATGTATATGCAGTCGTCCTGTACTAATTTCTCTGCGAAAACTAGAGCACGGTATGTATTTTCCCACGTGTCTGATTAAAAGGTATGTGGATATGCTTGTTGCCGTTGACGTGCCATATTGCCGCACTAATTACTAGAGCCAGCACAGCAACACAAGCGCTATTAGACTATGTTGCCATCGAAGCGTCGGCTTCTTCGCAAGCCCAATGACGTTCATGCAGGGAAGCCACTGATCCACAGACAATGGCGTCTGGAGTGGGCCGATTCAGGGTCTGGCGTAGTCTAGATCCGGCATATCATGTACAAACATCCGCTCTCCTGACGAACCAAACGTGCTCCGCGAAAACCCAAACTGTGAACTCTAGATAGCGATAGTCTATGAACACCAATTCGGACGTGGACGCGATGCCAATGCATGCAGGCACCAGTGCACATGATGTATTCGACCTCGAGGCCATAGAGCTCCACCCCGCGCCGAAGTTTGTCATTAAAATCGGTCCAACAGCCCTCAACTTTGATCTACTCTACGTCAACGAAGCTTTTCGAGATGGCGAACTGCGGAGTAAAATTTTGGATGAGAAAGAAGAAGCCTTGCTTTTTCGTTCATGGGCACAATCGCTGCGTGGTCATGGCGACGTGCAGCACGAGTTCGCGGGATGGACGTGGTCTGCGCAGTTACCGATGCAGGCTAGCGGGCTAAAAGTCGTTTCTGGAGAAAAATCACTGGGGAAGGGTGATGCCGGGCAGGCAAGAACCGGATATCCCAATACGTCATTCACCGATCGAAGTCACGTCTATACGCCGGCAAAAGAGGGATTTGCAACAGGGATTGACTCAAGAACTAGATCACTATCTCACTCCATACCACGCACGAACCTAATTGCTCGCTGGGAAGGGATCCAGGCAATGATGGAGATGAGTGATGTTGGCGTCTTCGAGTATAACACAGAAGGCAAACTTCTTCATGCAAACGAGGCATGGTACAAGTTGAGGTAAGCATGGCCGTTTAATCACTAACTACACCTGGTTGACACGCCCAAGTTCACATCCGAGAGATCTTCCTGCTCATGTCAACTTCTCGTTCATGGACCTTGTACATCCAGAAGACCAGTCCCTGGTCTTGAGCATGTGGAACAAGCTAGCTCAGGGTATTCCAGTGACCTTCGAGATGAGATGGAAGTCACACGGCTACGTGCTCTCTGCGTGTGTCCCTATATTTGACGAAGATAACGTGCTTATTAGTATTGCTGGCAATACTATTGATATTGCCGATCAGAAGAAGACGCAGGAGGCAATACAAGCTCGGGTCGAGGCACTCGAACAGGCAAGGGTTTCAGAGATGAAACTTACAAGATTGCAACACCGTCGTGTACAAGAAGCACTTGAAGCGAAACGACAACAGGAAAACTTCATTGACATGACCTCCCATGAGCTTCGTAATCCGCTCTCTGCCGTTGTTCAGTGCGCTGAACTGGTCATTGCTGAACTACAGCGATTACTCATCAAGCCCTCGAAAGCCACTGGCGACATACTTGATCCGAGTGTCGTCCAAGAAGACTTGAGCTCGAGTCTTGACGCACTACAAACCATTGTGTCGTGTTCCATGCACCAGAAGCGGGTTATTGATGATGTACTCACGCTTTCGAAGCTAGATTCGGACCTCATCATCATCACGCCAGTCCGCGTCCGGCCCACTGTGGTAGTGTCGGATGCTATCAAAATGTTCGTGGTCGAATGTCAGCAAATGGACATACAACTCGGATTTGTTGAGGACGAAAGCATTAAGCAGGTTGAGTGGGTCATGCTTGACCCTTCGCGGCTGCTACAAATCTTGATAAACCTGTTGTAAGGCCCAGATTACTGACGAAAATCATTTCGCACGTTACTGACTTGTGCAAGAACGAATGCAATCAAGTTTACAAAAGAGCGACCGATTCGTAAAATTATAGTAAAACTCGGTGCTTCATGGGAGCGTCCTCCTGCCATCTGGCATGCGATTTCGTTCACTAGCGCAGCGTCCAAAGGCCCGGATATCTTCAATCAGTCTGAATGGGGCGCAGGAAGGATGTGTCACCTCTGGATCAAAGTCACAGACACCGGCTGCGGCATGACTGAAGATGAGCAAAAGAATCTGTTCTCAAGGTTTACGCAGGCATCGCCGCGCACCCACGTAAAATATGGGGGCTCCGGGCTCGGCTTATTCATCTCGAAATCACTCACAACGCTGCTAGGTGGGGGAATAGGTGTAGCCTCTGCGGCTGACGTCGGCTCTACATTCGCGTTTTTTGTAGGCACACGGCTAGCTGAACCACCCGCGGATCATGTTGTTGGGCGTGCATCTCAAGAAACCTCGCTCGTTGATCGCACATGTGATTACCAGATCGCCATGAATTCAGTCAAACTCAACGTACTCATTGTGGAAGATAACCTGGTGAACCAAAGGGTTCTAAAGAAACAGCTAGACAAATGTGGGTGGACAGTCCATGTGGCAGGAAACGGGCAAGAGGCGCTCGACTGGTTGAAACGCAGCATTTTCTGGCGCAACGAACACGAAGCCGTTGATGGCATTGAGTTCAAGGAGGACTGCCAACCAAAAGCCGAATTGGATATCATACTCCTTGATATCGAGATGCCGATCATGGATGGTCTAACTTGCGCGCGGCGTATCCGAGAGTACGAAAAGCGAGGCCTACTAGGACTTCCCCCATCCGCTTCAGGGCAACAAGGACCTTTACCTTCAGATGAACGGTCAGCTCCGATACAAAATCAGAAATTTCGGCTGCCTCTTCTTGCTGTCAGTGCGAACGCACGCGTCGAGCAGATCCAGGAAGCCGTGGCCGCAGGCATGGATGATGCGATAACGAAACCTTTTCGCATTCCAGAGATATGGCCTAAAATAACAAGCTTGATACCCAGATTGTCAAGCACGGGAGAAGGGAAGCGTAGATGACTGGCTAGTCATGTATCAGACAGTACGTGACACTGGAAACTTGAAGCTTCCAACGGTCCACAAAATACAGTACAGGGCCCAAGATCCAGCGATCGCCATGCTACATAAGCCACGCGCATCCAAGTACAAGCCCATACCGGATCTACTGTCATGCCTCTGAAAGTCACTAAGACACCTTTCTATGGAGATTTATGTCGGGCGATTACATTGTAGCACTTAGGCCAACAAGGCAATCCAAAAATCTAGGTAGCGGTCTGCTGGGTTAGCAGTATCACGCGTCTGCTGTGCTTTGTACCGCGAATAGGGCGCTGGGAGAGTATCGTGCAATGCAGCACAGCTTTCAATGCTGGTAGATGGGAGATCACAGTGGGCGGTTTGTTTGCGCTGGCAGCACCGTGGACGACAAAATGTTTGCGTTGAACAACGTCACTTCTGGTATGCACTGTTTCAATGCCAGAAATCTATTGTCAAAGGCTATACAAATCGCTTGATGCTTAGGAGCCGGCTAAACTGTTTCTGGATCACACGCCCTACGAACTTTAAGGCGCTTCCGCTTGCATCATAGCACGGTGCAGAGGGCCTAGACGTGCTCACCTCGGCGCTGGAAATTTCGGAGAAGCCCTGTCAATATCTGTGTACAATAGCTCCGATTTCGGGCTTCGACTTCAAGTACGGTTTTGCATAAGTCTGACTCGATTTGTTTCTTGCACCCTACCACGTCATCAGGCCGTGCCAGCATGGACGCACAACAGCAACAACAACAAGAAACCCCAGACTGGGCTTTCGGTACTGCTACGCCAAACGTTTTCGATGATCTTTGGCATCCCGATATGAGTGCCTTGGACTTCCAATCGGCTTTCGACAACGCGAGCTACGCAACCCCTGGTACGGCCGACGACCTCAATACCTTGCCACTTTTCGATGACCTGCCAGTAAATTATATGCACCCAGCAGAGCCTGCAGCCAACACTGGTGATGTTAACGCGCTCGATTCTTTTGCCTTCGATCAGCTGATACAAAGCTCTTGTCCGACCCCACCACCGCAACGCAGGCTACCACGTCGGCGAAGCAAGTACGTGCTTCGCAGATCTACCAGTCGAAGCAGACCTATCGCAATACCTACTCCAACTCAATGCGGTTCGCCAGCGCAGCCGCTGGCCATAGAGCGATGGCAGAATTCGCCACCCGAGGAAGAGGCTGCATCTCTATCCGCAATCTACGACGCCATGGTTCAGCAGCCCTTTAGCGAAAGTTCCCGAGGGAGTCGCAACTCGAGCTTTGATGCATGCAAAGCCGATGCTTTCAAAACTTATCGAGGTCCGTCCTCATCGACAAGTCTCGACAGCGGCGTCAGCGACAATTCTGTGCATTCGAACCAGTCCGGCACTTCTCAATCGCGCCGTCGACGAGCCAACAAACCCCGCGCAGCACCAAAGTCGAAGGCAAAGCCAAAAGATACAGCAGATCGCATCTTCAAATGTACATTTTGCTGCGATACATTCAAGCACAAATATGACTGGGCGCGACATGAAAAGTCACTCCATCTGAACATGGAGGAATGGATCTGCACCCCACACGGTGGCTCGGTTGTACTTCCTCTAACGGGACGAGTGCACTGCGCCTACTGCAGCGCCCTCGATCCAACGCAAAACCATCTCGAGAGCCACAATTACAGCGCATGTCAAGGTGGTCATACGACGCCTCGCACCTTCAGAAGAAAAGACCATCTCGTGCAGCATCTCCGTCTCGTCCATGGGCTGGAGACGCTTCCCCTCATTGACGACTGGAAAGTCCACTCTACTCCAGTGACGAGTCGCTGTGGCTTCTGCGATGCACGATTAGACAGCTGGGAAGAGCGGACGGACCATCTTGCCGCGCACTTCCGCAGCGGGAAGACCATGTGGGACTGGAAAGGCGAACACGGACTCGATCCTGAGATCGATGCGCGTGTATCAAACGCATTTCCGCCATATCTCATCGCAGCTCAAGCGGTAACACTCGTTCCCTTCTCTGCGACAAACCATGAGTCGATTGATCACACGAAACAAGTCATTTCGCAAATGGAGTTAGAATCTCTGATATCTGCGGCGCAAGAACACAATCTTGAACCTGCTTTGTCACCAATCGCGGATGACCAGCCTCCGGAATTTGCGACAGCAAATGGGAACTTGTCATTCCAGAACGTCGTCGAGACGCGATTGTTCGCAGATACGTTGACTCGCCATCTTGCGCGGTTTGCGCGACAGCAAATGATGCTGGGAGTCATGCCTACGGATGAGATGTTCCAGCGCGAGTCGAGAAGGTTGCTGTATCAGGATGCGGATGACGCGTGGAATCAAACGGTGGCAGATGATCCCGAGTGGATCAGACAGTTTCGTGAGCGTACAGGATTCAGTTGAAGCTGTCAAATTTGATACGTATCGATTACGCTATGCGGCGTTTGTATTATAGATGAGTCAGTCATTTCGTTCCCAATATTGGATACATCTTCATGCCGCGATTTCTCTACAAACCTTGGCCGCTCGGTCGCTCATAGAATTCACGGATTCCAGGTTGCAAGAAAAAAGTCGAACGAACTCCAACTAGCTGGGCTGCTAAAATTGCCTGCATGATGAATGACGATGCTCAATAACGTAGTGATCAAACCTAGAATTGCCGATCCATGTGCGGGAAATAGTAGGAATGATGTACTGGACTGTACTCCAATCTGCCCTCCGGTTCCGGACATCATACGCCACGACAGCGCCATCGGCCAGGGCAAAATTTGCATCACTTGGGTTGAGTCCCACGTTTTCTGCTTCTCCTTTTAAGTCGACGGAGGTGTGGGCATATCTTTGTAGGCTGCAGGCGATGGCGACGCTGGACCTGGCGGTGAGTTTGCAGTAAGTTACTCGTTGACAAGGGGAATGTTAGTGCAGGCCATGTGATGGTCAGCAGGGGTCGGGCAAGCACAATCACCGCTCTTCCACTGAGCGTTCAACATGATAACGTCGTTGTCACTCAGTTCTTGAAATCCACACTGATTTGTGCGTGGGTGCGTGTTACTCGTGTATCCCACAAGCAGTTGCATTCCATTTTCCTGTCGTCTGAACGGCCCGTTTTCGCTCTAGATCTAAAGCTTTGATTGACATAGATTATGTACAGCTTTACAGATTCAGCTCCTCGAACACGTTTATCGCACGACGTTGTCTAATCCTGTCTCGCTGGGTCCAATTGGATCTTCCCTACGATCTCGTCGATCTCAGCCAATATTTCGGGTGTTATCTTATCCAATGCTTTCAATGCGGCACAATTCTCTACGACTTGCTCAGGGCGCGATGCTCCTGTGATGACAGCAGAAACATGCTGGTTCTTGAGACACCATGCTAGCGACAGCTGAGATTGGGTAACACCCAGTCTCTTTGCGATTGGCTGTTCAAAATTAGCTCACTGGATTGTTGTGGTTTTGCGGAATCATACCGCGAGCTTGGTGGCTTTCTCGATCATTCCCTTCCAGCTATCGTTTCCATACGAATCCCGCATGCTATTAACGAACTTGTCGTTTCCTTCCGCGAATCTGGATCCAGCCGGTGGGGCATCGGGACTGTCGTTGTACTTTCCACTTAGGAGTCCAAAGTTCAAAGGCGAAAATGTAGTCAGGCCAATGCCGAACCTGGCATATAGACGCTGGAACTCACGTTCGACCTTCTGCCTTGTAATCAGGTTATACATCGGCTGCTCCACTACTGGGGCGATGAGGCCGAGCTGTTTTGCGATTCCGCACGCCTCTGCAATCTCGTCGGCGCTCCATTCACTCGTGCCCCAGTACATGGCCCATCCCTTTTGTTCAATGACATGATTGAAAGCACGAACCGTCTCTTCCATACCACAGAGCCTGTCGGGCCGGTGCGCATACCTATTCGAGTAGAAGCCCCAGTCAGCACAAGTGGTCTGCCAAAAAAAGCAATTCGAGGAAAGTTGTACCAGGGGCGTTACTTTTCGAATCTCTCAAAGGGGTCAAAGGATCAACTTACTATGTAGACATTAGCAAACTGTCATGCAAACGCTTGTTCAACATTGACTGCTTACCACGATGTCCACGTACTCAAGATCTAAACGATCAAGTGAGGCGCGGAGGCCCTCAATGATATGTTTCCGCGACAAGCCGTGATTGTTAACAAGGACCTCACCATTGGCTCCACCTAAAACAAAAATAAGTGAGTAGTTCTCTCGCCATATAAACGTTTACTGACCCCAGTTGAGCTTGGTGCTAATCACCAGATCGTTGCGTTTCCAGCCAAACTTCTTGATAGCTTGTCCCATGACGATCTCCGATTGGCCGGCAGCATAACTGTAAGATGTTAGCTTCAACGTTAGACACAATAGGAAAAACGTATTGTCGTACCTCTCAGCTGTATCGAAAAAGTTGATACCGCAGTCATAAGCTTGTTTCATGCACGAGAATGTGAGTTCTGGCACGTATGTTAATCACTGCACGTATCACTGATTTATAAGAAGCGTTTACCATTCTCAACATGACCACCGAATCTGACTGCTCGTTAGCATGTAGGTTTTCTTCTCTCCCTGCTGACACGTACGTGAGCCATCCTCCGAGTCCCAGAACCGAAACGTGTAGTCCTGAGCTGCCAAGTCGGCGGTATTGCATACCAGTCTTACGAGGTTCTTCCCACGCCATCTTTCTGATCGTTTATGTTTGGCTCTTGTTGTGAAGAATGAACTAATCAATCACCTAGACACATCAACAAAACTCGAACGAAGGTGCATGAATCGGTCAATTGTTCCTCCGAGCTATCGAGACGAGGAGATTTCCACGTGCAGCCGTCGCAGGCATGCCGAAGATCACGCCTAGTCTCAAAGGCAGCTTCGGAAAATGGGACATCTTCGGGTTGAGGTTTTCCGCCTTCCTGCGCCGGACATAGTGACTGTTTGGGAGGAACCTCGGTACGGCGGGAGCATGTAGCCGCGTCATAAGGTTCCACTTCGGGACGTCAGATCTGGGGAATCGTCATTTTACCCCGGAATCACGCCATACTTAGCCTCGGGTGAAAGTGGAGCGATCAACGACAACATTCGAATGTGGCTCTAGATGGATTCCAGAGGGAAAGTTCCATGCGTCGAAATTAGAGCCTGGATAGGCTGGAAGACTGATCTAAAATCAGCTGCATTGAGTTTCTCTTCTGGAAGGATTCTGGAAGCTCTCAGGTTGTCCGAATACCGGCATGTGAAACCTTGACGCACTTGCGGCCGGTCTGTCCAGAATCCCTTGAATGGGACGGATTCTGACATGAGGAACACGTGCATAGCTCCATTCGACTGTTTCGTACCAAAAACTTCTCCTTGAATTTAATCGTACTAAATCTGTTGACAAGGCCAATCCCTCGGTCTCCACTTCGCAATACGGCGAGATCGACCATACCCTAGGTCGCGAACCTGAAGTCAAGACGCTTGTTGCCGTCTTGCTCGCGAGAAATCGTATCGGCTTGGTACACAGCCTTCTCTTCGGAAGTCATTTGGTCCCACTTTTGCTGCTTCTTCTTATTCATTCGGACCAGAACCTGCCTTTGGACAATGAAAGTGATCAACGACAGAGCGCAGATCGCCACCAACACGGAGTTACCTTGCTTGTAGTATGGTCCATCGTACTTGCGGTAGATTTGCGAACTGATCAAGGAACCGATTTGGACGATCACGTTGTATGTGGCGGCTGTGATGGCACGCTTCTTGACGTCGAATGTGTTTTCTGAAATCCAAGATGAGACCAGTGGATGGAAGTACGGATATCCGGAGATGAGCGTGATTAGGGAAAAGCGTCCCCACTCTCGACCACCATCAGGGAGCGTGAGTAGAGCGATGAGTAGCGGCATGATCCAGAATTCTCCAAGGATGCAATGGAAGGCGCGCTCGTTGAAGTAGTCGCTCGAGTATGCCAAAGCCAACATCGTGATGATCTGGAGCACAGCCGATGGCACAGTTAACATGTTGCTGTTGAACGTCGAGAAGCCGAGTCGCTTGAGTGTCAGAGTAAGGTAGCCCTGGACTGGAGAAGCAGGAACTGCAGAGGTGCAAAGTCAGCGAATGACCAGATATGAAAGACGGCCTTCTATTAGCTTGTAACGCGCAGGTATAGCACTTACTGTAGGCCACAAGACCGATGAAATACAATCCCCACATTGACTGATCGCTCCATGCTGCGCGGATATCCTTGAATGTCGCTGGCTCTTTCAGTGCGGTGAGTCCCTTTGCTGGATCGTCCCGGAGGATCCGATTGACCATGATCGTTTCCTCACGCTCGGTGTACCACGACTTACGCCATAGCACATTCTTGGTCGACGTCGGCGAGGCTGGCAGATACATGTACGAGAGAATAGCAATAATGACGGTGAAAAGCCCCTCGAGTAAAAACAGCCAGAACCATCCAGGCTTCCCACCAATTCCGCGCATCTCAAGAATACCAGCGGCGAGCAACGCAGAGATGACACGCGCAACATTGAGCGAGGACCAGAATGCTGCGAGTCGGATCGATAGCTCCTTGGACTTGTAAAAGTAGGTCGCGAAGAGAATAACTCCAGGGATAAAGCCGCCTTCGCAGAAACCAATCGCCGCGCGCCCTAGGTAGACTAAATTTGACGCACCATGTCAGCGTTATTTATATGCATCTCATAAGAAAACATTGCGTACAGGAAGTGCGGTCGTGCATCCAGGATTGGCCCCAAGATGCCATGCCCCAACCCATCATCATGGTGGGAAGTACAATTTTGAAGCCATATCGCTTAGTGAGGAATTGGACTGGAAATTCAGCGGTGAGAAATGCCAGTAGTTGGATGGTTGTGCCGTTGTTGTAATCGTCACTGGTCAGGCCAAGATCGTTCAATAGATTATCGGCAAGAGCATTGGAAACGTTGCCCCTGTCCAATTGTAGTACCTGGAGATTGTTAGCGCATCCAACATGGCCGTTGATTCAAATCTCATACCAGCATCATGAGACAAAGCCAACTGAGAAGGCGGAGATCGGTCTTCCGCACAACCTTGCGCTCTTCTTCTATGGTCCATGACGCCTCTGGATCAAATCGATGAAGACCTTCGTAGCTCTCATGGGGCCGCACAATGTCCGCGAGCTCTTCTCTTCCAACTCTCGTAGGCGCCTTGAGTGAGTTCCCGTCTTCGCTGATGCGCGCCTGTGGCACGGCTTCGATGTCCTGACCCATCGCGACAGAAAGACCGACAGAGTAAACGATGCGAAGCCTGGAGCGTATCGACGTCTACTGACTGCCGTACCGTTATATAAAGCCACAAACCGTAATGTCGCAATTACCGTTCGTGGCGTCGCCATTACCGCCTTGCCTCAACGTAGCAATGCCACCGAACGGCCGAGGCGCATCTTAACGGCTCGAAATTCCTCTTGACCGCCAAGGGGTCCCCGCATCTTCAAGGGGTTCGTACCGGGAATGTAATCCCTGACATCTGATTACTTCCCTCGTGCAGATGTCGATGAATGTCCGTACTAGTCTCGTATCGAGGCATACCGCCGATGACGTGCTTCGCTTACATGCATCAGGAACGCTCTGCCACCACTGCCACCTCGTGTTCCGGCAAACCATAAGATGCTCTCGGCTACCAAATCATCGATTCCGGGTTGCTGGAGCTTACAACCACTCATGCGGGTTCGACGTTAAAACGCCTCTTTTTGGTGAACCGTTTCAAACCGCGACCTAACAACACCGCATCCTGTCACCAAAATGCCTTCTTTGAAGCGAGTACACGTAGAGGAGCAGCATGACGGTAGCCATCCAAACATCCTTGGCGGCCACGAGAGTGCTCGACCAAGACATTCAAAGCCGTTGCAGTATTCTGGATCGCTGGATATGTACCAACACCTGGATGTGACACCAATAATCGGGACAGAGTTCGAAGGTCTCCAGGTAACCGATCTACTGAGTGGAAGCGACGAGGCAATAAGAGATCTCGCCGTTACAGGTATGATTCGAGTTGCACCGTAATGTATGTGGGCAACGCTAACTATTTCATAGTCTCGCAACGGGGCGTTGTCTTCTTGCGAAATCAAAACGTCACGCCAAACCAGATGAAGGATCTCATGCTTCGGATAACGCAGCTTGCAGGATGCGTATGTCCCAAGTGCAAATTTGGTTGCTCTTCAAAACCACTGACCCTATTCAGCCTCAATCATCTGATCTCCATGTCCACCCATTGACCGAGGAAGGCTCTGAGCTTGGCGACCAAATCTCTGTCATCAGCAGTGAAAAGCAAAAGAAGGGCGGAGGACTTACTCATCAATTGTCTGATGTCAGTCGATTTGCTTCAGCTGGATGGCATTCCGACATAACCTTTGAGCCTGTGCCTTCAGATTATGCTATGCTCAAGATCCATACGCTTCCCGCAACAGGCGGTGACACGCTTTGGGCGTCAGGCTATGAAATTTACGATCGCTTATCGCCAGCGATGCAGCAATTTTTGGAGGGCTTGACTGCAACGCACGACGCGAAGTTCTTCCTGGAAGAGGCAGAGCGACTTGGCAACCCGATCCGAAAGGGCATTCGAGGCAACCCGCTAAACTTTGGAGAAGCCTTGACAGCTGTCCATCCAGTCGTGCGCACAAATCGTAAGTCGCGTACATGAACAAGAAGACAAAAGTGGCTAAATTGCAGCAGCTGTAACCGGCTGGAAGTCCGTCTACGTCAACAAAGGTTTTACCAAGCGCATCAACGGCGTCACGAAAGACGAATCAGACGTTTTGCTCAGCTATCTATTCAACTTGCTCACTCAGAACCACGATGCGCAAGTACGCTTCAAGTGGCGAAAAAATGATCTTGCGATTTGGGACAACCGGAGCACGTGGCATTGCGCGACTTACGATTACAACGACCCTCGCGCAGGGGATCGCGTTTGTAGTCTTGGAGAAGCGCCATATTTGGACCTCCAGAGTACAGGAAGACGGGAAGCGTTGGCATCAAGGGCGATATAGACATGATTTTTATCAAGTGGAAACACGATATTCAATGTCTACCTAGACCATATCAACGAGATGATGACCTGAACGAACAGTATTGAGCGCTCATATTTCAATTATGCGCCTGTTGACAACAATGTCAGGGTCGCTGCAAGAACGAATCGGTATTTCTCTGCAGACAGGGCACTTCAGGCAAGGTTTGGAGCAAATGTGTACAGTGGTTTACTAGTCTAAGCCTCGGGATTAATGACGTAACCGAAATAGAGAAGTAGAGTATTACAACCGAATCTCGTCCAATAGCAAAAAAGCAGGGACAGAGCTCCTACACTAGGTATATACATTGAAGGGTTGAGGATAATCATGTTTGAAATGCAATACACAGCTCTAAGAAATGTGTCTTCGAAAGGCGGTAGCAGGTTCAGAATCGCTTGCTCCCTTTTCAGTGCAGTCGACAACCGACTTTATACAATTTGACACTGCCAAAATCTGAAGTTCGTAGTTCTAGCCCTCCGAACATACGCCATGTTGACGCTAAGATCTTATCCTAGTCTGCTTCTCGGCGTTTGACTACTCGTTAGCATTGAGGAGTCGAAGCCTCGATGGTATTGCGGATCCTGCTATGGATGTAAAAGCAAAGGGGCTTTTTTGGATGTCTCGCGAGAATTTTCCAGCCGCAGTAAGAAGTAATGAAGGGTGTGATCCTAATAGAGACTAACATGTGCAGGTAGCGCACATGGTCGCACACGAAGACATGCAATAGGCCAAATCGGAGCAGTGTTACCCGCCAGCTGTGAGCTTTCGCTATCAAGGCGGGCCTCAGCTGAGCTTCAGGGCACCTCTGAAATGAGATCCTATCCAATAGACCGCCCACAACTCTTAGTGTCAACGTCCGGAGTCTCTAGAAGATGGTGCAAAAGATACAAGCCAAGCTTCATATCAACTCCGGTGAGTGCAAAGACCTCAAGGCGATACAGTGCTAGACAAGACTGAACTTGAGTTGAACATTTAATCATGATTAACAGACAAGCGCGTCGTTCCAAACTGTCAGAGAGGGTCGAGATCAAATAGCAAACATCATCCATCAGAGGGACTACCGTCTATTGGTCATAATTGTAAGGCCGCGCGGCAGGCCTGTACAATACATACAATTCTATACTGCATTATCAATGTTCATTGATTGTTGAAAACTTTTTGGATGAACGGCGTGGTGGGTGTAGACTCACGCCTGACAATAATCGGGCTATGCTCTCTACAGGAGCGAAGGAGCGCGCTAAGGTACGCTACTTAGCTCCACCAGGCAGTCGACCGCTTCGAGAAGGATCTTTCCATTGTTATGAGATGCAGTTTCGAACATCGTTGCACTTTGAACGGCTAGAAAGGTATTACTCAACGACCCTCATATAAATGGTTCATTTAAGATCAACGAGGGACTTCAGCTAGCACGTCGAGGCTTTTTGGTGTCAGGTCCAAGGAACACACTATCTTGAAGACGACATGGCTTGAAAGCGAAGATATTACCAGCAGAGAATGGTTCAAGCGCAAGTCTGGTATCCCAAGGAAGAATATTTGCACAGACGATAGGCAGTGGATTCTTACCATGCGACAACAAGATGTCAGCTCAACATAACTTTTGGTATCCGAAACTCTCAAGCTCATTATATAGACTAGATCCAACTTCGGTAACGCAAGTGCATATTTTTAAGAAGCGAACAATAAGCACTTAATGCGTAGTCGAGTCGATCAAAGATTGGTCTAGCCTTTGTTAGCACCTTTCCATTTACTACTTAGTCAATGTGAGTTGGGGGCATCGACTAAGCACCTTGCGGGGTAAAGCTGTGATGCAAGGCGATATTCTAAGACGCTGTCATGCCCAGCAGAGTAGTGGGTCGCACGGTTCCTCCCGTTCCCACCAGTCGCTGCTGACGATAAGATCTGATCGTGATGTCGACCTGTAGATTCAGTCAGCATGAATATAGCGTGGTGCTATCTTGTGTTAGCTGCGAGTCTTCCCGCCTACAGGCGTGCATACAGGTGTACCAGGTTTGCACTTGGCGTCAAGTGCAGTGATCCAGATTTGGGCGCAAAGTGTGGGTAAACATTGCTGGACATGCTTTGCATGTACTGAAAAGAGGGCACGTAACCAATGTGCGGATTAGATGCATAAAATTCTGATTGATTGAAAACCCATCGTCAGCGCGCATCGACCTTTTCAAGCGTGCATTTACTCGTCGTTGATATAAAGTTGTGGGAACGTCGTGACGGATGAAGGGCCTTTGACTCCAAGTAAGGTGCTTCCTATATCAGAAAGCATGCTGATCACAAGCTAGAGTTGACCCGCTGCACTGGGCACCGATGAAGAATAAACCACACGCCAACTGGCCGTAGCGCTTGGTGATGCAAGCCAAGAATGCAGCATTTCAAAGCACTCGGCTCTACGGCTTTCCCTAGATTGAACACTAGGAATTCGAATGATTGTGAATTCGGCGTTTGTCTCAACCTTTCGCGTATGCATACACCGGAGCGATCCAGCTAGTCGGTACTACATTCGCAGCCACAGCAAGGCTATAGCTTACTTAAAGCCGTCATTCATCTGATTCGACTTATCGTAGCTATTGCAATCAAATTTCGTGCAGAATCACTGTAATATTCTCATATAGTGTCTTCTAGCTCTTGACATCTTCACAACCGATAATTCCATCAAGATGGACCCCAACGCCTTCGCCACCAGTAGCAACTAAAGAAGTGAGGAAAGAGGAGAAGTTTGTCAAGAACACGCGATGGAGGAGCTTGTTTCGGTCCAAATGATGTCCTTGTATTTCGATTTCTTTTGCTCAACTAGTACATCTTCGTACATCAGAAGTAGTATTAAACCCCAATACGGATATCTTAACGTAAGAAGATCAAAAGCCTACTTACTCGAGTCGTTGTAAGTCTCGATAATGTCTACTCAGGAAGTCGACTTATACATCACAACCGGCCTTTATGGGCGTGAATAGCCTAAGGTGATCATTCATCGCAGAACCTCCTGCGAGAATGTTTCAGAAGAGCCTCATGGTACAGGAACTCGAACGAGTCTAGAAGCCCAATGCCTAAGTGAACTGGGATCTGCTCACCCCAAAGTCAATCTTTGGCACGGCTTAATTGTAGCTCAGGATCCTGTTGCTGATCTCGTAACGGGTTGCAATTAATCGCAAGCTGAAGTCGCATACATGTAGGTAATGATCGTCTTTGTAAGGTATTTTTTGACGTCTCCGCAGCCTATACCGGCGTTGCTCATTAATTATGATATTAAACTTTTTGTAGGGCAGGTGACCAGAAACAATCATGGGAAAATTACAACCAACTCTAGGCCATTACAAAATTTAGCAGAGGTCATGCTGCTGCAGGTCCTTGCCCCATTCATGCAACGCCGAACACTTTCTTCGGGGTTATAGTGAAGTTAAGTGGTGGCGATACAAACTGATTGTACGTGACCTTGTGGGAGCCTGAGAAGTTGTAGGCAGGTCTGTCATATCACGTTAGCCTTCGGTCTTAATCACGAGGCAAAAGAGGTTTAACTCACCGATCGCCGTAACCGGCATACAAGAAGCTGACTTCAATCTCCTTGGGAGACCCGTTGCCATCGGACGTCCTCAGCGATGGCCTAGCCGCGACACCGTTGTTGACGCCCTCGAGCAGACGGCAGTCTGTGTATGTCGAAGGAACTGTGAAACTATTCTCATAGCCCTGCTCATAGACATTGCACAAGGCCTTCACACCCGCAGGGCCATTCTCGACGGACGGCACGGTGACATTGAAGTAGTAGTAGCAGCCTCGTCGACCGCAACCAGCTTCACAGTTCTCGACTTTCCAGTGCCAGTTTTTGGGGATCGCAATATCGCGGACCACAGGGCCGGCGATGGCTGAGGTTGCCAAAAGAGCGAGTGTGGTGAAAGAAACCATTGCGACGTGAGTATTTGATTGGTAATTAATTATTGAGAGTAGTTCAGCAGCGTGAAGAGCGGACGTTCAATGATATAGGTACATTGACTTAGAAGATACGTCGAATTCTTATACGATGAATGTTGATTGTCGCATCGGCCAATTTGTCGTAAATAGCCTTTGAGCATGGAGCCGATCGGGTCGTGCACGTCATATTGCGCCGAGATTGGCAGCCGAGACATCCCTTCAAAGCAAGCGAAGTAACTTTGCGGTGAGATTACAACTTGACACCAACCACAATTCAAGGACCACGGTCCAAACAGTTGCTATCTTTGGAAAAACTTCCATTACAACACGAGGGAAAAGTACGATAGGTGGAAAACTGTGGCGTAGTGCTGACAAGAGGGTAAGAACGCGTCAAGGCTAACCTGATGAGGCATGGCTTCCTCCCTCCCGTAATTTAAAATGGAGTTGTTACGAGCTCACACATGCGCAACTGGGTGTCTACCCTTGACAGTTTGACCGCGTACCGCAATATCCCTGTCGCGCGATGCAAACAGTCAACGGTCTGCCCTTTTTACACACGTAAATATCTGATTACTGACGCATTGTAGGTTTTTATAAGACGCAGAAGGTTTAGACCGTTGAACAGGGATCAACATCGGGGTTATATGGTTCCTAGGTACGAACATTCGGCAACGGAAACACGCCCTCTAGTGTCTGATGTTCGAAATTGCTCGATCTGTTGTTTTGTGTGGTGCGTACGCATAAAACCAAATCGCAGCTGTTCTATTGTGCTCCAGTCGTGTTCCATTGCTCTTCGTCTGGATATGGCTCATTGTTCATCGGCCAGAGAACACATGAGAACGAGATGGTCCACATGTTACTTTGGCATATACTAGGACTATCGTCGGGTATTGCCGCAAACGTGACATGCGCGACATAGCCAAGGTGTGATAAGGGAAAACGCACAGCCTTGGCCTTTGGAACTTTGTATCTGTTCAAGTAGTAGGCCAGGAGCTCTGAGTTGCGACTCCAATCCGTGATCTGAGGCTGAAGTGCGCGGATCTTTGCAGCGTACTTGTCTTCTTCAACGACCCCCAAACTGTGCGTTACTCAAGCTGCCGGCTGACCACCCGACTGCAATAAACTTGCACCGGACCCATTTGTATTCTGATGTCGTGATCAGAGGCGATTGGATCAAGAAGGTAATGTCAATCATGCTAAAGTCCTGCGCAGAGTCTCCCGTGATGAAAAACAATTGATCTTCCATATCATAGCGGTCCGCTGGCCATGGGCTCCATGGAAGTGCTGTTGGTTGAGCGGCAACTTTGATGACGTGTCTTCGTTTGAACGGAAGAAATTTCGATTCGCTTGACATTTCTTTCTTTCCCCACGGTTAGAAAGAAGGTGATGCTCGGCAGGCCGAGTCGTCTGCAATGCACCTTCATCGTATTGAAAGAGCCTCGACGGATCTACGCGCACATACTTATCGTACCCAACTTGGCGAAGGCGTACATGTATAGGGCGTCCGTCGACGGTGCAGTTGAGAGGTAAAACATAACGCAAGGCGCCTGTTGAGTTCAGCCGTCTGCCAAAGATGTGGGCCCGAATTTTGATGCCCAAGTTCGTGACAGATGACTCGCTATAGCCAGCTTGCTCACTGCATGAGTATTTATAGCAACCCTCGAAGCAAGCAGGTGACTTCGCCAAGATACCGCAAAGCACAGGATCTTCACTTGAATTAACGGTATCAATTGGTAAGGTCCAGGCGAATATGCTGAGATCAGGGGTGGAGCGGATAATCTCAAGCTGCAAGCGGCGAAATGCCTTCTCTCCTTCGCCATATAGCAACGGCATATTGAGGTCAAAGAGTCCGAGCAAGCAGTAGGCAGCATCTTCGAGGCGAGAGGTTTTCCGTTTGGCCGCCCACGACAACCTTTGCGCAATGCAGAAGTCGGATGGTGAGCTTTGGTTGCGAAGAAGTGCAGCATCAATTTTTGTGATTGTAGACAACTCAGCTGCAATCGATGTCTTGTAGCCACGCTTGTTCCACCTCGCATCGAAGAAGAGCACTGTCTCGGGCGCGATGAGCTCTTGCAGCGTCCAGCCTCTAGTGAACCTACAGGGGAGTATAGATCAGCAGTGCGACATGTTGCAATAGGGCACCTTCTCACATGCTTACCATCTACACGACTTAAGATCAGTGGTTATGTCTGCATCTCCAGAAAGATCGGAAAGAAACGCGTAGCATATCTTGCTTTGCGCATACCATCGATACATGGAGTTTATCGCCTCCGACAACTCCGCACTGCTCTTCTTATCGATGCAACATGTGTCTACCCAAGTATAGCCAATCTTTGCTTCAGCCGCGATATCACATGTTTTCTGGATCTTCCTGTACCCTTTCCTCGTCTTGTGTAAGCCTTTCTGGTAGTCTTGATAAGTAACCTCGCCCTCGCCCCAGGTGTGGGAGAGAATGGCATATTCGGGTATGTCTTCGCCGAGGAATTCTTCGAGGGCACCGGTCTTCGTGTTGATCAATCGCATCTTCGATTGCCACAGTAGTATCTGGAAGGGAGCTTGTCGGTCCGAAAAGAAGATGGCTTTGCCCAGCGAGCTGATGCTGCCGACAACCAGTAGTGGGGTTGCTTAGACGAGCGCGGGGTTGTGGCGGCTGAGAACGAGAAAGTCGCAAAAGAGTAGGGTTGGCTCGTCCACAAACGTGTGCAGCCGCAATAGCCTCGCGGCTTTGGAGCAGGATTGCTGTTCGCAAAGAACCAACCTACATGTAATGACTTAGGCAAACAGGGCGAATGAGGCTGATGAGGGGGAGTGAAGCATAATTATAACAGCACAGAGAGAACTAATCGCTCAAATCAATCTAAGCACCATGGAAAGCCTACAGCCGTGGTCTAGCAGCTTCGACTTCTTTAAGCCTTGCTCTCTCGTTCTCTTCCCTCCACCACTTCTTCCTTCTCTCATGTCCCGCCATAAAAACTTCAAACCACTTTTTGTCGAACGGCGGCAATCTTCGTCCCTTGCCATCTTTCGGCTCGCCCGCCAATCTTCTCACCGTCTCGAAGTACTCTTCAAAGTCGGGGAAGATCAGCGTAAAACCAGGCCCATCGCCCTTTTTCGCGATCCTGTCCTTCTCCCATCGCTGCTGCTCCGCGAGTGGTGGAAGTGTCGCACGGCCGGCCAAAATACGCGCTGCTAGTACTGCTTGCCACTCGAAAACTTTGAAGGTCAGACCTGCACCGACTGCGCCTATGAAGAGAAGAGTTGGGTCGTCCTGGTATATGACGTGTTGGTAAAGTCCCGGAACGCGATTGTTGCGGACTTTGACGTGTGGCAAAAATGGCAGTGACCACGAATATCCAGTGCCAAAGATGATCTCGTCGACATCGCGGACTGACGTGCCGTCGACAAAATGTACTGTTCGCTCGCCATTGGTCGTCGCAACATGCGATATCGATGGCTTCTTGGCTATTCCAGGATGCTGGAATGCTACGTCCCCAAAGTATCCATTGGCTTTGTGGCCTAGCACAACGGCGTAGACTGGACCGCGAGCCACGCCGATAAGATCGTATGCAATATCTGCTCCTGAGACGGACGCACCCACCACAACCACCCTCTTCCCTCGGTAAGCATTCCTCCCGCGAAACATTTTGCTGTGCTTTACGCTGCCTGGTCGAGCTCTTTCAAGATCGGCGAGGCCGTCGATATGTGGGATAAATGGCACGTTGAAGTGTCCGCTTGCGACAACAACTGCGTCAAATCGTTCTTCCCACCACTCGTCTTCTCCAGACGTTGCACTTGGTTTTCTCAAAACTACTCGCCACTCGCTGCCGACCTTTTCAGCCAACTCCACCGTAGTGTTGTAGGATACAAAGTTGTCATAGCCGTTTCGGTGAACAAGTGACTCGACCCACTTGCGCACGATAGAATGGTGGCGAAAGGGGGTGTCCTCTCCATGCTTTGATATCGACAATGGGCTAGCACCCCCTGGAATCGACTCTTGTGAGTATGACATTGTCCTGCTGTCAACGTTTGTTTCCAGGTATGGGTAGACCGATGATTCGGCATATCTTTGTATTCTTAACGAAGCTGATTTTGCTGGTAGTCGCGCTGGTACAGAGATCGGGAGATCCGCATCACGTGTAGCAAGCGCTGCAAACTTTGAAGCGTCAAGATTGGGCGGTGGATTCCTATCTTCGAGCCTGTTGCGTTGTCAGATATTTTTTTGTTTGTGACTTACACAACATCATCTGATGATGGTTGCGGATTGAGGGCGGGGGTATAGGTACGTACCAACAACCGCCCGGAGCTTCTCTCCGCTCGAACACGCGAATAGTGTCGAATGCTTTCTCTTGCGCCAGCGCGTCAATTGTGATGGCGCCACCCGGGCCCAACCCAATAATTGCGACGCGTTTTGCGCTCATGTTGGTAGAAGTATAAAGAGTCCACAGACGTGGCTGGAGAAGTTGAGTTGCGATTGTGCGCTCGAGGAGAACGCAATGTACAAGCGACTAAACTAAATGAGCTGATCGAAGACGAATCCAACTCGACGGCACAGCTCCATCGGCATCCCGAGACCCTGCGTTACTCGTGGCAGCCTCGTGGACTATGCCAGAGGTGGTGTCGCGAAGTTTGCGACATGCGCTGGGCAAATGGCGTAATCGCGTCTTATCAGGAGCGGGCCCCTGTCGATAAGCACTCAACACCATGAAACAATCCTACGACGACTCGTGGGGCTTCGCTTAACACGTGCCGCTCCTCTTGGACATTGGTTTACGGCATGTCGAACTCCAGTTCTTAACGTTCCATCGGCATGATAGCCGGCACAATGTGGGCCGATGGCGAGCGCCGAATATTGGCGACGATGTCGCAAATGTGCCGTGAAATGATGAAATCCAACGATCTGACTATGACTTGTGCTGGATGCACTTTGTATAACCGTTACATTTGCCCCACGGTAATGGATCGAAACTCGCTACCGACAAGATGGTGCATGATTCCGACGATTTAGCGCCACAAGAGAAGGGTGTGGTCGAGGCAGGTACTCAGAGCGAGACCGCCTGCAGCGATGCCTCTCATCACGTGAGCAATGTCGCTGCGCTTCGAGCTCGCAGGAAGTGAGTTATGTCAATCTGCTTGGAACTATGGCTGATGGGTGTAGGGTTGATACCACGGTCCTTCCATTGCTCTTCCTTGGATTACTCGTTTTCCAACTGGACCGCATGAACTTGGCCAGCGCGCTCACCGACGGCTTTGCGAAGAACATACGCGTAAACCAAAACACCATCAACCTTGGCAACCAACTGATGTTCCTTGGTATCGTTGTTCTCGAGATCCCGTCCAATATCATTCTCCAGCGCATCGGACCACGGATCTGGATGTCCACTCAAGTGATCATCTTCGGCCTTGTTGCTACATTGCAAGTCTTCGTAAAGGACAAGACCGGCTTTCTGGTTTCGCGCATGTTCCTCGGGCTGTGTGAGGCTGGATACATCCCAGGCGGCATTTACACCCTCTCGACATGGTATACGAAGCGCGAGCTGGCGAAGCGAGTTGCGGTGTTCTTCTTCGGCATGTTTGGCGGCAATGCTATAAGTCCGCTTCTTGCAAGCGGTATCTTGAAGTTGGGCGATCGAGGCGGATTGAGAGGATGGCAGTGGCTCTTCCTGTGTAAGTGTAGACACGACGAACCAGTTTCGCGTATGATTGACGCATTCAGTGGAGGGAATTTTCACGATATGTGTCGGTGTCGCATTGCTCTTCCTCCTTCCTGGGAGCCCTGACCAGCCACGTCCGCTCCTATCGCCTGGCTTGATTCGTTTCAAAGAAGGTGATCATGATGCCCTCCAGCAACGTTTACTCCTGGACGACCCTAACCGAAAGCCCGGATCGCAAGGTCTCCATATTCCGCTTTCACTCGTGTGGAAAACCGTCAAGCACTATCGTCGCTGGCCGCATTTTGTCTCCACGTTCGCCGTCTTCTCGACATGGTCGTCGCTCACCACATACACGCCAACTATCATTATGGCATTAGGGTTCGATCGAATTGAGGCTAATGCGCTAGCATCCGTCGGTGGCTTCTTTGCCCTTGGGATTGTCTTCTTCTTCGGCTGGCTATCCGACAAAACAAACAAGCGTGGGCTAGCTGTGATCATAGCTCATATTTGCTATCTGACGGTCCTGATCATTGCGCGCTCGGTGCATCCTTCGGTAGGGAAGTGGTCTCGATGGGGCCTTTGGACAGCGGTCAATGCGTTTGCAATCGGCTATCATCCGGTGCACAACTCGTGGGTGCAGCTGAATTGCAAGGAAGCAGGAGAGCGAAGCATCAGCATCGCGATGTGGGTTATGAGCGCAATCTCCGGGCTGATGGTAGGTACACAGTACTATCGTGGCGACGACGTTCCATTCTACAGCAAAGGTTTGAGGATTCAGATTGTCATGGTGGCCGTCGGAATGATCTTTGCAATTGTACAAGAAGTTGTGTACGTGGTCCATAATCGGAAGGTGGTGAGGACATGGGCGACGACGGGCGGCGAGAAGCCCTGGTTGTATACGCCATGATAGCATGTCACGAGACGCCATCATACTTCAGCCGGTAATGAAGCTGCCTTGGACACATTCTGAGCATGAACATCGGCGCTCGTATCGACTGCTGTCGTGCTGGCATTCGCTGTCTTCCGGCCCCATTTGCCCTTGTACTTCCCGCCTTGTTGCTTAATCCTCTCTTTCTTTGTGTCTGCCACCCACTCACCTCGAAATCTCTGCTTGGGTCTGAGCTCCTTCTCTTCCATGAACCTTCGTTTGGCATCACCATCTCTGCCATTAATGTGCCCAGTCGACTTTGGGTTCGCCACAACCCATGCCTCCAGCTGAGGACGCAGCTTCGGCCCCCAGACGTCTTCGCCTGCATCAAGATCGGCATAGGTGAGTGCAGTCACAAGATCCCGAGATTCTGTCAACCTTCCGATGCTAAAATTTGCCTGTCTCGTTCTGAGCAACGCCGCCATGTGCGATCTCGTCCCACATGCAATGCCGAGATCGTGTGCGAAGCTTCGGACGTAAAACCCAGAGCACACTTTAAGCCGTATACGAGCAGCAGGCGCTTGCACAAGCTCCTCATCACCCAGAACGTTGAAGCTGTGTTGCCCACCTCCAAACCATTCCAATAGAGTGCATTCATCTACAGTCATTTCTCGACTTTCGAGCTCTCGCGGAAGCGCTTTGCCCTCGCGCGCATACTCGCACGCTTTGATGCCGTTGATCTTCAGCGCCGAGTACACCGGCGGGACCTGCATGATTGTCCCGTGGAACTGCGCAAGTCGCTCTTCAACCAATTCTTTCGTCACGTGTTTGTAAGGGCCTCTTTGACCTATTGCACCAGTGCAGTCATAGGAGTCGGTACTTGCACCAAACAGCACTACCGTTTCGTACGTCTTGCTACAAGCCAGGTAGCTTTGAAGATGCTTCGTGGCTCTTCCAACTCCGACAATCAGAATTCCGGCGGCCAGTGGGTCTAATGTGCCGCCATGGCCCATTTTGAAGACTTGATCATCACCCTTGCTGGGTCGCTTGCGCTGGCTATTTGAGAGTGGCGCAAATATTTTTGAAGTCGCGAAGGTTGATTGCAGCTTCTGCAACACATCTGCCGACGACACGAAGGCCGGTTTTTCGACGGCTAAGCAAAGCCGGATCAGCACCCATTCAGTATGTAGAAACATCGGCTGACCTTACCGAAGACGCCTTCCAGAATACCATCGCTGTTTTCCTCCATCACAGATTCTCAATTTGTACTTGTCTGGGGTGGCAGGAGGAAGAAAGGCTACCACGCGAATGTGTTTTCACGCTAGCACTCGCGCGCCATGCTTAATCAGGTATAGCCTGTGTCGCGATCCAATTTCCATCGCAGCTGCAGTATCTCGCCATGCTGCACGTTCGCAAACTTGATTTCACGAACACAAGACTAGGGATTTAAGTGTTAAAGAGCATTGACCCCTTGGCCCGGGCGGAGTTCAGCTAAGGTCACATCGAGTCTGTTTTACTTCCCACTTAGACCACAGTTCATTGAATTGGTACGTGTAGCCGCACCAGCTACTAGTATTCAACTTTAGCGAATGCTACGATTTATACAGCCATATTCGTAAAGCTGAACGAGGCAGCAGCATATCGACGTATGAGTCACTTCTGCGATGATGAACTCTTCGTTGCAGGGAGATTTACATATGCTTCTTAGGATTATCTCTATAACTATGATAGGTTTGCGGATTTCGGGCAGCCCGAAATTTGTTGATAGGCTGGATTGCCCAAATTCTGACCCTCAGGAACGTAAGACCCAACCTATCAACAAATTTCGGGCAGCCCGAAATTCTGAGCCACAGGAGTGTAAGACCCCACCTATCAACAAATTTCGGGCAGCCCGAAATTCTGAGCCACAGGTGTGTAAGACCTAACCTATTGACAAATTTCAGGCAGCCCGAAATTCGGACTATACTATCAACAAATTTCGGGCTGCACGAAATTCGAACTATACTATCAACAGATTCTAGGCAGCCCGAAATTCGAACCATACTATCAACAAATTTCAGGCAGCCCGAAACCCGAACCTTACTTACAGGGTCTCCAAATGCGAAGTTGCATCCTGGAGCAATCTAGCTGTTATCAGTATCTATTAACGTGTTGAACTATCGCGTATCTACCTTCTTAGAGGAACAAAGGCTACAAATTAGCATCAAAGTGTTCAATTTATGCATAATAATTAGACTTAGCTTATCAGAGCTTATAGCGACTGATCGACTGCGCTATCCCGGATGCGACTTGGCGTTTGGAGACCCTGTACATGTCGCTTTTGCGAGCTAATTGCGCAGTTTGATGTCACCGTTGATCTTTGTCTAAAGCTCGAAGATTGTACTAAATCACACCCAGTGCAGGTGGCGCGTGGCGCGTGGCTCTCACTCAGCCTTCATCACTGCTTTAATGGCAATGAAACTTTGAAGTCCGAGTTGAATCAAATAACGCAGCATATGACCACAATGTGACTTTCTCCTCGCGCACGGCGCAAGAAACAGCTGTCGGACTCAACAGCAACACTCATGCAAAGATGACTCTGAGATAGAAGTAGTCATACCTAAGTTCTACTCATAGTAATTACAGTATAAATATGTATACTTTCGACATGTCTCGTAGAATGATATCAATCACGCCCCAACACCACTTCGACACAACTCCATCGCTATTACAGACACGTGCAACCCCTTTTCCCTAGTTTAAGATCATTATGTCTCTATTGGAAGAGCTCCCGCACCCATTGGCTATACCTGGCACCGCGCCGACCGCGGACGAAGTCGACGTAGCCATGCGCGAGTTGCCTGGCTTCCAGGAGATTGTGGACGGGATAGAAAAATGTGCGAGTCGCTATGAAACTTTCAAGAAAGAAGAGAGTGACTTATTCATGGACGATACGTTTCATGACTTCACGGACATAGCAGCTTGTGACAGCCCAAGCGTCCATGACAAGCGCAAGGCTATAGAAACTAAACTCAAGGTCGTCGACAAACAAATCAAGATCCTCATGAACAACTATCTAAAAATGTTTTATCAAGAGTATAGAAAGCATAGCAGGGATGAGTTGCGAATGTGGTCTTTCCCTACGATCGTATGGCAGCACTACCAAAAGATGTTCTGCGATGTGACTAGGCAGCGGCCGGACTTTGAACTCGATGAATGCTTCGACAACGGCAACGTAGTACCGGGCAGCAAATGGAATGGTTGGGTGAAAGGCCAAGTAGATGCATTTCCTCCTTCTCTCATAATACACGGGAAAGAGGCCAAGTCCTTTTCTACCAGCCAGGGCTCAGAATGCGAGATGCACATGGTGAACGGACACGGACAGCTTGTCCAAACGATCTACCACGTACACTGCGGCCCTAAATTGTGTGGCACAAGAGTAGATGGAGGACCTGAAATCGTATGTAAACACCCGGGCCACGCACACCAGTTCACAAAGAGACCCAGAGAGTGGGATCCCCAGAAAGGATGGTACAGCGGTAATCCCTACCGATACAACCATCGTCCAGCTCACTCCCGGTACGAGCCAGAATTAGGTGCATTTGTACAGCTAGAGATTTGGGAGCCATACTACAGCAACTCCGTCTACGTCGGCCAAATGTCGCAACCCGAAGATCACTACGACCGCGAAAGGTACCAGGAATTCCACGAATTCAATGAGCTTCCTGATGTTAGGAGCCAAGAGTGGATGGATGCGATACCGGACGAAGCGGATCCAGCCGTGGTAGGTACTCCCAGCGTAGATAGTTCCAGCGTGGAGTCAGAGCGGTAGCACTTCTCAAGCATAGTTTGAGGCATAGATATAGTCTTGAAAGTAAATTGTGTAATTTGCGATACGACAGGTATAGTTCGTGAACGCAAATGCAAAACGCGGGTGCCGTGACGCAACCTCCTCCAGTCTAGTCATATGAAGAGATAGGTGACGTCGTTTCCAAAAGCATGACGAATGTGGCACACAGTCATCGGCTAGTGGCTCGGCACGACAACCTGAGCACGGATCAGTTGTGACTTTTTAACACAGACATGACAGTTCCCTCTACTGCACTCTATGTTACATGGCTTTATGTGTTCCGGACTTCGTCGCGCGGCCGTTGTCATTCGCATGCCGCAACTCATGCGCTTCGCCATGCATCAGCCCTGTTGGATGACACATAGTTGGAATAATCCAGACTAGCATCCATTCAAGCATACATCTCGTCCCTCTCCACCCTCCAATCCTGTCTCTCTATCAGTTCTACCTGCTCCAACGCTTCCTCCACCAACCCTCTTACCTCCTCATCCTCGACCTCTTTCCCATTCTCCAACCCCTTGATCCAGATATCCCACCTCTCTTTATTGAACCCAACCCACCTCTTCCTCGATTTGCGAGATGCGTCGCCCTCTTTAGCAGGGTTACCATTACTCGCCCTGTGCCTAAAGTCGCGCTTCGCCCGGACATTCTCCCACAGCCTATCCGCAGCGTGGATCATCCACAATGCCGCCGCGCGTAGCACAGTGGTGTTGTGCGCACGCGGCTCAGCGGTATTCTCAAAAGCCTCGCGGAAATCCCAAAGAGCGTAGAGCGAGAAGTCAAATGGTCCTGTGGTAGTCCCTGGCTGCAGGGGAAAGTTTGCGGGAGAAGAGGTTAGCTGGGCGAGTAAGGCGACTTTGTTGATATATTGAATCTCCGCGTCGGGGTCTGCAAACGGTGAGTTGTGTTCTGTGAAGACATTGGGGTTTGTGTGAAGAATTGCATACCACAGTTCCAGTAATTTGCAACGTTGATGCCGAACAGGGGTACATCCGTCCAGAGTGTCTCATTGTAGTGTGGATCGAAGCGCAAATGATCGCCTGTTGCTAGGTCTATGATTTTCTGCTGCTGTAGGGTGCGAACGAAGTCTACCAGCGCTGCCTGCTGCGAAGACGGAGTACTTACGACAACACGCTCCATGAGAGCTTGCCAGGTGTTGTTAACATGTCTGGAAAGGGCGTCGCTTCTGGAGAGTGTTGTAGACGATGCGACTGCACATGTGAGATTGAGCAACTCTTGAATGACTGTGTTCACTGTGGCTTCCGGCCATGTGAGACTGGAGATAATCTGGAGCTCTCGAGTTTCCGCCGTGTTGGTATCGCAGGATCTATTCTGCGGTTTTTAGGTATGAGGATCGTTCGATAGCTGCAAGATGTGTGAAGCTGGACTGTGTGGACATTGATTGACTGTGTTTCGACTCTAAACATAACTGATGTATGTGAGCCCTTTTGTATGGTTCAAGAAGGTCATACTCCTGGAGCAGTGGCTACTAGCTGCACTTTTACTCGGATCCTGTGCTATTCCTTTCTTTCCGTAGTTACTCGTTTCTGCCGTAAGACTTCCTGCCTGCACGTGTCTGACCACTTCTGCCTCTTTTTAGCAGACTGAGTCTTGCTGTGGGGAAAAGACTGTAAGTAGTGTAACGATCTCACAGTATCTGCAATGCATGTCGTGGCAGAAGCCGTGCTTCAAACTACACAGAGGTTTCAGTCTTGATTTTATTGTTCGAAGACTGCATTGCGCCGCAATGACTACGAACGACACTTGTGATTCAGTCAATCCACGTGCTTCGAGCGCGACGCTATTACATCATGGTTTTACAACGACGACAACTAGGACTCAGCTCCGTCTATGCACTCCGCACTTTTGGTGTGACCAACCCAACAGCAGTATTCATGAATCTAGGACTCAGGTGATTACTGCAGTCATATCTTCATGCCGTGTCATAGGCGTTGCAGTATATATTCCGGAGATTCCCACGATGTATTTCGCGATTATAACTATAAAGACTTACTGAACAGCCTTGGAAACCTTCAACAACAAGCGTATTACTACTTTGGAAATAGCTCTGTTCTCTAATACTGGAACACGATCATCATGTCATTCCCCGAAAGCCTTGTAGAGCATCCTTTTGCTCGTATTAACGTCTCGCCCGACGCCCAAGAAGTCATCGATGCGATGAAAAAGGTTCATGGCTTCAACGAAGCTGTCCACGAAATCATCTGTAATACGAAGGCTTACATGGAGATGGTCGAAGAACAGCAGACCTTGGCCCCCAAGACCAAAGAGGAGCACCAAAAAGAACTTGAAGCCGTCAACAAAAAAGGAAAGCCCTGGATTGGCAAGTATCTGAGATGTTTTACTGCAGAGTACTTGGAACATGGCAAGAATGAACTACGAACATGGTCCTTTCCCAAGATAGTGTGGGAGCACTTCCAGCAGATGGTTCGCACTCTGTACCCTGATACAGGCTGTCCTGAACCTGATATATGCTTTAACAAGTACGGCATAACCCTCTTCGACACCTGGGATACGTGGGCAGCAGCGTGTCCTAACGTTCCTCCTTTCCTTCGGGTCTTCAATCAACTCCCCGCTTATGCGGACTTCGCCTTCCAGGAAATGGAGATACGAAAGATGGACAAAGACCAACGCTATCTCCAGTTAATATATCAGGTATGGTGCGGCCCCAGACTGTGTGGCACGATGCAGAGCGATGGAACATGTCATCATGCAGGTCAAATGCATCAGTTCACGAAGAAGCCGAGAGGTTGGATGAACGGCAGAGGCTGGACAAGTGGTAATGCGTACCAGATAGGACATGAGACGTCTGTGGACTTGGGCGAACAGCATTGGGTTGCCATATTCGACATGGAAGATGGAACACTCGTCAAGAAGCGCGATTACGATTGGACCGAGTTCTACGACGATTGGTCCAATGGTTATCCGCAAATTTATTATCATGATTGAATTCGGCTGTACGATAACCTCCTAGCACCGGGTGGGGGATAGATTAGTGTGGTAGATTGATTGAAATGAGATATGTTATTCGCGTTGTGGAATCTATGGTTGGTGAACGTGGACGTAAATCATGGGTGCAGTGACGCAATCTCTCTGTTTACAACTCGGTCATACGATGAGGTTTGGGAAACTACATAGAACGAGTTTGTTGTTGCTTGAACATGTGCCTAGAAAGGGGGCCGAGTTTGGAACCCTGTGTTCGACTTGGATGAAGGCGAAAATTGGGTGTGATTGCAGAGGGAGGCTATCGATCATTAGCAAGACGAGTTCGACTCTTAAAGAAAGTAATAACCATACGCGAGTTGTGCAAGGTACGTGAGAGGCTGCTTCGTGATGTCGAGTGCTGAGTTTGTGGGAAGCATCCACAGTTTGCTAGATGGCCGGTTAGGACGAAACAAGTTTCAGGCTGTACTCGGCCATATCATGACACATGCAGCATGATATCGATGTGCATGTTGTACGTTGTTAAAGTGTGGCGGATAATTCGGCATGCACCGCCATCAGACTAGCGCGCTTTGCCCTGCATATCGCGTGGGCGTGCCACATGCCGTCGCATGGCACTTTGTCAGCGCGTGCTTGCCTCAGCACCGAAGCACGCCGCATTCTCGACGCTTCTTGCGGTTTCTCGGCCTCTTTCCCTTCTGTCTTTCCCTCTGTTGTGAGATCTGTCAGCTTCTTCCTCAGTCGATATAACATCTGAAGCCTTGCGCCACAACCATGGCGTCAGAAAGCTTCACCGAAATGAAGGGCGGCGACGTGGAAGCCGTGGGCGCACACTGCCAAATGGAGTACTGCCACGTCCTCGACTTTCTCCCATTCCGCTGCGAAAGCTGTCGGGGGTGTGTATCCCAGTCCCCCCACCACCACCTCTCTCTATCAGACTAACACCCTCAGAACATACTGCCTCGACCACCGCACCGAACACGCGCACAAATGCCCCCAAGCCGGCTTGTGGGCGCGCCAACGCGCCGCCCAAAGCGCCTCCTCGTCCACAATACCGCCCAAACCCTCCCTCTACACGCACGACCAGCAATGTTTCGAAAACGCATGCAAGACGCTCATCAACACGTCGCGCATGCCCGCCAACCAATGCGCCGCCTGCAACCGCAGCTACTGCCTCAAGCACCGCATGCCCGAAGACCACGACTGCAAAAACGTGCCTCGGCGCGGCGCCGCAGCTGCAGGCGCGCGCATGAGCGCGCTGCAGAAACTCAAGCTGTGGGCGGAGAACAAGCGCAAGGAAGACGACAAGCGGCGGGCGCCGAAGAAATCCGGGGGATTTCTGGGCCTGGGCGGAAGTAAGACGGCGGCGACGAATGCGCAGGCGGAAATCAATGCGCTCAAGCGCGCGGCCAAGGGCGAGGCGAGTGTGCCCGCGGAGAAGCGCGTGTATTTGCATGTCGAGGCCAGCGCGGATACCACCAAGGCCAAGTACCCGACGGGCAAGTTCTTCTACAATAAAGAGTGGACGGTGGGCAGGGTCTTGGACGTCGCGGCCAAGGCGCTGCAGGTACAGAACGTGAACAATCGCGGGGGAGGGGAGGAGGAAAAGTTGCGCGTCTTCCATGTCGAGGGGGGAAGGCTGCTAAAGTTTAGTGAGAAGATTGGGGAGGCGACAGGGAACGGGAACATGATTGTGCTGCTGAGGGGGGTTGGGGATGGAGAGCCGGATCTTATTGATTTATGAGGGGTGCGTGGTTGCATAGCGTGGCGTCAAGTGATAAGTGATACCCAGGAGACGATGTTGATGAAGTTATGATTATACAGAATCTAGATGATGCTAATCCTGGTGCGAAACAAGAAGGCATCGAGCACTTCGATAACCCGTGTCATGTCCCGCCGTCCGACCTGTGATGTGTATGCGCTCTGCGGGTATACGACGCTGGACGCTGAACGCTGAACGCCTGAATGGGAACGCCAAACTCCAAGCGCAATGCATGTCAATCCCTTCTCCTCTTCTCCTTTTCTCCCCACTCAGGTTTCAAAGTTTTTGCACTTCAGACTCTTTATTCTCGTGCCCCAGCCCTTGCTCGCCAGATTATTCGCTCCGTCGCGGAATCGTCAGGCAGTCGTCCGTCTCGATGCAGTCGTAATTGCTATCCCACATTAGCACATGTCCTCGCAGTCCTCCCTGTCCCCATCCCTGCGCTAAACGTACTCAAAGAACCGGCAGTTCCAATAATCGTCTCTCCGCAGCACCGTAGCGACATCGTGTCCGCCCACAAGCAGGCTCTGCACCCGTCCATCGATCCTGTCTCCACATTAGCCTCCCGTGCCCATGCCCATCCCAACACCCTTCGGCCAGCGTACAAATTGTTGTCCAGACTCAAACACTGGTCGTGATACGCGTCGACCGACACTTCCGAGACGAACGCCGGCGCGGCGAACAGCTGCACTTTGATGCGCCCATTGTGGTTACGAGGTCGTCGGCGGCCGCAAGCGCGAGGAGCGCGAGAAAGGGGGGTAAGGCGCGCATCGTGACGCCGGTGGTGGTGGTGTGAGGTGAGGTTGACGTTGGTAGGGAGTGACGAAACGAATCGACGTCGGGGCGCTTGGCGGGCGGGTCGGGTGGCACTGCCTCGTTGGGGGTGCTTGGACGTCCACCGTGCACGAGAAACGAGTCGATGGGGGCTTATACACTGAGAATCCATCATGGCTTTTCAACTCGCAACTCGCCGCTGGGCGGATGAGCATTTCCAGAGCGACTCTTTTGGTCATGCGAAATAGCCACCACGCAGATACGTCATGGGCGCCGGCGACGTGGACGTGGGCGCTGCAAATCCGGGGATGCGCAAAGTGCAATATCGACGGACCTGGTCAAATGGTATCTGCCTGACTGTTCACAATAGGTGCGCTTCATAGTATTTGCCTGATTACACATGCAGCGCTACCTCCATGGCCTAAGTGACAAGGATGTTTTGTGTGGAGGCTGAGTCGTCCGTCAGCACGCACATATACGCTCACCAGTCCCCAGCTCACGTCTTGGTAGAGGAGCGTCTCTCCATCTCTCAGCCGTGTTACAAAGAGATTGCCCTGTTAACGCAGAACGCTCTTCGCTCGTCCCAATCAGGCCGGCTCGCGACTTTCCTTCTTTTGTTCTTAGCACAAGCAAATTCCACTATCTTTTTCATATCCCGAACTGCACATTGCAGTACTCTATCGTTTCGCCCGACTTCCTAGCCAGATGGAAGTGGGGAGAATATCCGAAACTGCTCCGTCAGGAACGCATCTCCCGCAATTCGACACGGGCTCGGCTTCGTTGTACTGTAAGGTGCAGCATGAGCCTACAGTGAAGACTCACACATCCTCCTCGGTCCATGACTTGGAGGATGCGGCCAAGGCTGGTTGTTTATCTTGTGCTATTATATTGCTCGGTGCCAGGAAATTATACCCGGAACAGTTTCAGCACTTCATCTATAAAGTTTGCGACAGACAGGGTATAATTCTTGTCAAATATCTTGATAGCGTCTCTCGTTCGAAGGGCAAACCTCCTTCAATGCCGGGAATACATCTATTGACACTGGTAAACACACCAGCCTGTTTGTTGCCAGTAGTTTCAGTCGGTCGCAATACCCCGGAACGATGCTCTATGGAATGGCTCCCGATCCTATCCAGATGGCTAGCCGATTGTACAGCAAATCATAACTGTGGTATCTCCGGAGCGCAGCTGCCAACTAGAGTATTGGACGTTGGTACTTCATTGCAAGACCCCATTCGATTGTATATCTCCCGGGGGGAAAGCGCGCGCTATATTGCTTTCAGTCACTGCTGGGGTGAGAAAGGCCCTGCACCCGCCGTGACAACAAAATCAAATTTGCATCATCACATAGAAGGCTTTGACGTTGGCATATTGCCCAAAAGCTTCCTCGAAGTGATCAGCATTGCGAGGAATCTTCATGTTCAGTTCGTGTGGTACGTGTCCTGAATCTACGTGGTTATGAAACATACCTAATAATTGTCATGATCAACATAGGATAGACTCGCTGTGTATCGTCCAGGATGACGCGAATGACTGGGACAGCGAGTCGGGTCGCATGGCTACAGTCTATAGCAACGCACATCTGGTGGTAGCTGCATCATCCGCTAGTGATAGTAGCGAGGGTTTCATTTCCTCACCATGTCACAATCCAGCATTACCTGTGGCGACCATGCGAAACGATGATGGGAGTTTATCAACTATACACGTACGCTCCGAATATGCCTCTCATCAAGAGCTAGGTCCTCTTGACTCACGTGGTTGGGCACTTGAAGAACGCGCTCTCTCTCGTAGATTGGTCGATTTCCGTCGCTATGAAATGTTTTGGGAGTGCACGCGTTGCAGCTTTTGCGAATGTGGTCAGTCTTTCTCACAAGTGGGACCGAAGACCATCTTCCACAGACCAGAATCAAGCTTCTGCTGGTCTGACCTCAGGAAAGCATATCTTCAAAAGGCATTGACGCATAGTTCAGATTTCCTCCCCGCACTTTCTGGCATCGTTTCACATATGCAGAATTTTGGAGCAGGCGATTATTTGGCTGGCTTGTGGAGGACACGTTTGATCGATCAGCTGTTGTGGGGCTTCTGGTCACGTCCAGTGGGTCTTCCGTCAGCCATGCTAGCAGGCGCAGGGCGCATTCAACCATACCGAGCACCCACGTGGTCATGGGCTTCACTCGACACCCAGAACGGCAGACATATGAAACTGGGCCACAATGCATCCGGCATGCTTTCGGATGTCATTTGTCGCCTTCTGCATGCTAGCTGCACACCTCGGGGCCGTGATGAAAACGGCGCAGTCACTTCCGGCAAGATCGTGTTAGAGGGGAAGCTCATTAAATTCATCTGTCGAGAACACGCTCTAGATGGGCAAAATGTGCTACACGTCCAGGACATGCGACATGCTTCATGGCCAGAACATGTTACGTTGACCATACTGGAGGCACCTTTTGACCTAGCAGAAGAAAGCTACAAGGACATCGAACTGTATGGGATAGCCCTAGTCCGTCATCTTAATTCGGATGTGATCAAGTCGGTAATCACGTACATTGGTATCACTCTTCAGATGTTCGACAAAAAGCTGGGCATTTATGAGCGCGTAGGTGTATGGAAGGGGGATGTTCAGCGATGGGTTCCGCTCAGGCGACGACAGGACGTCCCAATTTGCAATATCAACGGCTCATCGCTTCGAGGAAGCACGGACGTTGGCGCACATGCCAGACACTACAATTACGATTACATGACGTTCAAATGTTGTCGAAAACTTCGTACATGCAGCGGGCAGTATATGAAAGACCTGTATCTAGAATCTACTGAGTTGTAGGCATGGTTCAAACAGAACGCTCTTTTCATCTTATGCGCAAGCTACCTAGGTAGATATAACCTGATGCATCGCGCTAGATGCCGACGTTGCAACTTTCGAGAGCCTCAACTACATGAAAATATGTCAACAAGATTCTCGAAGAAGATTGAGCAGCTCGAAAATCGTGCATGCATAGAAAAAGGAATTCAGGTGGCTTAAAGCTACCGAACGGCTCTGAAACGGTACTTCTTAATCGATGAAGACAATCTGAAAGCTCTGAAATACTACGTCATGGGAGAAAATAGATGTCGAGCAGTTCGGAATTTTGCATAACGATAGAAAGGACATGCAAGCAACTCCCCATTACTGCATCTTACCTGGGTAGCAGAGGAAGAGAATTGCACCGATCGAAAATGGTGCAATGACGGAATTCGAGCAGTTCCATGATGTCAGTGATGGGATGCTTTTTGTGGCATCGTGAGGGCGCAATCGACTCGATTTAGGCACATTAGGGCAGGCTGTTCTAGCTATTGCAGCTATTCACAAAGCGTGTCTGAACACAATCCAACTGGCTATTGTGTCAAATGCTTTCTCTTGAGCTGCAAGACAAATCAGATTTGGAAGTGCAGCAGCACGGCACAACTGTTTGCAGGATCGTGGCTGCAGTCTGATCGACTTCAGAAGGGCTTGTGGACTCGCAGTTGCCCCGAGCGTGAGACTTCGGGCTGCCCGAAATTTCGTCATCTACGTAACTTACATGCTAGGTAGATATAATACTTCTTCATACGACTCGCGTTTGCCCCAAGCGTGAGACTTCAGGCTGCCCGAAATTCCACGTACATGCTGGGTAGACATGATACTTCTTCATACGACTCTCCCTCATACGACTCTCCCAGTTGCCCCGAGCGTGAGACTTCGGGCTGCCCGAAATTTCATTCTATGTACATGCTGGGTGGACATGATACTTCTTCATACGACTCTCGCAGTTGCCCCGAGCGTGAGACTTCGGGCTGCCCGAAATTTCACGATCTACGTACATGCTGGGTAGACAAGATACTTCTCTTCATACGACTCTCCCTCATACGACTCTCCCTCATACGACTCTCCCACTTGCCCCGAGCGTGAGACTTCGGGCTGCCCGAAATTTCATTCTATGTACATGCTATGCAGACATGATACTTCATACGACCCGCAGTTGCCCCAAGCGTGAGACTTCGGGCTGCCCGAAATCTCATAACCTACATAGTATGTACATGCTAGGCGGACATGATACTTCACACGACCCGCAGTTGCCCTGAGCGTGAGACTTCGGGCTGCCCGAAATTTCATACCCGGAATTTCATATTCTACATAGTATGTACATGCTAGGCAGACATGATACTTCACACGACCTGCAGTTGCCCCGAGCGTGAGACTTCAGGCTGCCCGAAATTTCATGATCCGACAAACTTCTGAGAAGAAAACGAAAGATTGTCACAAGTAAAAAAAACGCAGGATCTGAATGAAAGTGCAGCTAGTGTCAACTGCTTCAGGCGTGCGAGCTTTTGGATACTGAGTACCTTTGCTTACCGCTAAATCGCGGTCTTGAGTCTTCCTCTTCATGCACCTGGGCATGTAAACTTCACACTAACATAGCTTTCAATGGAGCCGAGTGGCATTACTTCTTTAGTCACTCATTTTGAGCACCATCAAGTTGCTTCGTGAAGCGCAGATGACGTACTGCCCATGGGGGAATCGGTCGGCGCTACAAGTGCAGGCGAAGTTTAGCCGCTCCCGGGTCCGCTACTCGTATTTCCCCGCATGTCAATAAACTCTCTAGACTTCTTACAGGAACGTCTCCGAACTTTAATCCATCTCTTCCACTCTTTCTGTACATGATGCCGCGTTGTTATGTGTTTGGAGCTGCCATGACCTGCTGTGGGTCGTTGGGAAACCCGAATCGCACGGGCAAGTGCCGAACAGAACTTGATGTCATGCAACAATGACCAACATCAAAGAGGTCGACCCAATCTTATTGTCTTTAGGTACCCATGAAAGTAGGAGACCTTTGTTACCCCGCAGTTAGGGATGTGGAGAGTAAGAATGAGTAGAAAGAGCAAGATCGACAAAGGTTATGTGGCGGGCATGTCAGCGTACAAAAGGTGTGCAAAGTACCGAGCACATACTCATCGTGTCGCAAAGTCAAGCGTAGGCCGTGAAAGCCTTCAATTCCCTCCATAATGTTGCGCTCTCTGGTTTCGCTTAGTTGCGCCACGGCTGTTGCGGCGCAATTTAATTTCACCCATACTCAGTACAACACAAGCCCGCCCGTATACCCGTCACGTGAGTCATCGGCGATGTGAAAACAGTCGTCACTGTTGCTAATCTTGCTTTCAGCGAATATCACGGGAGCTGGAGGATGGGAAGCAGCACTGGAGAAGGCTCGAGGGTTTGTGGGAAAACTGACGATTGAAGAGAAGGCTCGAATGGTCACTGGTATGTCCAACGGATCAAGCCTTTCACGATTACCCATCGCGCACCCTACACGATACATGGAGACTTCATGGTTGGTACTAATAACATTGTTCAGGCACGCCTGGTCCATGTGTCGGCAACATTGCGCCCATTGAGCGCCTGGGTTTCAGCGGTCTTTGTCTCCAGGATGGTCCACTTGCGATTCGCCAAGCTGTCGAAGCATCTGTCTTCCCAGCCGGTCTCTCCGTCGCTGCATCTTGGGACCGTGCATTAGCCCATCAGCGCGGCGTCTACATGGCCACTGAGTTTCGCGAGAAAGGCTCACACATTGCTCTCGGACCTGTAGTGGGCCCTCTTGGCCGATCGCCTTTCGGCGGCCGCAACTGGGAAGGGTTCAGTCCCGACGCGTATCTCTCTGGCGTTCTTGTCGAAGACTCGATCATCGGCATGCAGAGTACAGGTGTGCAGGCCTGCGTCAAGCACTATATATTGAATGAGCAGGAGACGCAGCGGAATCCTTCGACGAGCAACGGCACTACTATCGAAGCGCTGAGCTCGAACATTGATGATAAGGTGCGTGTTATGCCAAAACAGACGAGTCAAAGCTAACGTGTGACAAAGACTATGCACGAAACCTATCTCTGGCCATTTTACAATGCAATCCGAGCTGGCTCAGCGTCTGTAATGTGTTCTTATCAACGCATTAATGGCAGGCAAGTTACTTGGTCGGATCGACATTCACTCTTGACTAATGGTGGAACAGCTACGGGTGCCAGAACTCAAAGACCCTGAATGGGCTACTCAAGGAGGAGCTCGGATTCCAAGGCTACGTGATGTCTGACTGGGCAGCGACTCACTCGGGTGTTGCCTCGATTGAAGCTGGACTGGTAGGTTCTTCCATCAAATGCGTCGATGTCGCCCTCCTTTTTACATTTCGCGCTTTATCTAGCCTCAATCATCGCGAATAACACCTGCTCACATCAGGCAGGATATGGACATGCCCGGAGGCATCGGCTTCTTCAGTGGAACGTCGTCCTTTTTTGGCGGCAATGTGACCACTGCGGTGTAAGTGCTGTGTTTGCTCTAGAAGCCATACGAAGGTTGCTGATCATGGACATGTTCAGAAACAACGGCACGCTATCTGTTCAACGCGTGGATGACATGGTTCTGCGCATCATGACACCATACTTTTACCTGGGCCAGGACGCCAACTTCCCACCCGTCGACGGTTACACTCCAAAACTTGGGTTCTTTCCGAGTGAAAACTATGTTAGTAACTTCACCCTGGGTCCAGTTGTCGACGTTCGGAAGGAAGAGCACGAAAGGCTCATTAGAGAGCTGGGTGCAGCAGGCACTGTCCTATTGAAGAACACTAATGGCTCTCTGCCGTTGCGGCAACCCAAGAGAATCGGAGTCTTCGGAAACGATGCAGCAGACGTCACCGAAGGCCAATATCTGCAATCAGACTATGACATTGGGACTCTTGCAGTTGGCGGTGGAAGTGGAACTGGCCGATTCTCTTCCCTGGTATCGCCGCTTGAGGCGATCAAAACTCGAGCGCGATCTTACCGGGCACAAGTGCAGTACATCACTAGCAACGATGTGATCGTCAGCGGTGCCATGTCCTCCATCGCTCCACTTCCGTTGGATGTGTGTGTCGTTTTCCTCAAGTCTTGGGCAAGTGAGGGCGAAGACCGTACCACCTTGATCGCGGAATGGAACTCAACCAAAGTTGTTGAAGAGACTGCAAAAGTGTGCAATAACACAGTCGTGGTTTTGCACGGTGCCGCACCAAACACTCTTCCATGGCGGGACCACCCCAATGTCACCGCCATCTTGGCCGCACATATGCCAGGTCAGGATACGGGCAACTCGATTGTGGACATTCTATGGGGCGACGTGAACCCATCTGGAAAACTGCCATACACCATTGCCAACAACGAAACCGACTACGCCAAGAACCTCGTCACCAGCGCACCGCTCGCATCAGCGACCAATCCTGATGCATGGCAAGCGGACTTTGTCGAAGGCAATCTTATCGACTACAAAGAGTTCGATGCAGCCAACACCAGTGTTGCATACGAGTTTGGCTTCGGGCTCAGCTACACCACATTCAATCTGACGAACATGACTTCCAGCATCGTAGTCGCCAACGCATCTCGAACACCGAACCCAGCCGCCCCAATTCTCCCGGGCGGCAATGTCGAGCTTTGGGCCACACTCGCCACAGTCGATGTAACCGTCAATAATACCGGCAAGAGAGACGGAGCAACGGTCGCACAGCTGTATCTCTCGTTCCCAGACGAAGCGGCTGCCCCTGTCCGAAGTTTGCGGGGCTTCGAGAAGGTAACACTCCCGGCTGGAGGCTCGACTCGGATCCAATTCGACTTGTGCAGACGCGACCTGAGCTATTGGGATGTTGTTGCGCAGACGTGGCGTTTGCCTCAAGGAGGTGTCAAAGTGAGCGTGGGCTTCAGCTCGCGAGACCTTGTGCTTCAAGGAACGTTGGCGGTTTGAGTATCTTGATGCATAGCGGTACGCAAGATAATGTAATGTATGTAACAAGGAAAGCCATGTGTGTCATGGAGACCGATGAGATTCCATGTTCTTCGGGATGCTTCCCATTCCTCCTCAGTGTAAAGCTCCGCGGTCGTGTGTTGGTTGCTCTCGAACGGCGTGGGCGTACTTTAGCAGTTGCACGCGGAACAAAATCTTCCGCCAATGGCATGCAGCTGACAGGCTAACAAGTACACTCGTTCTTCCGACGCTTCCGGGGAGGCCTACGTGATGTGCGTGTGTACTATGTGTAACATGGGTACTGGAAGCAAAGAATTCGCGACATGCGTCTCTCCAATCATGTTGCACCCTCGCCTTAAGCAGAGGTGATCTCGACAGCGCAAGGTTGTGCTCTTAGTTTCATTGTTCGGAGAATAGAACATCATGCGACTAATGGTGAGTTGCAAGGAAATCCACGCTGTGGGAGTTTCACCACAACAGCGCCGCTTTCACATCAACATGCGAATTGCGCGTGGTCGCATTGCTTCGAGAAGCTCAACTAATTAGTTGCATATCATGATTCCGACATGAAGCGCCGTAATTTTGGTCGCAAATGCCATGGAGGGCCTGGAGGACAGATGGCGCCAAAGTTGGCGCGTGGGGTAGGGCGGAGACAAGCAACTGCCTTCCGTACCAAGCTTGCTAGGCAAATCTTGACAGGAGATCTCATCTCCACATGCCTCGTTGAAACTCTACAACACCACAGCTGGATGCACACAGTATTCCAACCGGACCTACAGCACATGCAGCCATGAAGGCGGGATCGTAACATCCCACCTATGGACTATCCGCGGACAATGCGGACCAACGTAGTGAGTGACTTCCTGCGGAGGTACACCGTGCACATCGCCACAGCTCCTGATAGCGCGGTCATCTCCCGATCTTCCACGAATCAGATAATGGACGGTGTTTAGCTGCCGGTGCATCGTCGCCGAAGAAGGTCCATTGCAATATCGCGACCAGTGAGCAGATATCGCTTGTTATGGAGAGAGAATGCAATGCTGTGTCAAATTCTGACAAAGCACATAGGTACGAGAACCACAGACGTACAGTGAAGAATCAACTGTGTACCTCCAAAATGTTCGACATCCGTGCCATATCTTCAATTGCGGCATTGCGCTCACGACATAGTTTGGAGATTGCGGCGACCACGCGCCGGTGTCAGCATCGTCCCGTGTCTTTGCAAGCGATTCAGGCTAATGACCGCTCAAGCTCGGTGGTATGGGAGCCACCCCACACCGTGCCCCAAACATCTCCATATAATTTGCACAATCTGCCCCAGATTCGACGGCATCCCCGGATCCATCTTGTCCATCTCTCCACATCATCCTTTTGAGCGAGATGACCTCGAGCATCGAAAAGTCGTCCGCCCATGGCATTGAGCACGCCTCCGAATCGAGTGTCGATGCGGTAGCATTCGAGGAGGGCAAGGACCTCGGCCTGAGCGCCGCGCACTTTTGTACTGATGCGGACAACAAGCGCATTCTTCGCAAGACGGATATCTGGATGCTTTCGCTTCTTTGCATGGTCTACTTTCTCCAGTCAGCAGACAAGGGAATCATTGGTTTGACTGCTGTTTACGGATTGAAAACCGATGCACATCTCAAAGGCAACGACTACTCCAACATTGGCAACATCGGATACTACGCACAACTCGGTGTGCAACCGCTGGCGGCCTGGGTCCTTGTTAAGCTTCGATATCGTCATGTTTTGCCCGTCATCATCACCTGCTGGGGTATCTCCGTTGCTGGTGGTCTAGCCGGATCGACGAACTATGCTGGTCTTCTCGCGTCGCGATTCTTCCTAGGCGCTTTCGAAGCCGCTGTTATTCCACTCTTCTCGATGATTACGATTGCATTTTACAGGCGATCCGAACAGCCTTTCCGTGTTGCCTGCTGGTACAGCTGCTATGGTCTCAGCACACTCCTCAGCGCCCCCATTGTCTACGGCTTTGGTCGCATTCACTCTAGCTCTCTCCATCGATACCAGATCGTCTACCTCTTTTTCGGACTTCTGACCATCGCCGTCGGTCTTATCACTTACTGGTGGGCTCACGACAGCCCTGGAGAAGCTCGATTCCTATCGCATGAAGACAGGCTGAAGGCCGTTGATCGATTGAAGGCAAACCAACAGGGTATCGTGTCGCACAAGTTCAATTGGAAGCACGTTATCGAAGCTGTGACTGAGCCCAAATACTGGCTGTACATGATCATGGTCATTGCCGTCAACGCTGGCGCCTCTGTATCTTCAGTCTTTGGATCCATCATCTTGAAGGACCTCGCAGGCTTCACCGCCGATGAAGCCGTACTTCTCAACATGCCCTTTGGCGCTCTTCAGTTCGTGTCCATTCTTGGCGCGTCGTGGCTTGCATACCGCTTCAAGCGCAAGTCGCCCTTTCTGCTCGCCCTCGTCACGATTGTCATCGTTGGAGTCGCACTGTTAGTCGCGCTCCCAAAGAACAAAGCGAACAAAGGCGGTCTACTTGTTGGGTACTATCTCATTGCATTTGTGTTCGCCATCAACCCTCTCCTAATCTCCTGGATGGGCGGCAATTGCGCTGGCCAGACCAAGAAAGCGATTTACTACACTTCATTCAATGCCGGAAACTCCATTGGAAACATCATCACCCCATATATTTTCGACGCCAAGTTCCAGCCACAATACGTAAGTTTGCCATATCTACTCTGCGCCTCAGATACCCACTGACACATCGCAGGTCAATGCGCTCAAAGGCATCCTCGCCATCTGGTGCATTCTTTGGGGCGTTGTAATCGCCCAGGTTGTACTTATCACCTGGATGCAGAAGCAGAAGAAGAATCAGCGCGAGGCGGCCGGCCTGCCCCGGGATTTCGTTGATTACTCAATGAGCGGCAAGTTTCACGAGGCTGGCGAGGAAATTCACGGAGAAAATGGCCTACAAGACATGACGGACAAGGAGAACTTGTACTTTCAGTATTTGCTATAGTTGGAAGACGTACGCACTACAATATAATGTGTTTGATATGACATGGTCGGTTCGTGCAGTGAGTGATATTGTTCGTCGATTGGGCTCTTTGTATTTCGATTGACAACATAAATCAAGAAGATGAAAAGCACGTTGTCTCGATGCAAACGATATTGCCCGGACAACGTCTCTTCCTTGCAAGGAGCGAAACTTGCGCGATACGAGATTGGCTGAATTTGCTCTACCCTGATGCAGATCCTGCACGGTTGCAGTGTGTACGCCTACCCAAGATATGGTTCTGACCACTTTAGCGACTTCCAGGATCACTGCCTTGTAGTGTGGCTTCTTGGCAAAGTCTTCAAGACGATGTCGCTGGTGATGGCATCGTCGCTATCTTCATATTCGACGAAGTGGATGCCGACGTACGCCTGCCATCTTCATCTCGCGGCTACTGCTTGGAATCACAGGTGAACCGTGCGGGAGGGCTGTCGACTCGTCGGAAGTGGAGTTACTTGAGTGGCATGACATATCCTCGGAAGGGGCACTGTTCTTAGCAAGTAACGCGGTGGACGGTCTTGTTGACGTGCTGTGTTCAAGCTCCATACGAGAAAAGATTGTCATGGGTCGCATCGTCTATCGTATCGAAGGACCAGTCCGACCAAGACGATCGGTCCGACTCTGAAAAATCGTTGAACAAGACCAAGAGCAGGTCCCACTGTACAGTTTTGAACGCTGCTTTGGATAGCTTGCCGATATCTGGAAGACGGCTCCACTTCATCATAAAGTATGCTAACTTTTATGCCTAATCGTTGTGGTATAAAGCCGGTCAAACATCTACCATATTATGTGCAGCTTTCTTGCCACTTCGTCACACATCCGACAAACACGTAGCAACAGCGACAATGAAACTCCTATCGTTCATCGCACCAGCTTGCCTTCTAGGCACAGCTGCTTCAATCGACATGTCCAAGTATTCTGCAGGGCCTGGGGTCGAATCAGAGTTTAAATCCTTTGTACAAGCGTACGCCACCTGCATTCTGGCAGTAGCCAAAGCGACGGAAGCACTCAACTAACATTCTTAGGCTCTACGCATCTACTGAGGATCCAGCTGTGAGGGAGACCTTCGCTGATTACTTCACAACGAACGGAACACTCATCGTTCGTGGGATCGTCGCCACTGGCGCAGATGAGATTATAGCGTTGAAGGAGAAGCTACTTCCTCCAGCGGGCAACAAGCATTGGAACCATAAACCCAATGTGACTACCGTTGACTCGGAGACGGCTACGCAGAAAACCTATCAGGTGCTCGGTGTTATTCAGTCTACCTATGATGGTGGAAACTGTTCTCAGGCATAGTACGCACCCAACTCACAGCTTGTATTGTATGGCAGTAGATTGCGCAATAGATGCTAACAGTAGAATCAAGCTACTCGACTCGATTCACTGTCACCAAGGATGTCAGCGGTATCCCGCAGATCGCTCCCCACTCTGGAAGCCTGGTGTCTTACGACGATTTCATCATCGAACCTTCACAGACGCCAACCGACATACCTTGTGAGAAGTAACGTGCCTTCGGAAGAACACAGATTGGTGGAGAGCTTTGTAGAGTTTGGGCTATTTGTAAAAAGAATGACTGCCTTGCTGGCGGAATGGCAGTCGGCCGTAGAGCAGCTCTCTAGAAGATATGATAATAATGATACCAACGGCCACGGATGGCACGAACACTCCTGCAAGTTCCTTGAGGCCATCATTTCGTTATCAGTAGTTTCTATCGTCTGCTTGAATGACTTGCCATTGCATCTTACAACAAGCGGTGATCCAACATCACATGGCCCAAACTCCTCGTTCCCCACTCTGAAGTCGCGTCGAATCATTACCCAGCGCCTAAAGCACGTGGAAACATCTCCATGTGTAATTTGAACGCCGGACGCAGATGTACAAACGCCTGGATTCTCTTCAGAAAAAAAATCTTATTTCCTGTTCAGGATACCTTCAATATCGTCAGCCAGCAGATCCCAACGAGCACTGCTCAAGGAACAAGGAAGCTATTCAGCTCATGTACAGTCGCAGAGGAATCTGAAATCGGATGCAGATCTCGGATAAGACCCACATGCAATTATAGACACCGTTGTAGATGTGGGGTTTCGGCTTTATTACGAGGCCGAGCGGTGCGTGCAAACCTCCTGTCCTTGAGCTGTATTCGGAAAGAACTCCTCAGATAAAAACCATAGAAAATGATGTGTGCCGCGATTGTAGTTTCCCCATGCATGTCGCAGCTCTTGGACCATGAAGGTACTCGAACTACTGCATGTACGCGAAGGAATAGCAAACTGATGATGATAGCACCCCGCTTTGGCTAGTTGTGTCTGAATCACGCTCTAGGCGCAGGGATTCTCAACAAGGTCGACGCTAACTGCTTTTGAGCTGGCAGTGCGCTACTACAGGGGAAGGCCCAGTGCCCCTACCGTATCGAACGACAGCTTACCGCGGTTTCCTGTCAACCCAAGAATGTTTCTAGACGGATACGATAAACCAAAGGATGCAAGCTGGGATTGGCGTGTAAGTCATTGCTGGGTGGATTCAAAAGCGCTATCAGATCACAGCTATATAGCACCCAGGCATTAGTAACGATAATTGAGAGATGTAAAGACACGGAAGTCCTGTCGGCTGTCGCGCCTACAGTACCATGAACTGGCAAACATGCTAGCACCGAAGCAACGAGACCAAACAAACACATCAGGCGGCCCTTTCATCTTACTGAATAGAGTAGTGGATTTTGCGCTGGCTGTTAAGTGCATTCTAACCAAGCGACACACCGAGCATCGCAACATTGGAATGCTTCAACCAGAAGCAATAATAAACACGTATGACTACCGAAACACTCCAGGCCATCATCGAAGGGCCCTAATCAGATCCCGAGTATTTGACAAAAATGTGTCGCCCTGAATCGGTTGCTAACTTCCAGTGTGGTGCAACACGCTTTGGGGAAGCTTCCCGCGGAGCCTTTTTGACAGCAGAAGCGACATTGTCTACGCCCATACAAAGTTGAGCGAGTACAAAATGCGTAGTCGATGTGCGCCGACAAAACAGCTGTTGGATCACATGAGAAGCACGGCAAACATTTGAGGGTGACATACGAGCGGTCAGCCACGTTCGCTTCCCTGGCTTGGCATGATACCGCCGACGAAGATCTGGCAGGCCAAAAACATCTTGTAAAATTGGTGAAGGCGCTACTTCGGTGGCGTAGATTCAGCTACGCATGTGGACGGTCGGGGCCTAAGTGCACACAAAGTGGGGTGAATGCACAGCCCATCAACACTGTTCCGCATGCAGACTTTCCACAGCCTTGGGTGCGTCCTACGACCACCAAACTTGACCTCAATGAGAGGCCCAGAACCCTCACGTACCCAGGTGCATATCGCTCTCAGTGTCCTACACTACGGTGAGACTGGCTCTCGATAGGCGCAATTTGGACTAGGCTGAGGCTCTTGCAGGTGTCAAGTCCTTTCTTCCGCGTAACTTCCCGCCTAGCAACTCAGCTTATCGTAGGACATTAGCAGCTCGCTCATCAGCCTTTCAACAAAGGATGCGCTTCAATGCGTCACGACTTCCGGTCTTCAGCCCCCAAATACCAAGAAAACGCTACGCCCTGAGGCGCCAACATCGTTACGCGAATGGTCAGGGTTCCGCCACCACGGGTCGAAGCCAACAATATGCTGTGCAACACGCGAATAACAGCAATCCCTAGGTATTGGTGACCGCCACTGTCGTATTGGCAAACTCAAGGCGGACTTGCCACTGCAGATGGACTTGATGGCTTATCACAGGTGGACTCAAGGCAGTACAATTCACCTGCTTGCACCACTGGTCATCAGTGCTCGAAAGTCCTCCCAATTCTGTTCTCGATCTTGCGAAATCTGCCCTCGCCATGGCAATTTCGACACGATCTGGATGTTTGACCTTGTTCGCCTACCTGTTCGTCTCCCTTCGACTTGTGTCCGCCCAGCGACCAGAGAGCGCTTCCGTCTGTGATTACTACGCACAACAACGGTTTGGGACCAATAGCAGCGAGTCGCAGTTACGGTTCATGCAGAATGTAGTATGTCTTGCATTCGAAGGAGGCTCTACTTTACCCAACATATCGTCAGACTTGACTGGGATTCTCCGACCCGGAAAGTTCAAAGGCAACAACATTGACTTGATGCCGTACTTCAACGGATCAAGAGCCTCTACCAATGTTAACAATGCCGCGATCGGTATCAACTGGTTGGATCAGGGCGGGCCTGCACCGCTTGCTTCATTTCTTGAAGGAGGCGACTCGCAAACTTTGGTTTTGGCCAATACTTCGAATCAATAGTACGTCCATGCTCGTCTTCTGTCTCTGCACAATGCGCCTGCTGATCTGAACATCTCAGTCATTTGTTCAGTAACTTCTTTGTCGCATTCAGTCGATCATTTGGATGTACCCTGCCGCCTCGACCGCCGCCCAACACCAACGGACCAATAAGTCTAGCGTATGCGCACAAGTTCATGAACCTTGAGTATAACCAGCTAGGCTACTTCATCAGCCAGCTTGCTCTGGCAGCTCAGTACTTCGGAGTATCGTCGCAAGATGCCGGCTCGATCGAAACATCATTAAATACTCGTGTCAACATTCGTTGTGCGCCAGCCACTTCTGCCAATCCGCCCATGCTGCTTAGTCTTTGCCAAAATCCGACGTGTCCGCTGGCAGTGCCTATAAGTGACTGCGCGGCATATAACAACCTGACCGCGGTTGGAGTCACTGACAGCAAACCTACCACCGTGGCAAGCAGTCTGCTTCCGACTTTGACGGCATCATCAAGCGGCACCAGTCAGTCTGGATCTTCTAATTCAGGTGTAGCATCATCGGATTCCAGCGGGCTCAGCACCGGTGGCATTGCAGGTGTCGCCGTCGGCGGTGCTGCCATCCTCCTGATCGCGGTTATCGCAATCTTCTTCTTCCGCCGCAAGCGAAGCCGGACCCCATCACCGACAGCAACAAATCCTGCTCCTGAAGCTACATGGAACCAACAGGGGTTTGGCTCACCAACCAATCACTCGATTTCTTATGGCCCTAAGGACCCACATCAATCTTACCTCTCGACTGGCGCCCCTCCATCAGAAATGGATACGTCTGGCTACATGAGTGCCAGCCCTCCACCAGCCAGTCCAGACCCTACGGCACATAATGCTTACAAAAGATACTCTGAGCAACAATATCAACCGTACTCGCCGCCACCAGTAGAGATGGATACCTCACGGACGCCAGGAGCAGGAATGGGCCATGGACCCTTTGCACCACCTCCCATTGCGAGTAGTCTGGAGTGGCAACATTCGAGCCGCGAATCCCCAGTCCCTGTGCACCAGCAGCACAGTTCCCATCAGTCTTGAGGCAGATAATCGCGATTTCTAAGCGAGAGGAATGGGTGACATGGAATGATTACATCACATTTACACTGCATGTTTGCTGTTCCTCTGTGAGCTGGCTGTAGCACCAAAACACCAAAGATATATGCAGTGATCTTCTGGCTTTGCGGTCCTTGCTAGCCGTTGTAGCACCCGTCGAGATGCAAATGTGATATGATTCGCGCATTCATCTGGACATTGTGCAGCTCAGATCCCTGCATTGCAGCATCAGAATCCTTCAAGAGAGCTTGAACTTCAGATTTATTACTTCCTGCAACAGCTTACAGCGAAAGCGAGAAATGGAAGAGGTGCGAAGAAAACGTACAAAGCGCAACCAATGCTGTTCACCTAGTCGAATGACTATAAATAGTCACGCGCCACAGAAGCTACCCCGCAACGACGCTCAATTTCTCCTGCCCCCAGATCGTACGACAATGGGAGGAAGCTCATCCATACTCTGCCTTGCACGGGTAATTGTCAAACAAATGCGACCTTGCACGAATCATTGACCAACCAGCGCGTTATGCGCTCCGAGTAGGTCAGCGGACATTTTGATGCTCATTTTGCCTGCAGAGCAACTTCACACAATACTTTTGGCCACGACTAAACAATTGCCAGGGCGTTGAAAGTCGCATGCACCTCCGCTTAAACCGCGACACAGCCATATCTGGTTTGCCACCATGCGAACTGTTGTAATTTAGTCCAGGTAGCCAGGATTTGTGAGTTGACCAATGTTGGGGCTCAGAGAAATTGCGCAGTACTTCTGTGCCAGGAAGAAGAGATCCCGTCCATTATTATCAGCGCGGCTCGGAAGCTACCTGCGGTCTCATTCACGACAGCAGCAGCGATAGTTCAACATGCATATAAATAATGCTGTTCAGCGTTCGCGAAGCATCCAGGGGTGGAGCTACATCGTCGCTTATGGGCGTGTGCATACCTTTTTGGACTGTTTCAGGTTATTCGATGCTGAGTGTTCTATACTCTTGTTTCGTACTCACTTTGCAGTCTTTGTGCATGATACTCGGGAATCGTATCTTCCCTAATTTGATCAGTACATGGATGCGTTCAGTCGAATGGTCGTGGATCATTTGGCTGCGCTGTGGCGGCTGTGAGCGCTGGATACGCGGACCGCACTCTCAGTAAGGAAGAAATGATTGTGAGTCGTGGAAATTTCGTATACACATAAATGGCGGTTCCCCGCGATTGACCAGTCTGATCCTGGCATGATCAGCGCTGGAGGAACATGAGATCTAAGCGATCGCAGCATGGGACCACTTTGGTCTACACGTGCATTTACCGGTTGAAATGCTGCCTTTTGGTGTGCGGTTCTGATTTGTAAAGCCAAGGAATGTATATGAGCAACATGCGCGAAGGATCTGCAATACCACAAATGTCGACTCGCTTGTCAGCTCATTGGGTGTGTCGAAGCTGACATGGTGAGGTCGTAAGCTTCTAGCGCCATGCTACGCTTTTCTGGTTCGTTGTTCCAGGAGCGAAGAACGAAACCTACTTGCCGTCTTCGTATCGGAGAGTAACCATGGTGTTGGTTTTGCAGATCAAGCTTCGTGACCTGCAACGATTCTGCCTTCTCCAAGCTTAAATGAAAGGCCAGTCGCACACCATAAACCCAGAATCAAATTATCTCCTCACACCCCCCACGAATACATCGCAAGCCATGGCGCCCACAGTCGTTGAGGTTGATGGCATCGTCGAGCGCATCGTTGCCAACGATCACGTGCGTTGGTGGAATAAACCAAACCTTCGGCAGCTCTACCTACTTCTCGTACCCTTCTGCTTGTTCATCGAATCAACTTCGGGCTTCGACTCTAGTATGATGAATGGCATGCAAGCATTGGTGTTCTGGAAAGACTACTTCAACCATCCCAAGGGAGGTCTGCTCGGACTTCTTGTCGCATGCTATAATCTTGGAGGTATCACCGCAATTCCACTTGTAGCACTCTTTTCGGATCGGTTTGGTCGACGGATGAGTATCGTGTTCGGTTCTGCTGTCATGATTGTTGGTGCCGTGCTGCAAGGCCTCGCACGGAACGGTAAGCTGAGAAGGAAAAAATTCGTGATACAATGTTGACGTACAGCCAGTCGCAATGTTCATCATCGCGCGCATGATTCTCGGCCACGGCATTGTCTATGCCATCATAGGTGGCGCTGCACTACTTGGTGAACTCGGTCATCCAAAAGAACGCGCCTTCCTAGGGTCAATGTTCAATGCCTTCTTCGGCATTGGTGCTGTACTTGGTGCAGGAATTGTCGTACGAACCGTGCTCATCCCAAATGACTGGAGCTGGCGACTGCCTTCGATCCTGCAGGCTGGTCCTTCGGTTATACAAATCCTCTTTGCTTTCACGGTCCCTGAGAGTCCACGTTGGCTCGTCTCGAAAGATCGAAGCGAAGAAGCACTCGAGATCTTGATCAAGTATCACGCTGAAGGCGACGCTTCCAATGAGCTGCCACATATCGAGATGGCAGAAATCCGCAAAGCTCTGGAGCTTGAGAACGAGTCTCGGAAACGCGGATGGGCAGAACTGTTCCAGACCAAGGGCATGCGGCACCGAGCCTTGATTGGGGCAGCACTAGGACTTTTTACCCAGTTCAGTGGCAACAACCTCATCTCACAATATCTCGTAAAGATATTGACACAAATCGGAATCACAGACCCCCATCAGCAGGTGCGATACAATGTTGGTACTGAGGCCTGGGGGTTTCTTGTCGCACTGATCCTCGCCGGTATAACACCACGATTTCCTCGCCGTCGGATGTATCTTCTGTGTGCATCTGCTCTTTTAGCAGTCTACACAGCCTGGACAATAGCGCAAGCTCGAAACTTTATCACTGGCTCCAAAGGCAGCGGCTATGCCGTACTCGTCATGATATTCCTGTACAAGCCTGCGTATTGCATTGGTTACAATGCTTTAACTTATGTGTACATGGTGGAGATTTTCCCTTACTATGTTCGTACGAAAGGCCTGTCATGGTTCCAGCTGTTCGGACGCTCCGCCAGTCTATTTGGCTCCAATGTCAACCCAATCGGACTGGACGATCTTGGCTGGAAGTATCTTATCGTCTATGTCGTATGGCTTCTTTTTGAGGTGGTCTTTATCTACTTCTTATTTCCAGAGACTTATGGAAAGACGCTGGAGGAGCTAACGTTCTTGTTCGAGTCGGAGAATCAAGGTCGCGAGGAACTTGCTGCTTCCACGGCAAAGGTTGTGCAGGACCCAAGTATTGCAGAGGTACACGAGGTTGGAGAGAAGAAGGCTTAGTTGGTACATTATTTTGGTCGGGCTAGTCGCGACGGCTTGTGTTTACGAACCGTGCGAGGTCAATCCAGCTCAATGATGACAGAATGGGGAATGGAGTAGATACGATTCAAATCTTCGCATAGAAACATGACGTGGAACAAGTGCGACAATCACATGCAAAAGATTGTGCCCGTCCCAGGTCCAAGATGTCGCTAGAGTAAGGATATGCACCGTGTTCTCATTGTAAGATGGTTGTACATGATTGGCCGGCTATGTTGCACTCCTACTCAGGCCATTCACCACTATCCAATTCCAACGAGAGACACATCTTTACAAACGTCAAGTTCTACTTATATCATTGTTTATCGAGATCATCCTCTACGCTGCCGTGGCTCCCAGCGCCGGATCCCATCAATCCGCTCCTTTCTCAATTCGATTTGAGAAGCTGCGCCTTGTATGGAGCCTCCACCCCGGGCCCCATATTCTTCACAACACTATACTTCAACGACCAGCCCCCGCCCTGGCAAACCCAAATATCGTCACACTGGTAATAAAACCGGAACGTCTTCTGAATGTCCTCCAAGGCCGCGGGGTCCCAATGTGACCAAGTGATGCTACAAGACTCGTTAGCTCCCCTGAACAAACAATCATCGGCCTGGACGGATACAGGAGGGGACTCACTCAGTAACCACCCTCGCCCGCTCCGCACTCTGCATCTCCAACACGAAGAGATTTGTGACGAGATGCTCCATTTTCACGCCTTCGCTGTAATATGCAGCCTTGATCGCTGCAATGGCCGCTTGCTTCCCCTTCGCCACTCCGCCGTACGGAGCCAGGGCAGAACTGTCGTAGTACACATCATCGGTGAAGGCTTGGTTGAGGAGCGTATAGTTCTTGCTGTCGATCGAGTGGGCGAGGCGGTAGCCGCCTTGCGTTAGACCCTCGATGGGCGAGGCGAAATTACCGCATTTAGAACTTGCAACGGCCCATGGGAGACTGGCAAGTAAGAGAGAGAGAGAAGTAGTGAGTTGCATGATGGATGCGTTATGTGGAGGATTGTGGTGACTGGCCTTGGTTGGAAGAACCCTAAACTTATACTGACGGGGCACTCGCGAGCTTGAAGTCGATGAAAATAGGGTTTACACTCACGTCAGTCGTATGTGGTCGCCCACTGCATGTGTCGCACCAATCACGCCACCTCGCTATTCCATCGATCCCGCGAGCAGTCCAGGCCTCGTATCGACGCCTACGCGTGCGGCGGGCGCACGCCTGTGACTTGTCGTCGATACGGTGTAGACTCAGGCGTACGAATATGGCTTGATTCTAGCAACAAACTTTCCTCTATGCCAACCGCTCGTTTCATATCGCATGAAGGATGAGATCGATGATGTTGGTTGCATGGAGCACCTGGGCGGATTACAATGTTTACTTCGCTTCTCGAGTCAGGGGCGGATTCTGGGGATCGTCGCAACGATCAGATGGCGGAACGGATCGGCGGAACATTCGTGGAACGCCAAAACCTACACACCCCTTTTCTAGGCTCGAAATACTGGCATCGTCAGCCCTAAGCTCGCGCATTTTCAGAGACCAATACTTTCCGTTATGCTTGGCAAGGCTTAGGGTGCACCTGTACACCGCCTCAGCTGGTGGATAGTGAGGCCTGTGTCGAGCGGGTTGAAGGAGTGGCAAAGGACCCTCGAGCAGAAATCGAAAAAGGACATTTGAGAAGCCTAATGCCACTTTGGCTGAGTCGCAAAACGAACTTAAAATGCAGAATGTAGAAATAAAGAAATGTCAACAGAACCTTGTAGAGCGAGATGCCGAAAGAGACGCGCGAATCGAATGTCGTCCACGGAAGTTGTCCACGCATTTAGCGCAATTGCGGGGACTGGATCTCCGATTCGAAAGAAGCACATCTCTGACTGGCCCAAACATAGCCGCAAAGGCAATTCTCTTCGATTAACTTTGGGGGTCAAGCCCGCAGGTCGACTGGCAAAATCGCCATGATTATGGGATTTGTGAAAACGCGCTCTCTGCTCTTTCTGATACACTTTAAACTCTTAGGGTAGAGAAACTAGTCTCTTGTATTCTCCTACTATATGTTGAGAAACTTACTTTAATGGCTTATCTGCATTTTCCTTGCATTCAAGACACGGACCTTGGCTTAGTGCAGAAGCACTTTTCGGAGGAAGTACAGTAGCAGGTAGCAAATATCCAAGCAGGAACCCCGGATAAAGCAACACACTCCATGGTGATAAGCGAAGGACGTTTGAAGCAAGTGGCGTCTCGCGTCAGTATGCTGGCCATCAGTTCCCCCTTCGTGTGAAGAGCGAAGTGGAAATCAGAAGCGAACCATTCTAGTGTCAGATCGTATGAGCGGTACTCTGTAGGTCGCCGATTCTCTTTTCCTATGAACGCTTTCACCTTTGTTGGCTGGGCCGTTTGGCACCCGAACAGCAGGCAATATAATGGCTGGCGCGAGTCGATGGAGCCTATTACCGAGATCTTTGTCGGTCACCTCCTGAACAGCAGTTTTGCCGTGTAAGGCGTCGGACATAGCTCTTCGTTGGAAGGTATGCTTACGACACGGAGGAAATATACCTTCTTCAGCTCCAACACCAAGTATGCTTCTCGTGTGGCTTGCGATTTTTCATTTGTGGATTGGTGTTCATGATGAAGATAGGCTAGATCTGCGAATCTATCAGCAGTACAGTCGATTCCAAGTCCCGAGCTGAGCTGTTCGAAATATTTGCGCTGCGTTTCTTGCTCGTTTTTAGTGTCTGAATCTCAATCTGCTTATCGTTCAACTCTAGACCGGCGTGTATTGTCGTCTCGTTAAATCAACAGAGAGCGATCGTCCGCTTTAAGGTGTCTTCAACGTCGTGCTTTGCGGAGTATTCAATGTGTGCGCTGATTGAAGGCAGCGCACAAGCGGTGCCTGGCGATGGTTTTTCGTTAGGCACGGATCGCAGAAGAGGTGCTGGATCGATTGCGGAGTGGTTAAAGCAAAAGTCATTCCACCGTGTGCAACGTGGAGGTGGCTACAACTATCAAGGACTGCACAATTAACAGCAATGAGGAGCGATATGAAGAGAGGGAGAAAGTCGAATGAGGGAGAGTTGTTTTGAGATTGAACCCGCTTCAATGGCGTGCGCCGAGAACGCTCACGTCGCTGAATACTTATCGAAGAATTTCCACCACGCCGAGACTAGCAACGACATACTCGCAACGAATCGCTCTATAAACCACAGTCCATACATTGCGCATGTACTGGAGCATGAGCTCTTATTGTGTATCTCTACCAACATTGTGTCATCGCTTGGCGAACTGAGATTTCCCACTTCTTGGACCAAGCCGAGTGTTGCGCCGAGCCCAGCATGGCGCCGGGCCGAGCATTGCACCGAAACAGCATAAGTAGTACCAAGATCCCGGCTTCAGGCCAAAATTCCGCAGTCTCATTTGCCATGATGAATACTCCGTCAATTCTTGCTGCAGTTTGCCTACTTCTAAGCCCGCTCAGTAGTGCTTCGTCTGTATCTATGACGGAGAACAAGCATGAGGTTGCAAGGCTGTCTTCAAGGTAACCATCGCTAGAGAAAACCCAAAATTTGCACTTTGATCGACTGACTCGTCAACAGCTACTCAGTACCAAGTTGGCTCCCATGTGGAAATGCGACCTCCGATCTAGACAAAATCCAGTCTCGCGGCTACTTAAAAGTTGGCACAACTGGTGATTACAAGCCGTTCTCGTACAAGGTGAACAACCGAACACTTCTACCCGCCATTCCAGACATAAACACGACTTACATTGGCGCGGATATCGACCTTGCGCAGGCCTTGTCAAATTCACTTTCACTCGCAAAACCGATTGAGTTCATCCCCACCAACTGGGGGAACTTGACCGCCGATATTGCCGCTGGAAAATTTGATATCGCAATGAGTGGCGTGAGCATCACGCTGGCTCGCGCGCAACGAGCTTTCTTTTCAACTGCTATACAGCGTGTGGGAAAAGCGGCCTGTGTGCGCTGCGCAGATCTGACTAGGTTCTCCTCACTGGCAGCCATCGACATGGCCGGTGTCAAGGTCGCTGTCAATCCCGGGGGTACTAATGAGGCCTTTGACCGAGCGAACCTGAAGTCAGCCACGATAGTGTTGGTGCAGGATAACAATGCAGTTTATCAAGCGGTCATCGAGGGTCAGGCGGATGCAATGATTAGCGACATTGTAGAAGTTGAACTGCAGGTTCGATTGCACCCTGAGACGTTGTGCATTGTCAATCCGGATGCGGCCTTTACGTTTGAGGAGCTAGGATATATGATTGGGCGAGACCCGGTCTGGAAACAGTATCTGGACACCTTTGTGCATTTTCAAGTAGGAAGTGGCAATTGGAACCGCACATTGGAAAAGTGGATGTCGTACAAATGGCCGTCAGTGTAGACCAAATACGAAAATTTGAGAACGTTTACCATACATATATCTATACATCCATGAAGTCGATGGACCGGTTTAACGTGCCAAGATTGCGTTCGCTGCTTCCGATTCGCTCCATGCTGCCTAGAGGTATTGTTTGCCAAAACTACATTCAATGAAATACTTCACTACAAATCTCTTCAGATGATATGAAGTGATTCTAAATTCACTATGAATACTACGTGCCTGACACAGGGATAACCGGTCAAAGCACAGTCATAATGCCGGTCAATCATGACACGGTCACTGCAGACTCACAAGGTCCTTCGCGCAAGTACTTAAGCAGTTTTTGAGCTCTATCTAGTATCAGCTTCTGCATATGACATCGAAACAGCTGCCCGACACATTGCAATACCAGTTCCAAGAACTCTAGCACTGATCAAGAATCAACTATGTCTGAACTTGTGCTAAATGCAAGGCGTTGCGTCGTTGCGCGCATCCGCAGGGACTGATCCCTCAGGTAGTGCTCACGCATTCGAAGTGCCCGCGAATCCGCACGAATGTCCTGGACGCGCGAAAGACGCGAGGGAATACAGGCGTTGATGCGCATCAGCAGCACATTCACTATGTCCTGAAGGTTCCGGTAGTGGTGAACCAAGGACTCCATCAGTTCCTGTTGGCTGTTGGCTGTTGGAGGCAATGGCGGGCTGAATGAACACCGCGAGCAAAGCGGAAGCCATCACGGCTAGCAGAGTCGCACGGCGCATGGTAGCGGACGGTGGATGGGTTGAAAGTATACGTATGAAGATCTACTCAAATACTACCGGTAAATCAAATCGAGACTCCATAAGTACTACATTCTACCAGCACGTGCCTCATTGTTATATTATCAAGTAGTTATCTAAGCAGTATGTCCAACCACTCTACCACAGAAGATGAGGCATCCAAAGCTGCAATCCAGCAACGCCAACTCAAGGGTTTATACTATAGTAGCAAATAAAGCCTTCGTTCAGAGGAATCCAACCCAAGTAATGTCTCTGCGCTAATCGAGCGCTTTCAGGAATTTCATAATGCCCTATACACCACTTAGCGTCTGTTTGGAAACGCAGTCCACGAAGTTCGGGTCACAGACCTTTACGATCCCCACATGCAAGCTTTGGGTGACGAGATAACAGCCGATTCGGAATTTCCTTCCATGACTCATTCTCAAATGCTATGCCAAATATACCTTCTCCTGAAGCTCTCACCTAAGGGGCACCTGTGTTTCGCTGAAATCAAGGCCGAGATAGAAGGATTAGAAAAGTAGATAGACTTTGTCATCTCGAGCCTAGAATACACGGTGCGGATTGTACTACAGCAGACTCGTTTACAGCGTTCTCTGCCAATCATAGCCGCTTTAAGAGCGTCCAGAGCACTCTTTCCACGTCCGACATTATTAAGGCAGATGCACTTATCGAATTCTTTGTCCTCCGGGATGTAAGGGAGAATACTAAGGCCTCTACAGATCTTGGGCAAAATGACTATACTCAAGCGATTACACCACAAGCTTGGTTTAGAACAGAGAAGAAACACAAGCAAGCTCAATTCCGTAGTCCGCTCAATTCGGGTATTTCAGAGATATCGAGCAGCTCAGTTCCCGTATTTTGCCCTGTATTCAGAGATATCGAGCCGCTAGATTTTCACAACGTGAGTCTGGCGCCTCTTCCTCGCTTCAGCGGCCCCGCACTCTAAGGTCCCGTCCGTGATAGCTGACTGCACTATCAATGATTGCGGACTCTATCGACCTATTAGACATGTTTACTTTTGCGTACTGGGTGGTTTTTTTATATTGGCGCGTTGGTTGAGTTGAGAGGCGTGCGGCGGCACTCAAGTAGAACGGCAGAGTCGCTTGCCATTGAGCGATGTCGAGGTGGTATGTGCTCAGGCTAGGACTACGGCAGCTTGCCCACTTGGAGCTAGAATTTCTACTAGCGGCTGCGACAGACTTAAGCGAGATATATACCGATCTGCCGCGGGGAATCAGAATGTATCGCGCAAGGAATTGAGCTTTCGGTGTAGACGAGAGAAGTTTGTCGCGGTCTTGAAACCAGGGACGTAAAGTACTGACAGTTGTTGCCTGTATTGTGTCGTCGGTTTGTACGATAACCGTAGTTCAGTGACGATTCCAAGATTCTTCTGAATACCTAGGTAGTTATTTGACACAATAGGCATTGCAGGAGATCCTATCCTCGAGTTCGACATGCATCTTCCAGACTTTGATCTTCTCCATAATTGATTCATATTCTGTCCTGCCCATTTACCTCACACTACGGGTGATCCCGGCATTTCCTCTTTGTAGCAGGCCGCTCGGAGGTCGGCTGATGCGAAAAGTATCTTCGATGAATCACGGAACTGGAATTACTGTATCCCGGAACATCTTCATGATGTCATTAGATTGGAAATTGTGTTGCAAGTGCAAGCCCTTGCGGTGGAGGTTTATAAATCATACAGCTGTTGTATGTGAGTGTCTCGAGAAATGATACAGATACCCTCGCTGATATGACCACGTTGGCCTCCAGCCTTCGAATCAGGTTGACGCCGCTGGGGTGGTCTTCCCGCAGATGTACAATGCAGCTTCTGACTATATAGTGAGGTACTAAGAGTCACGAATGCCCTTGCCGTAGCATTCAGTAGAGATGCCGCAGCAGAGTGAGGTTGGGAGTTGAGAGTCTATCTAGCATTGTTGTCGGTTAGTTCACCAAACCGATTCAACAAGCTCGACGTGCCTCGTACGGCATCTTTCGTGTTGAGTGTCGATTGCCTTTGCGTGCACGACCGCAGTGAGAATTCCCCTTATCATGATGGCTTGGGTGCCTTTAAAATAATGCTGTACTTGTTGCCGACGAGGCAGATCTTATGTCGAGTCACGACTGTGGATTGCCTTTGCGTGAACGGTCTGCTGGTACATGAACATATGCGCTGCAAAAGCCCCTGGATACTACCTAAAGGGCAACTTTCTTGTGGAGTATGGATTGCCTTTGCGCGAACGGCCAGAGGTCTGTCTTTCAAGCAAACATATTGCCCAAAGAGGTACAGTTCGCATAGAGTGTGGATTGCCATCTCGCGAAAGATCAAACTTCTGTCCTGTGACGCTCGATGCTAGCAAAGATGTTGCCCAAAGAGGCATATTTCGTGTTGAGTGTGGATTGCCTTTGCATAGCCGGTCTGTGGGTACCCGTTGACATGGATCATCATGCGCTCCACTGTTTTGTTTTGTGCAACGTACCCATCCGTATTGCCCAAAAAGGCGTCTTTCGTGTTGGGTGTGAATCGCCTTTGGGCCAAGGGTCTGGAGATACAGAACGTCTTGACATGAGACGAAGGGAACACATTTTCAGAACAATGACAGGGATGGTAGATAATGGGGAAGGTGGAGGAGGCTGCATTGCACAGGAGCGATAACTCATTGACACTCGTACCAGCAGAGATTTAATTGGATGCATGATGACGATGACATGTTGATTTTCGGACGAGACATTGAATTCCGGAGCAGCATAAAAGTCGTCCCGGCGCACGAGGCGAGAAAATTGCAGCGTCAGAAGTTGTATCACCTCGGTTGCCGTGTTACGGCGCCGCTATCACCGCCTTCCACTTCGCGAGTTGCCAGGCGTTCAAGGGAAGCATTCCGCGGACCACATTCTCATCGATAACATTAGTAATTGGGGATGCTCGAGGAGAAGCTTGAGGTATTATGAAGTGATTTCCATGAAGAGAAGGCCGCACGAAGGTGACCAACTCATGGGACGTTGAGGTTTTACAATCCCAGTTCCTTCCTTAATTCCGACCAGATACCTCGAAGAATTCAATGTTGAGCATGGGAACCGTTCATTGGCAGCAGCAAGTTTGGCCTGACGTCCAGAGACAATCGACACGTCGATGGAACCTTCTCATTCAAGCAGTTCGAAGTCCTGACCACTGTCCATATGCAGCTTCGATACCGGCCTGCCTGGGAGTTACTCATCTTCACACCCTGCGTCGTCCATAGCGTGCTTGGATACGTTGACATTTCACGTATATTGTGGAAGACCAACTACTATACAAGTATGCCGCTTCTTGAATCGTGCTTTTATCACGGCAAGCTCGTGTAGACTCATCGCTGAGCAGTCTTTGAGCGCAGCCTTTTTGGATACAGGAGCATTGGGGCGAGAAGGCAACATGAAGACCTGTATTTCAAGCATGCGTTTTGATGAGCAGACATCAGCATCGCCGGCTCAACAGTTTCTGTCTGTTCTACTCTGTTACCCATTGGAGTTCAAGGCGGATTTTTCGCATCACGGCGTGCTCGAAGTGGGAGTTGCCTCCGGAGACTGGAAGATTAGCTACCAGATGAGGATGCATGAGGGAAGAGCAACAGGGCAGGTACTCTTGGAGACCTCGGGAGCATGCGCAGATCCTGAGATTCCTGGAAGAGCCTATGAAGTCGCGTTAAATCTCGATGCAGCAATTGCTCTCGCTGCTTCAGCTAGCGAAGCAGTGACAGTGGAGATCTGCCGACGTCGTGGTCCTCCGCTTGGCAGAACTCACGTTTGCCGAAATCAACTGATAGACCTCCGCGAATGCACCAGGCTGCACTGCGAGACTCGAGCTGACCTGGCAATCTGGTGACACGGCACCGACACCAACTTCGACGTTGGAAGCTTCTTCATCCAAGGCCTGATAATGCATCGACATCTGGATGAAATTTACGTCGCCTGATTGAGACGGACTGTCGCTTGTCTGCCATGCAGAGCACGAGGATGGACAATGGAGCTGACGATGGTAGTGGTGATGACGATAGCGAGCGTCCGACATCTAGAATTGCCGACATGCCGACTTCTGACTTGCAATTCACGATCCCCAAGGCCCCATGTTAACTGTCGTACCTGCCACTCACTCTTCTTAGCGACGCGCTATTGGATGTTCATTTTGATCGCATCTGTCGATAAGCGTAGCTTGCGGGCAAATACGGTGAGGTCAGGAAGTCTCTTCGGGGTGCGCCTGCCACAGGCTAGTCCGGATTAGTAAGCCACCCGGGTGACTACACAACTTCGACTCCCACTAAGACCTTGCTTGTAACAATCGCGCGTCTGCCTTTGATCACGGCCAGAAGCCCAAAGATACACGCGCAACTCGAGCCAGCGATCGCACACTCGCAAAGCTCCCGTATCCGCCTCTTGGATAGCCCCGCCAACCCGTTCGTCCACCGCTTCCACCGTTTGACACCTCTTACCTTAAAAATGTCAACTCACTACCCCTCCAAATCGGAACACATGGCTCCTGCCATCTCCACTGCCACCTGTGTCCCACCTGTTCTCAAGTCGCGAAAGCGCTCCACATCCAGCGACAAGAGCTCCAACGACAGTTCCAAAGACGGCACCGACGCAAGCTCTCTCGACACGCAGGAGACCAAGTCGCCTATCTCAGTCGTTGAGGCGCTCATCCGCGGCCATTACGAAGGCTGGATTGAAGAAGGTTCCGCTCTTAGCAACATCGACTGCCACTGGTATCGCGCCACTGTCTCAACACCTGACTTTGTCGCCCTCATCAGGCGGCTCGACGATAAGATTCGCGAGTGGATGCTCAGCCGCCTGACGTACGACTGGAACGCATTCACGGGACAAATCATCCTCCGTAACATGGCGCCGGCCAATACCAATCACGATTACGTCGCCGCCCAGATTGGAAAGGTCCTCGGTAGACAGATTGAGAATCTATCGGAAGATCAAGAGACGCCTCTCAAGATGAAAGAGGTGCTGGAACGCATTGAGGGCCCACTATCCACCATGGCATCGCCCGTGGATGCCCCGGATGTGGAGGACGAGAATCCTGAAGTCAAAAAGCTGTTGAAGAGTAAGAGACAGCCCGACAACAGTTTCTACTTCATGGGTCGCACATACATGCCTATCGTTGTTGAAGTTGCGAACAGTCAGAAGAGCGAGGATCTGGAGGCCCTTGTGATATGGTGGATGAAGGACACCGGCCTCAAGACTAAAACTGTCATCACCGTTGATATGATGTATCAAGGCCCTGCGGCGAGGCATGGCAAGTTCTTCACTCCTGACGCCACCATTGCTGTTCACCGTCTCAGAGACACATCTACACTCGAAGAGGTTGAATATGACGCTCAGTCATTCAAGTTCCGCGACTCAAGCAAAGGCGATGGAGACCAGAGTCAAGAAGTTCTCTGGCTCACCGTCGCGGACTTTCTCCCACCATCCAAGATCGCTGGGTTCCCGGAAGGATACAAGTTCCCCGCCATAACTCTCACCGCCATAAAACTTCGCGAGATCCTCACCAAAGGCGACACTATTCAACAACACTTGGAGAGGGAGTCACGTAGCCCCGGCTCTTCGGAATCCCCCCCCAACAAGAAGAAGCTCAGCAGTACAAGCCGTTCGGCCTCCGCCACCTGTGGCTGAACCAACGCGCACAAGGAGCGGTAGGGAATCGAGGAAGCCGCGATCTCCGTATGTATGAAGGAGGTAGATAGACTTGATTATATGGCGTTAATAACAATGATACCCGATACTAGCTTGCTAGCTAGGTGGACCTGACGAATACAATGATCCTTACAACAATGACATGCTTCCACCAATACCATTGAGTACCTCCAGACTGCCGTATCAACTTTTCTATGTCGCTTACAATAACATGGGTGAGTAACTCCTGCCCGGCTTTTAAGTTGATCCCCTGCTTCGGTGGAGTCGGTGAGTACCTCTTCGCACACGCATCGACTTCCTTCTAGTATCCGCACTTCACGGGAGAAACTAGCCTCTTTAAAACCTTTTACTACACAGCTCTCCGGCATCATGTATCATTTCGCATGCAGGCGCTGCGACCATATGTATTACTACATACGATGGTTTATCAGTTTCGAAGTAAACTGCTACTCTACAACAGCTTATTGTTATAAACTGCAGTGATTATAAACATAAAACTAATCTGCTAGCTTGCGGTTTGACGCCGTCTTGACTAAAAGTACACATACTCTCTCATTCATCCTTGGTTGCTTCCAGCTGCACTACTCCAGTCGTGCAACAGTCCTGCTCTCCAAAGAACGCCACGAGATCTTCCGCCGTGGGCCGATCCTGAGGTCTAACATTTAGCATACTGGATATGGTATAGCACGTCTGTGCAGGCATCCAAGGCTCCTGTCCAGTTGCGAGCTTCGACAAATACGATTGCAAATGCGCAATATTCGCTTGAAACGAGGTGTCCCTCCAGGCATCTCTCGGCACATTCTTGTCAAGCAATGCCTCTAGCGTGGTGTGCACATCGCTCGAGAAAGACTGCATGGTGTTGTGGATTTCGAAGAAAACGCATCCGAGGGAGAAGATGTCGGCAGGCCAGCCACGGCGATCGAGTCGCACTACTTCGGGCGCTGCGTAGCGGCGGGTGAAGGAGGTATATCCATCGGTTTCTACTTCTTCCTTCTTCTCGTATGATCGAGAGATGCCAAAATCGGCGATGAAGATGTGGTAGTAAGTGTCTGACGTGGTTGGCGAGGTTCTTTCCTGAACGAGGACGTTTTGGGGCTTGATGTCCATGTGCTTGGTCAGATTGCGGTGGATGTGCAGTACAGCACTACTCAGACAAGAGTAGAATTTCGTGCAGGAAGCAGACATGCGAGCTTGCCGCTCTGGTGGAGATGATCCACTTTGAAAGTCATCAAGGAAACCCCGGAGGTTGTAGTCTGCAACAGGGTACAGCAGAATTGACAATTCCCGCCCGTGGACATATGTACCAATAAATCGAATGATATGCGCATGGGCTAGTCGAGAAAGGTGAGAGACCTCGGCAATGGCTTCCTCCTGGGTCATGTTCCGCTTGCTGCAGATTATAGTCTTGCGCGCAAGAAGTATGCGGCGGCATTTCACGCTCTGGACGATGGCAGAGTTCGTGCTTCCGAGGTTACCTTTGTACTGTAAAACCTTGCTGATAGACTCTTGTTCGTGCTTTTTGAAGACGACATGTTGTCCACGGCCCGACCAGTTCTGTTCTATCCTAGGATCTACTGGCCAGAGTTGGCGTGATTCTAGCAATTGTACGTATTCTCCATCCCTATTAACTCCTGATTAGAGACGGATTATGTAGAGGTCTGAATAGTAGCTTACTCAGCTATTTGTTCCTCATAGATTGCTGTCCGGTTGGCTCCGCATTGGGGCACAAAATTGCTTCTTGTCGAAGGATGGCTCCGCAAGGACGAAAAGTGGGTCTGGGCACTGTGATAGGTACTGATAGATCCATGTGCGCTGTGGTAGGTGCTGAAAGATCCATTCCTACCCAAATCAGAAACCTGTTCAACGAAGATCTGGAAATCTTCCAAGTCGCTAGGTTGCTCGTCGGTTTCCGTCACTGAGGCAAGACCTTCTCCATTTATCTCAGGGATCTGAAGGTTCTGAGCCAAAGCAATGGTTGACTTGGCATGATCGAGACTCAAACCTGTGTCTAGATTTAGTTAGACCATGGTAAGAGTTAGGAAGGCGAGTTGGCACATGCCCCACGTGCCATGCTGAGCAGTAATGTGGCTTATGTGAGAGAAATTAAGCTATGCTTACCTTTCCTCACCCTGTCTGGCCTCTGGACATCCACAGAGTCGCTATTCAACTTAGATCCGAGTCGACCACCTGCTCGACGAATCGAAGCGACACGACGTATCGATGTACTTGAGCTCTTTTGGGCAGCGATTGATCCTTCTCGGGCGGTGGAGAATATGCCTCTACCAGACTCGCCACCCGGAGGCGCTGATGCGACATCTGGCAGTCTCTCCGTATCCTGGTTTTGCTCTAGGGTAATGTGATCTTGGCGCACCGCCATACTGACGGGGTCGGTCTGCATAAGCTACCTCGAAGACAGAGATAGTATCAAGCAACCTCAGCAGGGCGAAGGAATCATAAGCATTGCGACGCAGTGGGCTGTGAAGACGTCCTCCATTTTCTACCCCGCCTTTCCGGCTTCCTCTGGCCAGATCTCAGCCTCACCCAAACCACTTCCTTCTGTGATTAGTTGTGATAGACGAGCCAATCATTCGGGAATCGGAGTGGCGAACAGCATTTGTGCGTTATGGGTAAACATCTGTAGGGTTGATGGGCCACAGATCACAGACGTGTGTATGGTGCAAATTTCTATCACCATTTGCGGATACATCAAACGCAAACGCCAATATACTGCGGAGCTACTGACATTTAATTCAGACAACCGAGTCCATGTAGCCTGGTAGAGCGAGACGATATGTTTCTAGCTGAAGTATTGCGAAGACTAGCTGCTCAACCATCCCCCTATCAAAGGTCTCTAGCTTGAAAAGTCAATTCATTCCATGCCAACAAGCTCCAGTGACTATATAAATTCAGGCACAGTCCATATTCCGTGATCCACGTGTCCACCAGCATGTCCGGTCAGTATGCGACAGAAGAAAGAAGACAGATACTTTTATCAAAGATAACAATATAGCGCAAATGAACAGGCTCGAAGCCAGTAGCGCAAACAACCAATGCGAGACGGAGAGGGGTATTATGCGCGCACAACGAGGTGCAGGCGATGCAAAAGAGAAGCTGCGGACATTTACGAAATGTACGAAGAGACTAACGCCAGTACCTATGGAAGCCTTTTCTGTTGGGTATCAATGAAACATGAGGGTCGTGATCAAGAGTAAGTTGTGTAGTGGTCTGGCGATGTGCCAGACAGGAAGGTGTGTAGCAATGACTGCCGCGAAGAGAAGTGTAAGGGGAGTCAGACGGCCCTTGGAAGATTGCGATTTTCTCCTTTGCGTTGACTGTGGTGTGATCATGTGGCAGCAACCATAGTCGGGTGTTGTCTGCGCTGGTGTCGGAGAAGGTTGTCGCGACGGGAGAACCCTTCGAAGTTGTTGCATCCACGGGCCTGGCAGTAAAACGTATTCTTGGCTGCAGTATGTTCGATGTGCTTCTTCTGGTGGCGATGGAGGCCCTTTGGGTACAAGAAGCCTTCGTTGCAGATGTCACATTGGTGGGGTCGCTCAAAGCTACCAAGATGGGTCTTACGATGGCGACTGGGTGTATGTTAGTTTGTGTGACTACAAGGAGCAATACAGTAGGGCTTGCACAGCCTCATCTGAGCTGCGTGCTGAAGGGCATCAAGGACTAAAGACAGCCAAGCTCTTTGAGGGTGGAAATGTTCAACCAACCAGACTTACTTCAGCTCGCAGGCGCGATCAAAGGTCTTCATACATCCCTCGTGCCTACAAGAGTATCCCCCAGGGCGAGGTGCTTGCCGTCTGTGCGGTGCCTTCCTTGAGCTGGTCTTGTCCAGGCGGTCGCCAGGTGTGTAGATATCCTCGATATGCGCCTGCACTGTCGCTGGCTGAATCGTCGTTTCATTTGCGTTTATGTATTGTACATTCTCGTTCATGAGTGATTGAGTTCGTACACGAGCTACGTAATCGATAAGGGCCGTGTAGTCCGTGTCGATCTGGTGAACGTCGGGAAGTGTAGGACAGAAGGTCTGTGGCTCGTAGAGCATTCGTGCAGCGACATAGGGTGCATGTGGCTGGAATTGTTAGCAGAGGTATCGCTGGGTCGTCAGAGGGAAGTTTACCATGGAATGCATGCAATGATAGAACGGTATCGCGCAGTGTTGGCATAGCGAATCCAAAATGTGCTCAGGGTCTGGGAAGAATGAAGGCTCGAATGACAAGCCAGACATTGAATGATCCATGATTGGACTTGCTGCCGCAGCTGGCTCTAGCAAAAACAGTAGCAATACAGCGCAGAGGAGCAGCATGTACATGGTAAGATCTGTCAGTATGGTTGCCTAAGGACGCCGTGGAGCTGGCGACGAGTAGATGAAAGTCAGTAGACTACGTGTGATGAATGAATTGAGTTTAACCAAGAAGGACTAAGAGGAAAATGTGTGGGAGGAACAATGATCGCAGGGCGCAACAAGCAAAAGTTGTGTTGGGCGGAAGGGCATGGCTCGAATGCGCAGCTTGAGCTTGAGGGAGTGAGAGGCCGCCGCCTGGCAGCCTCAGGTCATGGGGGGAAAGTGGCTGTGCTATGACGCTGCATATGATGGCATTGGTCTTCGCGATTTCGAATCTGCATTTTCGTAAGTTCTGATGGTTAGCAGTGATGAAAGTGCAATAGAGTGTGCAACTGTTCAGTTGTGTCGGATGTGACAAGCGACGGCGGGCTCGCGGTGATCCAAAGATGCGCAAAACCGCCGGTTTTGCACCAAGCCATTTCGAGACGCGTGAGGGGTACCCAGAAGTTGCGGCTCATCAGCCAGAAGCATGACCTCGAACGTTCGTCGCGTTAGAACATTTTGTCGTGAGGTGTTCCTTAGCGTCTTATTTTGATGTTCGTGCAACATTTTACGTGTTTGATGTTGTCTTAGGGTTGAACCTCCGCCTGGCATGGATCATCGTTGCTGTTCTGCTCACGTGCTGACGCGTCGACGAACGGAGGTCGTGAACTATGTTTCTTGAACTCCATAGGTTTGAGGTGAACACCATGGCGCATGCACTGTAAATGTGTTTCACTCAGGTGTAGGGTGAATCTTGACGTCTGGAGCAGATACGAGCTCCTTCACAGTCTGCGAGGCGGAGTTGACTGATTTGCCAACGGCGAAATCTGCCAAAATGATTCAGGTGAAAAAGTTCGAAACGCAAAGAACAAAAGCAGAAATCTCCAGAATTCGCAGCCGTGCTACAACTCGGGGGCGTGCCTCTGATATGCTCCGCTCCCCGGCTTGTTCAGCCTGTGTGCACAGCTTCCTGGTCGCATTTCACCGAGTCATCCCCACACAAAGGCAACACATTCCGCCTTCCGCGTTTCCATTTTTAACATGTGAGATGAAGCTTGTGTCAGCGCCTAATGCACTTCAGCACCAAGTGTGTTGTGATCTGGGGTTCGATTGGGTCGCAGTGCTCAGCCTGATAGTGGAAGGCCTCCGGACCCAGACGCTCGGTTGGCTCAGCCTCGCAAGACTCGACGCGAGGGAAGGGGCGCAAGGCAACCACGACAGTGCATGGTTCCGAAATTGATACCATCGAATCAAAGTTTCATAGATTGTAGACGGCCTCCGCGAGGACTTGAAAGTAACGCAAAGGAGAATGCTCGTTACACTTTGACTTGAGGATTTGTGGCGTTGTCATACACTACAGGCTATCAGCTGCGACGGAAAGTAACGAAGGACAAAAAACATCTACCAGCCCGAAGTCATATCCCGTAATGCTAAGTTTAAGGCCCTGCGAATAGCTCAGGCAACCTCGTCGCTTTCCGTCGTACTTGTTGACCCACAGTATTCGATCGTCTTCGCAAAACAGCTCAAAAACTCATCAACATGCTCGTCCGTATGCATAAGATTGAACATAAGAAAACCCCTCCTCGCAATAACAATGCCTTGCCTCAGGAGATGGAAATAAATCACATCCCGCATCACACCCGCCGCACTGCCTTGAATCTGCATGCCAACCGCACTCCCAAACCCGACTGCCTTGAACCCAGCCACTCCCTTGGCGTCGACAATATCTTGTATGCCCTTCCGCGTGCGATCACCTAGCGTATTGATCCGTGCGATTTCTTCAGGGGTGATGAGTTTGGCGCCCGCAATGCCAGCTAACATGGTAAACACGTTATTATTATATGTGCCCGAGTGCGACAAGTGTCCAGCGTGGCGCGGATCAAACTGCGCCATGATATCGCGTCGGCCACCGAAACACCCGAACGAGAAGCCGCCACCGATGTACTTGCCCAGCGTCGTCATGTCGGGTGTGATGTCCCAGTAGCCTTGCATACCATGGTAATCGAGCCTTGAGGTGACGATCTCGTCGAAGATGAGTATGGCGCCACTCGCTGTAGCTGCATCGCGCAGGAAGTGGAGGAATTCACAAGTGCCGGGGATGCAGCCCCCGGCGGATTGGAGGGGCTCGACGATGATTGCGCCGATATCTGTGGTGATAAGGGGCTGGGTGGTGGCGATGTCGTTGTATGGTGCGATGATGATGTCGTGGGGGAGGTTTAGGTTGGGTCCGGAGCTGTCGCCAAAGCTGAGTGTGCTTCCGTGGTAGCCGTTGCGGAAGACGATTAACTAAAAGTACGCTCTAGTTGGATTCATATCGATGGACGAGAGAGAGCATACCTTTTTGCGTCCCGTAAAGGCCAACGCAGCAGCTACCGCCATTGTGGTCGCTTCAGTGCCAGAGTTGGTGAATCGCATGAGCTCCATCGAAGGGAATCGCTTCTGTATCAGGGTGGCGAACTCTGCTTCTTTTCCCATCACCGATCCCAGCTGCATACCTCGTTCCATGGCTTCATTGATAGCCTCGTGGAGCTTGGGATGTGAATGGCCGTACATGGCAGCGGAGTACTCTGACACGAAGTCTATGTATTCTTTGCTGTCTTTGGAAGTCACCATCGTGCCTTTTCCGGATTCGAGTACGAGCGGAAAGGGCGTGTGGTGGAGCACAGTGCGCGTGTTTCCACCAGGCATGACGGAAGTTGCTGTGTTGAAGATAGCAGCCGATCCAGGGTTGGTCTTAATGTACCATCTCTCCAGCTCCTCCAGCTTCATTGTCAAACTCTTCTCGTATCCTTGGGCCAGGTCTGATGTGGATGTCATGTTCGTACTCGGTCCAGAATGCTGTCGATGTGGGAGTGTGAAGGGAGGATAAATTTACCAAGGTGGATAGGTGATAGACTACGAAAAACGGGGAGACAGTGTGCATTGCAGATGATGAAGGCCGGACGTGCCTCGTATGGTGGGCATCATGTAGCGCGGGAAATTCTCCGACGGTAAGGATGCTACATGGAAAAGAAGCGAGATGCGCCATAGCGTAGCTTCTGATAAGTGATCAGAGTGGGAGTCTACATGTTCAAAATTACGAGATCTGATGGCTTGGCTGATTTTGTCAGGCCGCGCATGCCACTGAAAGACGGAGAGTGCAATAGTCATCGGTGGCCGGGTGATGCAGACCCGATGACGCATTCATTGCTTCCCAAACGTCTGGACTATAACTTGGAGCGACACTGTCTCGTGAGATGACATTCCCAAGCCGAAATGTAGGGAAGCTGTTAGGGATGCATCTTGTTGGTATATGCATGCGGAGGATGTTGAAGAAAACGTGACTGCGTGATGCGCGACACGCGACGAACGTGGCCAGTGCGCGCGATCCCGAGATCGATCGTCCCGCGCCATCGGTTCTGACAGGGGAAAATGCGTCATCACTCCAGCCATTGTGAGTTTCGTTGACTCACTGTGATGATACCAATACAATGCAAATAAGTCGGTAGCAACGATTGCGGCACCATGCCACCCGTACTCTCACGAAAGCGCATCCAGTCGGATTCGCCCGTGCCCGTGCCTGAGCCGCCACCTAAGCGCACTCGCGTCAGCAAACCGAACGCCCGTCGCGCGAAAGAATCCGTCTTTCAGACCTTGGACACGGCACCCAAGGCGAAGCGCACACTTTCGCAGACCAAGGCCTTCCTCGAGCAAGACGATGACGACAGCGAATTGTCCGAGCCCGACAGCAGTGAAGACGACTTCGAGGATGTGCCATTGGACGGCGCAAATAAAGGTAAGGGCAAGGCAAAGGCGCAGGATGAAGATGACGGCAACGAAAGCGTGGATGATGATTGGGAGGATGCACTGGGAGGGCAACACCATACGAAGCACGATCATGGACCCACACCAGTTGTCACCGGCGGCATCTCGCTCACGCTCTCGGCCGCGCCCAAGAACGCCTTCGATTCAAGTGCAAGGACAGATGGCAAGAAAGGGCCTTCAAAGAGACAACGTCAAGTGCGGAATGCTACTCATTGCATGCACGTACAGTTCTTGATGTTCCACAACCTCATCAGAAACGCATGGATTCAAGACAAAGACGTGCAGAGGACGCTGGTAGAGGGCCTCTCTTCAGGTTGCTGGAGTGAGATTGACCGATACTGGCGCGATGCTGGTATACCGGACGGAGCGAGCCGAGCAGTAGCGAAGCGTCGAGAGCCTCCAGCCCCCAAGAAGACACCGACAACCGAGGGCAAGGGAAAGAAGGGTAAGTGGACAGAAAGTGGCAAGAAGGGCGTCCAGCTCTACGAGAGCCCGCAGAGCAAGCGCCTGCTTACGAAGGAGACGGACAAGAAGGCACCGAAAGGCACAGGAAAGGATCGGGCCAAAGGCGACAGGACTGTTCGCGACTGGGGCGCAGCATCTGAGCCACTCGAGCCGAACACCCCTAATTTGTCAGCTGGTGATCCTTTGATAAGACTGTTGCGATACCTGTCCGCGTATTGGAAATCAAAATTTCGCATCACGGCCCCAAGTCTGCGGAAGCGTGGGTATTTGTCACCAGCCACCCTGGAAGACGAGATCACTGCCTGGAAAGAAACACCATTCCATGCAGACACTTTCGGAGAACGCATCGAGAGTATTGATGCCTTCCGCGACGTCGCACGCAAATGCGAAGGCAGCAGAGATGTTGGCGAACAACTTTTCACCGCCCTGGTTCGTGGCCTTGGTATCGAGGCAAGAATGGTTGTCAGCCTACAGCCAGCTGGCTTCGGGTTCAGTCAAGCCGAAGAGGGAAAGCCAAAGAATTTGACCAAGTTGAAAGACGCTGTAAAGGAAGCAGTCACCACACCTGCGAAAGCAACGCCGTCCAAGGGGAAGCTTCCACAACGTGCGGCCACAAGAACCAAGCGCACCTCTCTCGAGAGCGATCTTTCGGATGATAGTGACCTCAGCAGTGTCATCTCGATATCTTCAGATACGGACGACAACAAGCCAGCCAAGAAGGCCCCCAAACGACGCGACTACAGTGAAGAGCTTCCTTACCCGACATACTGGACGGAAGCGATTTCACACCTGACGCATACTCCTATTTCTGTTTCACCACTACCACGCGTTCTGATCGCGAGTACATCCTCGCCAGAGAAGCTGCAAGACTTCTACGCTCGTGGTGCGGCAGCCGACAAAGCCAGACAAGTTCTTGCTTACCTCATCGCTTTCTCGTCGGACGGAAGTGCTAAGGACGTCACGACGAGATATTTACCCAAGCACCAATGGCCCGGCAGGACGAAGGGCTTCCGCATGGCTGTAGAAAGAATTCCTATACACAACAAGCGTGGGAAAGTAAAGAGGTGGGAAGAATGGGACTGGTTTGAGTCACTCATGCGACCCTACGCACGTGCCCACGACAAGCGACGGCCATGGGACGAAGTCGAAGACGAGGGCGATCTTGTGCCTGCAGAGCCAGATAAGAAGAAGGAAATGGACGAAGAAGGCGGTAAAGAGTCGTTGCAGGGATATAAGAACTCTACCGAATATGTACTGGAGCGGCATTTGCGCCGCGAAGAAGCTCTCAAACCCAACGCAAAGGTCGTCCGGCACTTTGTGACCGGCAAAGGCGACAAGGAGAAATCCGAGCCAGTGTACCGCCGCAAGGACATCGTCAATTGCAAGACGGTCGAGTCATGGCATAAAGAAGGCCGAGAGGTCATGGAAGGTGAGCAGCCGCTCAAGTACGTACCCATGCGCGCCGTAACGGTCACACGGAAACGCGAGATCGAAGAGCGCGAACGAGACGAGGGTGTCAAACCAAAGCAAGGCTTGTATTCGAAAGCACAGACTGACTGGATCATTCCGCCGCCCATCGTAGACGGCAAAATCCCGCGCAACGCTTTCAACAACATCGACGTGTACGTTCCTACTATGGTACCGAAGGGTGCTGTACACATACCGCTCAAAGGAACCGCACGCATCTGCCGCAAACTCAACATCGAGCACGCCGAGGCATGCACTGGCTTCGAATTTGGCAAACAGCGCGCCGTGCCTGTGCTGACAGGTGTCGTCGTTGCTGCCGAGAACGAAGATAAGGTCATTGACGCCTGGGAAGTCGAAGAAGCAGAAAAAGCTCGAAAAGACGCAGAGAAGCGAGAAAAGTTGGTACTCGGCTTGTGGAAGAAGTTCATGAGTGGGTTGCGCATTGTAGAGAGGATGAAAGCAGAGTATGGTGAGGATGTGGAGCTACCAGCGAAGGCTGCGTCTGCTCCAAAGAAGGAGAAGAAATCTGAATGGGAGGTTTTCCAGAATCAGGACGATTTTGAAGGAGGCTTTTTGCGCGAGGATGGGCCGCCGACTCGAGATGAGCCTGCTCGTGCCCACGAAGACGAGGACGAGGATATGGCTGGTGGCTTCTTCGCTGCTAGTCAAGAGGAGCCCGAGCATGGAGATCTCACCATCGACCACGGCGACACAAAAGTTGAGAAACGCGCGCCAGTGGCAGAGAGCTCGTACCAGGCTCCCATGTCCCTCATTTCTACGTTGCAAGATCCCGTCGATGAGGATGAGGACGAACCCGATCATGACGAAGAATCGGCCGATAACATGGACGTAGACAAAGCCTCACCCCCGCCAACCCGTCGCCAACCAACAACACGCGGTCGCGGTCGCGGTCGTCCCTCAAAACCCGCGCCAGCATCGACACGCCAGCGCAAGTCCATCTTCGCTGAATCGTCCGACGAAGACGAGGAAGCATCCGCGCCAGCTCCCCCACCCACTACTCGTTCAGCGCCTAAACGTAAAGCGGCGCGCAAAAGCGATGCGCAGGTCAAAAGCCACTTTTTCGCTGAGGGGAGTGAGGCGGAGACGGACTTGACGGATCTGACGGATCGCACGTCGCCGAAGAAGGGCGCGAGGGGCAAGGGTGGGAGAGGGAGAGGGAGTGGGAGAGGGAGAGGACGTGGGAAAGGGAGAAGTTGAGGTTGCGCTTTAGGGTTCATGGTAACAAGTCTGCAATACTCACACTACTCCTCCTGGATCATTCTGGTAAAGGTCCCACAGTCAACAACACTTTGGTCCATATTGCCAACGTGCAGTGAAGGGAAAGAGCCTGAGGCTCCCATTCATGTGAGAGGTTTACCAACCACCCCATATTGTGAATGTTAGTCTCATGACGCATGAATTGCAGCACCCTCATGTAGATGAGCTGAGGTCGAAGGACTGCTCAGCCTCAAGGCTGAGCGTGTGCATGAAAACTGCCGCTAGAGCGAAAAGGGGATAGTCGGATGACACGAACAGCGTAATCATGCAGGTGTAGCTCAATTGTTCAGCCTTTTGACCTTCCCTCACCAAAACATCCCTTTGTCGCAGTCGCAGGACGCGATTTTTTTAATTCTGTCACTTTTCATGGTATAGAGATCATTAGCTATTACATGTTACTATCCTGGGCCTCGCAGATTGGCGGTTACTTTAGGATGATCGACTCACGGGAGTCAGCCTTGTCTGATATTTCAGGAGACTCGGATGATGAAGACCAGTCTACTGTCCTGGCCGGCGTTTCGACTGATGAGTCGTACGATCCACGTGGGATGCAGGCTTATCACGACAACTCACCATACTATAACGAAACTCTCGGACCTTCGGATTCAGATTCGCCATGGGATCCATTGCGATTCCTTGAGGCATATGATATCGCCACAAGGCAAGATGTTCTCAGTGGAGTCATTCCTTCCGCGACTGGACCGTCCAGTGTTTATTATTCTGCGAGAAGCGGAAACGATAGCGTCTTTTACTCGGCATCTTCTGAGCTGGGAATTAGCCAGATACATAGTAGAAGAATGAAAAGACTTAAGCGGTAAGTTTTCCAAAGAAATATGTTTATTCAGCCGCTTGACGCCTAGTGCCTCAGGGAAACTGCGTACGAATCGCTTCTCCGGTCCACCGGCGTGGAACTGGACGCAGACGAGTTTACGCAAAACTGGTCAGGACGGGGACAGCACATTGAGTTTGCAAATGACGATATTGGGAAGGTCAACCAGCTTCTTACAGTCCAGGATACGCTCGGGACAGGCAACACAGCGGTTGTCCACAGCGTCAGATGCCGCCGAATATTACTCGCACGCAAGACAATATACACCAACAAGCGATTCTCAAAACGAAAAGCTGCCAAGGAGGTTGCTCACCTCACTCGGATCAAGCACGCTCATGTTGTACGCTTGATTGGCACGTACACGTGGAAATCAGAACTGTCGATCCTGATGTATCCTGTTGCAGATCACAACCTGAACAGCTTCTTGGACAGTCTAATGGACAGTAACATGAGCTATGGCAGCAGAAATCATCACCTTTGGAAGGCCATGGAGCCGTCTTATTGGGGGTTATTTTCCTGCTTAAGTAGCGCTCTGTCACACATCCACTCCACCCTCACCAAGCATCTCGATATCAAACCCCAGAACATCCTTATTCGTGCAGACGGGCGGGGCAGTTACGAAGAAAAAGGAAACTCTCTCCGGGTATACATCGCCGATTTTGGCATAGCGAGGTCTTATCAAACATCCGATGCTATAGATACAGACAGCTCCACTGCGTTCACGCGAAAGTACGCGGCACCAGAAGTGGTACAGCAAGACTTTCGCGGACTTTCAGCAGATGTTTTCTCCCTTGGTTGTGTCTTCCTTGAGATGTTTGCAACATTCAACAGCGTCGACTGCAGGACAGTCACTCAGCTAGATGTGCGAACAGAGCTTCAAGCTATACTCTCGAGTGGTCCAGAGTCATCATACCACAGTCACCTTGTTGCGCTGAGGAATTATCTGTCGAGTAGACATGTGGGACGGCGGCACTCCTATGGACCAAACGGAACGTACAGGAACCTTGTACCATTGATAGCTAACATGATTTCACCAATACCTCGAGCCCGGCCAACCGCTTTGCACCTGTCTCAACAACTACCCGCAAGAGAATGTTGTACTTCTGGGCCAGACAAACTCGAAGAAGCACCAAAATGTGTGGCTGAAGTGAGATGTACGTTTGCAGTGGAAATTGAGGCTGAAACGGATCATTTCATGCAAGCGACTGGTAACATCTTGGGAAACAAAGACTTCATATTTGACCTCGTGAGACGGAAAGAGGAAGAATTCGACAGCTGGAATTTCGATAAGGACTTCTCTGATAAGTCGCACAGCCGTCACGTCGAGTGGACTGGACAAAGGACAGGTACTGTGGCTTTTGGGGAACGACATTAGATTATCCAAGACCTACACTGTAGCGAGGGGTTTGCTTCCTCCCCTGGTTCTGCCCAAGATGAAGGTCTTCCGCAGCCCGGCGGCTCCAAAGATTTGATCAGGTCCCATCGAGCTGTAGGCTCTAGTCAAGCCGCCTCGCTTTAAAGCATGGTGTCACGCAAGAAATTAAGCATAATTGAAAACCTTTCACAATCGCCGCTTCTTCGTCTACGGCTTAAGAACACGCTCCAATTAAATTTTGTAGTTAAGCCCTGACGTGCGTAGATATTCCCTCTTGCATATCAAAGAGCGGTACAGTGAAAGAAGCGCACGCTCATGGTCACGTGTTAGCTTTACTGATCTCCCTCGTCCTCGTTGTACATATGGGTTATCTCGGTTTCTGTTACTTATCGCACTCTGCCCAGTCTCACCCTTGTCCAACTCCTGCAACCTCAACTATCTGGGCTGGTTTACATTACACCAACCGAATTTCGACAACCGCGAGCTGGTCACAAACTATGGCTCCAGCATTTCCTTATACTAACTACGCCAAGTACGTGCCCAAAGAACCGACTATAAAACCAAGATATTGAAAAAACACAGTGCCAGCGCCGGCGAACCCATAACCTATTGCGTCGGCCCTAAATCCACCTCCACACGTTTCGACATCCACCAACTCCTCCTCTGCACCAGCTCTCCCCTCTTCAACGAACCCTCCGGCGTCCCCAAAATCATAACCCGCCCCCTCTATTTGCCCACCATCGATCCCACTATCTTCCGCCTAATCTGTGTCTGGCTGTACGAGGGCATTCCCCCCGCCGCCGAGACCCCTAACGACCTGCTCATCTTGATGAAAATATGGGTCGCGCTGAGCAAGCTCGGTATCTGGGAGAAGCAGAACACCATCATGCGGCTGGGCATGGCGCTCATGCAGCCGAGAGAGTTTACATGTGGGATTGAGACGGTGCGGTGGGTGTATGAGAACACGGCGCCTGGGTCGAAACTCCGCGGCTATGTTGTTGCGATATTTTGTCAGCGCGGTGCGGAGATCACGAAAGAGATGTTTAGTCCTCGGATTGAGAAGCTGGGGATTTTCAGGGATGCGGTTAAGTTTTTTAAGATCTTGAATAGGGTGCGCGCGGGCAATCCGAGGGGTGTGGATGGGTATGGTTTTCACGCGAGCGAGGATGTTTTGTATATGTGGGATGTGAATGATCCGAGCAGGGTTGTGGCAACGGTAGTGGTGGATTTAGAGGAAGTGGATTACAGCAGGATCAGGTATCCGTTGCCGAGCTTCTTGGTTTGGGGGGATAGGTGGGAGGATTTGCCGGATAAATTCTTCTTTATTCACAAGAATGAAGGGTTGAAGGAGGGGAAGGAGGTGCTCAAGCAATTGAGGAGGATGTAAGACTTCCGGTTTTAGACTGTTGTATAATAGTCAAAGATAGGATGGTACATAAGTGGTTATTCGAGATGGGAAACACAGATATGGCCTCTTCGAGATTATTTAGAGTCGTTAAGATGGCTCGATTACTCAAGCATGGAGTCAGTATCCATCATGAATTGGAAATGGCAATTCTACATGCTCCCGTATCAAATGCACTTTTGGACTGAATCTTTTCCAAACGGGACTTGTTTAGAGAAGCCTCGCACCACGTTGGGCAGTTCCCAAGGCCGACTTCCAATCTTTGCTATGATTGAATCGTCTCACGCGTTCAGCTTAACCTCACTAACCCTTTTCAACACCATCATGAGTACGACTCTTCCGCTCAAGCATTATAGCATCCCCTCCATAACCCAGCAGCTTCGTTTTGAGAGTCTCATCTACATCGACATCCACGAACCCAAATCTTCTCCAAAACATTGCAGTACCGTAAACACTCACAAGGCAAGTGCTCTCGTATCTCTCCGCAACATTCATCAAAATCTTCATCGCTTCCTTCGCATTTCCACTTCCATGATAGACAGGTAATATCGCAAGGTCGTGGATGTAATACTGCTCCGCATCTCGGTCAATTTCTCCAAGTAGGCTGTCCAGGTCTGGTGGCTGGCGATGTCGAATTGGATGTGATATAGCATATCCGACTAATTCTTTGCTGTTGTGGTCCGTAAGGGCCAGACAACCTTCGGGGAAGAGTCGCACGCGTTCAGCGAAGACTTCATCACGCTCTGGGAGGCCGGGATGGACGTCGGAAGCGACGAGAATGAGTGCGTCGATATCTTTGATCGTCAAGTTGCGCCATGTAGCGTTTGTTCCCATCATCAGCAGAATATGGAGTGGTGTTGTTGTCGTCTGTGAAGACCACTTTCGGTTTGGATGGGCTGCCCCGCATCGCCGTCCCCACGTTCGCCCGTGTCTCGATTCCACATGCTTCACGCTACCATTTTCACGTGCACGACTGAAGCATGAAATCGTCTTAAGATATTTGACAACTTTTCTCGCTTGCGCAACTTCCGGAATTCAGGATCTGACCTGGGACTTGCTGCAGGTGCTCGGTAGCAGTCTTACCGAACGTGCACCCCCACGTGTGTGCTAATTGCTTAGCGGGGTCTGTAGCGGGGCATCTTGCAGTCGCCAGAGCACGCAATTCTCCCGCCATATGTGATGGAGACGATTACGCCAACCAACATGGTGCTTTGCCTTGCTGGTCCTGACACCTCCATACCCCCGCGTGATTAGGCAAAGTTTTGTTGGGAGGACAGGATGTTTCGCCGAAGCAAAAGCCGTGAAGAAGGGATACTTAATGATCCTCTCCCATGATTAAGGAAGCGTGAAATTCCCTCCTCATTCAGTGTCAGCAATCACATCACTATGTCTTCCGGAAAGACCGTCACCCTCAACACTGGCTACAAGATCCCGTATGTCTTCAGAAATCGATGGCAATGATCATGTATTGATTCGATTTTCACTAACAAGAACGTCCTCTCAATAGTCAATTGGGCTATGGCACATGGCAAGCCGCACCTGGTGAGGTAGGCAATGGTGTCTATGAGGCACTCAAGATCGGATACAGGCATCTCGTAAGTAACCACTTGCTCGTTGGAACCCACATTCTCAACGCAACTGGGAAATGCACCTTTGTGATCAGCGCCTTAGAATCGCGAATGACTGACTCCTTCCAACAGGATCTTGCCAAAATGTACGTAACAAAAACGAACCAATCTTTCGAAATTGTTTAGAGATTTTCCATCGCAGTCGCAAAGAGAAGCACGATGTTGGAATGTCTACGCGAAAGAGATGCGTTCAATATACCACGCCTTACCGAAAACGGTAGCTGACGAGTTTCTCCACCAATTACAGCTACGAAAACCAGAAAGAAGTTGCTCAAGGCATCAAGCGCGCGTACAAGGACATCCCCGGGCTGAAGCGGGAGGACATATTTATTACTTCCAAACTCTGGAACACCCAGCACGATCCTGCCAATGTCGAAGCTGCGCTTGATGACACGCTCGCCGAGCTTGAGCTTGACTGGCTTGACCTTTATCTTGTTCACTGGCCCGTCAACTTTGGGCCCGGCAAGGACCCGCACTCGGACTTGTTCCCTGCCGCGTCCGAGCCTGATGAGGTCAACATCGACAACTCGATTCCCAACAGCGAGACATGGGAAGCCGTGAACAAGCTGCCAAAAAGCAAGGTCCGATCCGTCGGCGTGTCGAACTTCACCTACCAGACCTTGAAAGCTTTGGTTGAGAAGACCGGCCTCGTGCCCGCGGTCAATCAGATCGAGCGCCACCCCATTCTACCCAGCAAGGAGCTCATCCAGTATGCCAAAGAAAAGAACATCCACATCACCGCCTATTCCGCATTCGGCAACAACTTCTTCAACATCCCTCTGCTCATCACGCGTCCCGAAGTCAAGGCCATCGCGGAAAAGAAGGGAGCCACTCCAGCGCAGGTGATCTTGGCTTGGAGCCAGGTCGGTGGTCACTCTGTCATTCCTAAGTCGGTGACGCCGTCCAGGATTGCGGAGAACTTCAAGGAGATTGAGCTTTTGGAGGAAGATATCGCTGCTATTCAGAAGTTCTCTGATGAGCATCAGGGTCGCAGGCGGTATAATGTTCCATTCACTGCGAACAAGCCACGATGGAGCATCAATATCTTCGATGAGCCCGAGGAGCAAGAGGCACCCAACAAGATCATCATATAAATGGTAGTCTAGCTCATGCACCGGTACAGGAAGCTGCCACACTCGAATGTACCGAGTCTTTCCAATTGCCAGTTGTCTGGATACGTAGACCAAGGCTGTTAAATATTGATACCATCTATCTTTGAAGTCCGGTAGAAGTTTTACTTGTACACCTCTCCCGACTATCTGAAGCGTGCATAATAACAGGAGAACGCTGTGAGAAACGAGAGAGAACGAGTGCTCATGTTTTGTCCCATGTCGTTTTCTGGGTTCCGTAGTCCTAAAGACGGCGACACTATCCAGCATGTGGTTTTCAGGCCATCATGATATCTTTGCGGAGTCCTTCAAGCTATAAGGCATGGTGGCGAACTCGGTATACATACCGTCTCTACTGATATATTTCTCCTTGCATAGAAAACAAGTAGGGCAAAGATGCTGTCCCACAGCGTATTCACTCAATCATGTTCGTCTCTGAGCGCGATGAAACATCGTAGCTATCTCAGTAATGATGTCTGAAATGATCGAGCCCTGATATAGGTACTGTTAGGCATCGTAGAATGGCTCATCCACCACAGCGTCGTCATCGATCTGTACAGGGGCATCGGGGTCCAGAGTCGACCATTGGGCGCCTTGGCTTTTGTGGTCCCTGAGTGCGTATTAGCTGGCGGCGTACTAGCTGGCGTTAATAAAAGCCAGCTGAACAAGTCCATATCCAAGAGCAGTGTAGTAGTCGTCGCACCCATCGCGGACTCATCTTGATTGGAGAATTCTGGGGCTTCATCTGCACAACCTTTCGTACACGACACTGCTCTGAGAATTGTATTTAGGTTTCCGCCGAAATCTATATAAAAAAGAGCACTTTAACTCTGATTGCAGATTGTCTTCCAAATCTTCAATGCAGCTGAGTAACGCTTGATACCATTCTGAGTAGAAGGGCCCGCATGCTTTCATCCCTTGGCCTTTTGTTATCTCCCTCTTGCCCTGAACGAAACCATTGATGGAGAAGTCAGATCCCATCAGCATGTATCTTAAGCTCACACCATTCTTCAATCCTTCGTGACTACGTATGGCGCAACCACTACAGCAGAAGCATTGAGAAAGCTCTCCAACGCATTCTTCTTAGTGTCCACCTCATTGCCTTCGATGGCCGTCTCCTCGCCATAGAGTAGCGTCAGCTCTCACTTGCGTCCAATCTTAACGAGCAGAGACTGGAAATTGTCGTAGTTGATGGGTCCCTGATGTCGATCAGACTCTAGTTGTTGACGTACGTGAAGTTGTCTTGGATTTCTGTTAGCATTTTAGCTTGCGGCATTTGCCTGACGGGGCGCAAAGACGTACTGGACAATTTCCCTGCATCCACCTTGTCATAGTATGGCCGCATGCCACTAAACCAAAATCCGCAAGTGGCTCAGCCCCGAGAACAGGCAATTGCAATGTCTAATGCCCAGATACACTATTCTCTGTCACTGCCACCCTGATCAGCGTCTGTAGCACGTCTTGGCATGCTAATATAACGCCAAGGTGGCGCGGTTGCTCACCTGAAAACCTGCAGCCTTCCCCTTGGTATCATTCTCATCCAATTTCACAACGCCTGTTGATCTGACCCTTCACTAATGATGGTATTCGGGGTGATTCAGAATGGTCCTTTGACCCCATGCATTGACTGGAACCTTCTCGCCACGGTTTATGGCGGGACGCGTCGAGCTTTCTGCCACCACGTCAGAGCAGAGCAGCCTGGAACAGTAGCCTCAAATGACCGCTTTCCACATTTCCTGCGACTACCTTTGGAGCTACAGCGGCACATTCTTACGTTTTGCGACTCGGCGAGTCTCTTTCAGCTCATGCACGTATCCGCTACCGTCCGTGACGAGGCGAAGAAGCTGTTCTGGTCCGAATCAACAACGCGCTACCACGTCTATGGCTACTGGCTATTTTCTGGTGGACATCCTGCGTATTCATGTCATGACCCCGAGTCGCTGGCTTATATGCGGTACATTGAAGTGGATTTCAATCCTTATACACCGCCCACGTTCAGTGGGTGGGAAGGCGGTCAGCTTGGATGGCTCTTGCAAAGTAAACGACTACCTTCTGGTTATGTGGCCGAGCAATTCGCTAAGTTCTGGACGACATTAAGGAGCCGCTTTCCTTCAGTCGTCGATGTTGTGTTGAGCACGGAATTCGGCTCGCATTCCTTTGGATCACCGGCGCCCTCTGAGCTGACGAAGTTGGCCGAGGGATGCCCTGAAGCCATCTCCGTCTCCGTATCGTGCCTCCTCGGTCGAAAACCGCACTCTTCACGGATCCCATCGAGGCACATTTGGCACAAAACCCGCCGCAACAACAGTTCATCTACTTGGACGCTGGTTGATCCCGCTTGGACACGTCAAAGCATTTTTCCACCGATGAAGAAGTTTGCTGGTCCAGTCGGATCGTATATCAGTCTTGCATATAATGAACAAAAGTTCTTTCACCTATCACTGGCGCGTCCACTTCTGATTATGCAAGCCACAGAGGCATACTATTTGCATTTTCGGCCTGGGCCCGGTGTTTGCCCCATCACAGGATGTGGGCAGGAGTTTGAGGTCCCAAGTCAGTGGGTAGCGCACTTTATCGAAGCTGACCACAATGCTAAAGAGCTTTGCCCTCCACCTTGCGAGCCGTTTCAGGATCTGTTCAAACTTCACGACGCATCTTTAGCACTGCTGGAGCAAAGAATCGACTGTACATGGGCTCGTATGCAAGCGGCATGGGGCGAAGAAGGGAGTCAGCAACGCGACGAGATGAAGCAAAACTTCTTGCAGCAGCTGGAGTATGATCCCCTATATGCAGAAGAGAAGTCACCAGATGAGAGCTCACTTTGGCGCATTTACCAGAAGAGCCTGAATGATGATTGGGACGAATGTTGCCCGTCCACCGACTAAGAGCTTGCCCTCACGATGTTTTCAAGGGCATTCAAGAATTAGGGCACAAGGACATCGACTCTCAGAAGGACGGTTGAGAAGCGGAGGAAGTGGTGTGTTTGAAATGAGGGCAGACAGGCTGCAGTGACGTTGGCAAAACGTTGATCTGCACAATCTTGCGCCATGCGACAAATGCCATACGCTTCTCTAATGTCTTGACTGTTCGAACGTGATGCATACCGTGAAATGCATATGTTTGTGAACAACAACACCATTCAAAGGTCCGTCTTCACAATGTTTGCATCCAACACACCAACCTCGCCCCGCGCTCTCCTGCCTCCTCAAACACACACACTTCAAGCTACCGAAGATATACCACACATCATGCCCGCTATCGTACTCATCATAGGCCTCGTCTGCCTCCCACTCATTGTCGTCGGATGCATCGTCACAGCATATTTCAAAGTCCGCCGCGCTCGCATCCACGACGTCGAGCGAGCGAACAACACCGATGGAACCAGACATATCAACGACCATGGTATCGTTCTGCGCGGCATCACGCGCATCAGCTCGCCACTCGAGCGGGACGTCGTGCCTGAGAACGTCGCGCCGGTCGCACAGCCACTACCGGAGGCTTACAGGAAGCGAGCAAATAGCAACAGTAAGAAGATGTATGAAGAATTCGACGATACACAAACATACAGAGCCCATCATCCCCTATCCTCGCACGCTCGCATCGACATCCCTCCCGTCATCAGCATTCCCGACATACAAGCCCCTCAGCCCGCATACACGCACGCCCTCTCCGGCCGATACAACTCCACACAAAACACCGCGGAGCTAGTGTACGGCGAGGACGCGCGCGCAGCAGAAGCATGGGCAAAGATTGAAAAACGTGAATCGCTCGTGGAGAAAAAGTCCAGATCCCAAACAATCGAACTTCCGGCCAATGAATGGGAGGATGTTGATCTCGATGGAGACGATGGCGGGTGGAAGAAGAATAAGCGGCCCGCGACGCCTGCGGGGGTATTTGCTATTGGAGACGGTGATGATGAGGATGATGAGGGAGAGGTGGCGGAAAGAAGTCATGATGAGCCAAAGGATAGCAGATCTGACACGCCCACAGCCTCATCGCAGATCCTTTCAGCAATTCCTAACCGACTATCCTGGAGTACGACATCTGGACAGTCGACGCGCAGCGGGTCTGATGTGACGAAGCAAACGCTGCCGAGTTCGCTGTCGAGGGCATCGTCGATGCGTGAAGAGCGCACCACGCCGCCAAGGAGGAGTTCTGTGGTGAGCAAGTTGAAGGGGTTGAGTAGGTCAGGATCTGAGAGGATCAGGCGGACTTCGGGAGAGGGGGAGTTGTATGGAGATATGGCGAGGAGGGAAAACGCGTTGGCGGGATTTGAGGGATGAAATAGCATAGCGAATACAAAAATGTAACATGAATATCAGTGATCTCAGACAACTTCATCAGTGCCTCGAGGCGGACCTCCTGCAACACCCGCTGGTCCCACCTTTCCTCTGCCACTAGCACCGCTCTGCTGGTCTTATCCTCATCTTCATCCTCATCGAATGTCGAGTCAAGCATGAATGGGCTGTTCGCATGAATCTCTGGGCCCTTGGATAGCAAGACAACAGGTCCAGTACTCAATGCCACACAAATCCGAGTAAACTGCCCGCCCAGCCAAATTCAAGGGCCTGGAAGAGCGAGTACGACGCGGAAGGCAGAAAAGCGACGAAAGTTTTGCGACCAAGCGACGCAGCTGATAGCGCCGATGCAGCGTAGTTCTCGTAAGCGTCGGTGAGGTAATTTACGATGCCCATATAGATGGAATAAATACTTACGCCGACAATAGCTTCCCCAATGGCGGAGACCATCCAGTCGATAGGTGTACGAGATATCCAACCATAGATGAAAAAGTCAGCCGTGAACAAAAGAGATCCGAGGATGCTGGTGTAGAATCGTCCTTAAGTGGGAAGAGGGCAGCGCCAAGATTCCAGCTGCACGTGCTCGTTCTTGACGTTGAACCGAGAAGCCATGTAGTCGTTGCCAGCACCATACGAGCCCGGTGGAAGACGGGTCAGAATTGAGAAGAAACATACCGTCACTATGAGGAACGACTTTGTAGGCTAGTGACCAGTCGAATCTGTGACTGCCACACAAGTAGAACGTATGATGTCGAAGACAGCAAACGGGTAGTCAGGATCGTCTGGCCCGTCTCAGGTATGAAGCTCGACTTCTTTGACATCATGCATTAGGTTTGACTGTTCCCAGGTTACTGCGCCTGGTTTGGCTTGAAATGTTCATTGTTCGCCGAGAAAGACCTTTCGGTATGCTCTAGGCTGGCGTCGGCAAGCCCACTACAGCGTGACCTTTCGGACTAAGCTCAGTCTAGCGCACCTTTCTCTTCATTCGTCGAAGAAGGATTAGACATGATGGACAGTCGAGGGTATTGCCATAAGATGCGGGTTTGTTGAACAGTGCTTATCGACGACTACTTTTCCCAAGAGCACGGGTACGGCGATGCGGAGTGTAGCGGTCGACAGCATATATAATCATTCGAAGGAGTGACCTCATGATGCCTAGATCAGTAGATCGTAGCGTCATAATGATTCGGCCCTTCCATAGTCAATGGACAACCACGACGTTTGCGTGATCACCAACTTCCACAACACTAACATGTCCTATAACATTTCTTGTCTGAGAAGGTACCTTACTGCCAACCAGAGGTATAAAGCTTGAAGTACGTTGGTTTTGCCGTGCTTGATCAAAGTCGTGCATGTTGTACATCACTCAAAGCTCGCGAGGATGCGTTCGCCGTGAAGTCGGCGAGTGCCGCTTGCGCTGGGCGCGCTCCGCAATAGGGCCTCTTCTTCAATGATGAATTGGCGTTGTCCAGGTGGTGACGCATAATTGTCCATATGGTCTTACGACAATCAAGGACTTGTGACTGCAGAATCTATGCTTCTTGGGTCCCCGCTCCACGCGGTGCAGTGGCTAGCATGGAAGTCATTTGCTTTACAGCATCCAGCCACCACCTCTTCGCATCGACACTGGCATTCTGACGGACAGCGGCGAAAATTGCGTCCTGCAAATACTGGCTACGTTCTGCTTGTTTGACCGCATCGGTAGGTCGCGCGGCTCAGTCACGGGGAAATGAGGTGGCGACTTTGAAAAATGAAGTTCTGCATGTTTGACAGGTGCTGATTGCAGACGAAGATAGCGAGCTTGCGAAGGGTTCCGCGCGAATTATAGTCGATGGATTGAGCTACCGGGTCGCGTGGGTGTAGTAGGAAGGACGCGTCGTTGAAGTGCAGAGGGAAAGAGGGGCAAGGATGCTCGCGTGATGCCGAGGTTTTGCCATCGGTGGTATCGGAGCTTGAGCGATGATGTCGAGACTCGGAAAGCTGCTGAGCAATTCACCCGCCACGACTCCAATCATCATTTCCCCCACTGTGCGCCTCCTGGGTGCAACATCGCGTTCAGTGCATTATCGCCAATCATCGTGGGGTTTGAACTCACGACTTCCCTTTCATTGAAGTTTATCGCTGCCTTCCGAGGTCGCACTTACCCTCCGCTCGTCATGCCTCATACCTCGAATCTGCCGTGGCGGGCTGCTCTTCGCCATGCTTCACCGTCGGCCACACGAAATCTCGCGTCGAGAGCATCGGCGCGCTATCTCCCTGCACAATGCACTGCATCCATTGTATCACGTTACCCGCTTCGGTGCCCATCGCCGCCCGCCGCGCTACTCGCCCACCGTAACTTCTCTACATCGCTGAGAAGAGAGAAGGAAAAGGACCCCAAAGACCCAAAAGTGCCACCAGAGCCTGCAGAAGAAGATGCTGTGGACGAGAAGAAAGAAAACGAGGCGCTGGAGTTTGACTCCAATCAGGGAAGAACATTCAAGCAACTCCAAGACAAGATCGCTGAGATGGAGGCAAGAGCGGAGCTTGAAGCCAAGAATAGAGCAAACGACTCGAACGCACCACGTGCGGCTTCTGGGCGCAGTGCCGCAGCAGGAAGAGGAGGAGACGGCTCAGGAGGCGACAATGGCGGTAAAAAGCGCAAAGGCTCTTCGCCCGTGAGCCCTGCAGTACCCGAAGTCTACCCGCAACTCATGGCTATACCGCTGCTCCGACGTCCGCTTTTCCCGGGCTTCTACAAGGCCATCACCATCCGAGACAGAGCCGTTGGAGAGGCACTCTTAGAATTGGTCCGGCGTGGCCAGCCATACATTGGTGCTTTCATGTTCAAGGAGGACAGCGTCGACAAGGATGTCATCGATGATATAAGCGAAGTACACAGTGTTGGCACCTTCTGCCAAGTCACCAACGCGTTCCCGGTTGGCGGTGACGACAACTTCGCCATGACTTGCGTTCTCTATCCCCACCGAAGGATAAAGCTGACAGACCTCACTCCACCCAAGGCGGTTGAGGAGGGCACACCCGAGACACCGTCTGTGGTCGAGAGCACATTGGAAGAAGCCACGGTCAATGAAGCGCCCTCCAATCAAGCCAAGGGCGACGTCGTGGCGAGCTTCGAGGAGGCTAGCGAAGAAGCCAAGGGACAGGAGGACAACATCCCAGCGCTGCTCAAGGGTCGCAAGGTCAGCGTTGCTGAAGTTGAGAACTTGGCTGAGGAGCCCTATGACATGAAGACGAACAAGACTATCCAGGTGCTCATCAACGAGATCGTCAACACGTTCAAGGGTGTGGCCCTGCTTAACCCACTCTTCCGCGACCATATCTCTACCTTCTCCGTACACACGACCATGAACGTCAGTGAGGACCCAGTCAAATTGGCTGATTTCGCTGCTGCAGTCGCACAGGCCGAGTCGGGCGAGTTGCAGTCTGTTCTCGAAGAGATGGACATAGAGAAGCGCCTGAGCAAGTCTCTCGAAGTTTTGAAGAAGGAGCTGCTGAGTGCCGAACTACAAAAGAAGGTCTCCGACGATGCCAATGCGAGAGTCAGCAAGAAGAACCGCGAGTACCTGCTGATGGAGCAAATGAAGCAGATCAAGCGCGAGCTTGGCATCGAGTCTGACGGCAAGGAGAAGCTAATTGAGAAGTTCACTGCAAAGGCCGCCAAACTGGCCATGCCCGAGGGTGTCCGCAAAGTGTTCGATGAGGAGATGGGCAAGCTTGCGGGTCTTGAGGCCAATGGTTCAGAGTTCAATGTGACGCGCAACTACCTCGACTGGCTCACTCAGCTACCTTGGGGCCTTCGTAGCGCCGAGACCTTCGCCATCAATCACGCTCGTGAAGTTCTTGACGAGGATCACCACGGCCTAAAGGATGTCAAGGACCGTATTTTGGAGTTCATCGCGGTCGGTAAGCTTCGCGGTACTGTGGAAGGCAAGATCCTGTGTCTGGTCGGTCCTCCCGGTGTTGGCAAAACTTCTATTGGCAAGTCAATCGCACGCGCATTAAACCGCCAGTACTACCGCTTCAGCGTTGGTGGTCTGTACGATGTCGCCGAAATCAAGGGTCACCGAAGAACGTACGTCGGTGCATTACCTGGGCGGATTATCCAGGCGCTGAAGAAGTGTCAAACGGAGAATCCACTTGTCCTCATTGATGAAGTCGACAAGATGGGTCGCATGAGCAACCATGGTGACCCGGCATCCGCACTGTTGGAACTGCTCGACCCAGAGCAAAATAACAGCTTCCTGGACCACTACCTCGACGTGCCTGTTGATCTGTCCAAGGTCCTTTTCGTCTGCACAGCCAACATGGATGACACGATCCCGCAGCCCCTCCTCGATCGTATGGAAGTTATCCGACTTTCTGGCTATGTGTCTGACGAGAAGATCGCCATCGCCGAGAAATACCTGGCACCAGCAGCCAAGGAGATGAGCGGATTGAAGGGTGCGGATGTGGAGCTCCATAACGGTGCGATTGTGGAACTGATCAACAAGTACTGTCGTGAGTCTGGTGTTCGTAACTTGAAGAAGCATATTGAGAAGGTATACCGAAAGGCTGCTCTCAAGATTGTCTCTGAGGTTGGCGAGGATGCTTTGCCAGAAGCGGATGCGCTCACCGAGAAGGGCAAGGCTGCACAGAAGGAGTCGGAGAAGGATGACACCGACCCGAATGCTACACCTGAGAACATCGACAAGCAGTCCGTGGAGAAGCCTCGCGTCGCGCTTAAAGTTCCCGACACTGTACACGTTTCCATCACCCAGGAAAACCTAAAAGACTATGTCGGCCCGCCTGTCTACATCTCCGATCGTCTCTACGAAACCACTCCTCCCGGTGTTGCCATGGGTCTTGCATGGACGGCAATGGGCGGCTCTGCGCTTTACATTGAGTCAATAGTGCAAAATGCACTAACAGCTGCCTCGCATGGCGGTCTTGAGCGCACTGGCTCTCTGCGCGACGTCATGAAAGAGTCGACCGGTGTTGCGTACTCGTTTGCTAAGAGCGTCATGGCCAGGGAATATCCCAAGAACAAGTTCTTCGAGCACGCAAGGATACATTTGCATTGTCCTGAGGGCGCGACACCCAAAGACGGACCCAGTGCTGGTATCACCATGACATCCAGCTTACTGAGTCTCGCGCTTAAAACACCTATCAAGGAGCACGTGGCCATGACTGGTGAGATCACGCTCACGGGCAAGGTGCTAAGGATTGGCGGTCTTCGCGAGAAGACGGTTGCGGCAAGGAGAGCTGGTGCAAAGACCGTCATCTTCCCACAAGACAACATGAGCGATTGGCTGGAGCTTCCTGAGGTACGTTCATCTCCTACATCCAGATGAGGACCAAAACTAACATTGAAACAGAACATCAAAGAAGGCATTGAAGGAAAGCCAGTAAGCTGGTACTCTGACGTATTCAGCATCGTCTTCCCCGATGTCGACCGCGATACAGCCAACAAGCTCTGGAAAGACGACCTCAAGACCAAAAAGGGCGACCGTGAGCGTAAAGAGCGAAAGCGCAAAGACGACGAAGAAGAGTCCGGCGAAGATGACGACTGAATGCATGCACGTGTATGATACCGTGAAAAGATAGTAAGAAGCAGCGCATTCTGCGGCGTTTTGGCATTTGCATACAACAGCTAGTATAGAAACGATGGCTTTGAGGGCCACTGCATGTGTGACCAATGTGTATAATAGGTATATATAATCTCATCACTTCAACCTAGTCATTCTAAAATCATCGTATCGCACTCGGCACTTCAAAGTCTTCGATTGGCCCCTTGCGTGATGCAGCAGCGGAAAGAGAACGGGCATCATCCCTCCATACCTCGCAGCGGGACGGACCGAGCGCCGCTGTTCCGCGCTGAACGTCGCGAGTTCATCAAAGGCTGTATTGATGGACTCGAGACAATGTATATGTATCTGTCACATACAGATTCCACAACATCAACCGAAACCAAGCCCTCTCGCCAACCACCATCTTTCATGCACGCACCTTCGAATGCGGCTAGCCTGCCATCAGCCACCATGCACACCCGCGACACGCATTCTCGTGGGCTTGCAGGGCGTTTATCGAGCTGTCAGCGGCAACCTGATTGCGCCTTGGCTGTCGTGGGTGATGTGGAGTGAGCGAAAATGAGTCATTGTGGCGAAGGGGATGCACGTGACTTTTTTCCACCATGATACGCGATGGATAGTAGTACTGTACACGGGGAGATATAATGTGCACCATGTGCGTTGGTAAAGCCGTATTAATTTCAGGCGATTCTTTGAGACCCTAGGTAGGTCTTTGTGTATTTTTTTTGTTCCTTTATTACCTACTCTCCGATCCGTTAAGAGTTATAACAACCGGGAGCAAATACATCAGCATGGCTGCTCCGACCCAGAAGTTCCCGTGTAATACTTGCGGGCTGGGATTTACGAACAGTATGGAGCAGCGCGAACACATGCGGTCGGATTGGCATGTGGGGAATCTGCGGCGCCGGATCGCGGGGGAAGGTGTGCTGGCGGAAGAGGAGTATGAGGAGGCACATCCCAAGGCTTAGTGGGAAGTCTAGACGACGGTCTCTATCGCCGCCAATCATAGAGCCGGAGGATGAATATGAAGAAGAAGACGAAGGAGAACAAGAGGGTGACGAGGGTGGAATGGTAGCAGTCGAGCAGTGTCTGTTCTGCCCTCTCACACTCTCTTCAATCGACTCCACGCTCGAGCATATGAGCCAAACGCATGGACTGTACATACCTCATGTCGATCGCATACCCGACCTTTCATCCTTCCTCGGCTTCCTCAACACACTCGTCTTCAACCACCACGAGTGCCTGTATTGCGGAGCGCAGAAAGGGAGTGTAAGCGGTGTGAGGACGCATATGAGAGACAAAGGACATGAGAAGGTTCGGTGGGAGGATGTGGAGGAGTTTTGGGATGGGGCTGGGGATGGGGAAGAGGGAAAAGAGGTAGAAAGAAGAGGGGAAACGGAGTGGCAACTACCATCCGGAGCAATTATAAACAGCAGATCCGACTCGACATGTAAACCACGGCATGCACGGTGGAGGACTAGAGCGCACGAGAAGGCTACGGCGCGCGCTGCAATTACTTCTACGCCTTCTAGCGACCGCCAACTTACACGCAACGCCGAGCTGAGTCTATCCAGCGTTGCGGATTCGCAAATCAGGACGTTGCGGTGCGCTGAGAAGAAATCTAGAAGTACGGAAGCGATTGCAAGGACAGCATGTAGATGGAAGATGGAGCAAGCGCCCGTGTTGACGAAGTATTACAAGAAGCAGAATCCGGTGTATCAGGCTGGATGAATGGGAGGAAAGAGGATGGTACTGGGACTGATAAAATCTTGCCTTGGTAGAAAGCGAGCGGCTGGATTGTCGGGTCATCCAAGACGACGCATCGGCACGATATCCGTCCGTCCCGCAGAAGTGGAGAAAACCTGTACAATATTTCACAAAGTCACTGCACAGCTCAGTGTTCCATCAGGGATTGCTAGAAATAATTCGCACTGGCGTTTTGCAGGATTGAAGTTGCTGTAGTGTCGCTTGATTCGCTGGCGCAGCGCCTCGCGCGCATGAACTGGATTGACGTGTCAAAGCCCCTGGGTAGACAACGCATACTATATGTTTATGCGAACAGGAGGGAACAAATCAACAGGGAAGAGAGAGACTAGATGATGTGTGTTGTCATACATCGTGAAGCATGCGTGTTGGTGGTGTTGAAGTGTGGGACGGGGCAAGCTTCACTTCAGGCGGAGAAGAGAGGTACCGGTGAAGATTTGGGATCAGGACTTCAGCAAGGGCAATCGTGACAGCTGCGTCGAATGCATCAACTGTGCAAGATCAATGTTGCACGGCTTGTGAGTTTCCATGCTCTTGCAGCTGGTGTTCTAGCTCCGAGGATGAAGAGATCAGTTTTCCCGAAAAGCGACTGCTGCAGGACCACGGCATGCAGTAGTGGGCTGCACGTCGAAAGCATGCCGAAAACGTCTCCTGTGCGACGCAACTGTGGGGCTCTTGTGTATGTGAACATAGCCGAAGCTACCTAAAGCAAAACTGCGTGCAGGGCCTGTGAAGGAGTTAGCACTCGGTTATGTCTGGACTAATGTATGCGCGCCCAAAAGAGGGGGCTACAATCAATGCCGGCTGATGGCGGAGGATTGAGGAGACGGTATTTTCAGCATGTCCCGCCATTGTTGGAGGAAGGTGGGTAGAGGAATATTGACAAGCGGTGGTCAGATTGTGCGACTCACCGCAGTTTTGTAAAGTGGCTGGCACACACGACTCCGCGCCAATCAATTGCAGGGCTGTCGTGTCTCGCAGGTCGACTCATGCCTACAGCGCGTCTGATTCGAATGAAAAGGGCCTTGGTTTGGGCCGACTGCGCTGCTGTTGATGCAGGGCGGCAGGTCTCCTGTCCAATGCAGTGTTGGGTGCTTGACCGCCACGCCAATGGGGCAGCAAGCAAAAACAGTGCGGTGCTGCACATGCACACGCAATTCTGAACGTGTTTCTCTCCTCCCCGCTCTCGTGAGACTTGTTCCAATACAGCCGCGTTGTGTCACTCTCCAGCCTCCTCCTGATACGGTCACCGATTACGATTACGATTACGATTACAGTGTTGCGGCGTAGCCTGGTCGCGTTCAGGGTGCGAACTAGCGCTGATTGGACAGCCTCATCTGGCGCATCGCATCCCCATCTCATCTCACATCGGACGGACTCAGACTCAGACCACCCATTCCTGTCGCCACCCCGAAGCCGAATTTTGCAGCCTTTCCCTCTGCGCCCTTTCGAGCCTCACTCCGGACTCTGGCTGCCATTGCTATTCTTTGCATTGTTTGGACGGATCCTTAATTCGCGGTTAGGCGCCAACGCGAGGGTATTGGCATGTCGCTTGGGCCTCAATAATATCACGGGCTGTGCTCTGCGGGATTAGGAAGCCGGTGAAGCGGAAATTCTATTCACCGAGAGCACTCAGGAGCAAACAGCGACGGCAAACCCAAGGAGGACTGCAGATGCGCAAACACGGGTTCCAGGCGCAGAGCATAAACTAGATCGATGGATGCGAACAGCCACAGTTACACACATCAAGGACACGACAGGAGGACGGCGCCAAAGCGATAACAGCCAAACCAATCGATACGCATCCGACCAGCAACGCCCCCGCACCACGCACCCCGTCACGACGAGTCGGCGCACGTTACCTGACGCACGACGAAGGCTGGCAGAGAGGGATAAGAGGGCCGCGCGAGCTGAGGAACGTCCCCACGCCGCGTCTTGCGGTGCGTGTGCTATTGCAATTGCGATAGTAGACCATGCCCCATCTACTGTCCACAGACAATGGAAATAGAGAGTCGAGCCGCAGTCGGAGCAGACAGCGGGCGCGCTCTGAAGTGAACGAGCACCGCAGCGTCTGGGAGCGCCTCAACTTCCAGAAGATTGGCTCGTGGCTGAAGAGAGAAGACGGCGAGCCACAGCTGCCTTCCGCCACCGGCCCGTACCCTCATTGAAGGTCGAGGATGAGAGCAACAAGGAGAATGGGCGGCCGCATTCGAGTGGGGAGCACGCGACAAGAACGAGCGGGCTGGGCCTGCTGGATCGGAAGAACAGCAGGAGAGTCGTCCCTGGGCTCCCACGCTCACTGACCTTCAAGCGCATGAACAGCGAGAAGAGAGACAAGCTACTCGAAGTCCCGCCCGAGCCCGAGCAGCGACGAGCGTCGTCCGCAGACCGAAAACCGACTCCTTTCCCGCGACGCGACTTCTCTCCGCCCCCTATCTCCGCCCCTTCCATGTCTGCGCCAGACGTCTTGACTCCCCAGGACAGCGAAACACAGCAGAAACCACTGCCCGAAACCACGATAGGCGGCGCGTCGGATCAGAATCTCCCCGCGGGCGCACGGCAGATTGACTATGGCGAGAGCCTAGACCATCTGTCTGCAGGCGAGCCACCCCAGCTGGATGTGGTGGATGAGTTCTCAGAGCGAGGCTCGCAACGATCCGTGTCAGACGTGGACGACATACGGTTGCAGGAAGAGTTGGAAGCACGGTGGATATTGAACCTCAGCATGCACTTCCGCGACTTGTCCGATCGCGAGAAGTTCTTCCTCACATACGCCGAAGAGCCCAACAAGTGGAGGAGAGTGACCGTGTCGTGCGATTACCGCCAGCTCGAACCCGATTCCCTCGAAGCGGATCTCAAGACACTGCATTACCAACGCGACAAGAGCGCCAGGATATACGAAGCGATACGTGGATCACTCGGCGGCATACAGTTCTACGACACTGTGACAAACCTCAAGCTCGAAACCACCGATGGCCGCCTCCACGTCCACGTCACTGAAGACGTCAACGAAATCATCCCGTATCCCTCGACCTCGTCCATCGAGCATCTCGACTGCAAGCGCTTCAAGGAAAACGCCATCTGCTTCGACTCGCACATTTCCGGCTTCGTGTACAAGGTGGCCGTCAACAACAAGCCGCTCATCAAGAAAGAGATTCCCGGACCTGACGCCGTCGAGGAGTTTCTGTACGAGATCAATGCTCTGTGTAGCTTGCAAGACTCCAAGTCTGTCATCAAATTCGAAGGCATCATTGTGGACGAAACGAACGATCTGATCAAGGGATTGCTGATCAGCTATGCCGATCAGGGTGCACTAGTCGACATGATCTACGACTTCAAACCAACCGATCAACTACCCTGGGAACGTCGTGAAAAGTGGGCGCGCCAGATTGTGGAAGGGCTTTCAGAAATACACGAAGCAGGTTACGTACAGGGTGACTTCACGTTATCAAACATTGTCATTGACAAACACGACGATGCCAAAATCATCGACATCAACCGCCGCGGATGTCCAGTGGGCTGGGAGCCGCCCGAGCTGGCCAAGCTCATCGAGAGCGGCCAAAGGATATCGATATACATAGGAGTCAAGTCTGATCTTTACCAGCTCGGCATGGTGCTGTGGGCGATCGCGGAACAACAAGATGAGCCGGAACGACAGGACCGACCACTGACAAAGACTATGGACCATCCCCGGTCCGACATTCCCGACTACTTCAGAGATGTTGTGCGAGCATGTATGAGCAGCCTGCCACGGAATCGACCCTCGGCCTCGCAACTTCTTAAGCAATTCCCACCACCGTATCAGGTCATCGAGATGAAACCTACAGTAACCTCAAGAGAAAGCGTTTCCACGCATAGGAGCGACAAGGAGTACATTGACCCTGCCACAGCTGTCGATCTCAACGACATAACGCAATATCGCCGTCACTCGAGGCAGCAGTCGTCGTTCGAGGACGTAAAGGTACCGCCTACCGAATACCCTGCCTCTTCAGGCTCCTACATCATGGCCAATCACGACAACAACCGTGGCCGCTCACCAGGTGACGCACAAAGCTACAGGAGAAGTGACTGTTCACCATACCCTGGTCACCGGTCGGTCATGTCTCTTGAAGACTCAGAGCTGGAAAACGAACTTGCCAGCCTTCCAGCCAGTAGGGAGGCGCGATGGGAACAAATCTATGTTGACGGAGACACTAAGCTTGTCCAAAGAGGCTGTGGCGATATCAGCGTGCATGACTTTGCCACCCAAGAACCAAAGGAGATATGCATTACCACACCCCCTGCCGAGATGGAGAATTCATTCGCGACGAACAAGCCGGTTGAGGATGCGCCTCTAAATTTCTCTGCGCTCATGCCAATTGAGCCGCAGGCACCACAGACCAGTCTGCTGCAGCCTGAAATTGGGCAGCAGACCAGCGTAGACGGCAGAGCATCCTTCAGTGATCGAGTGCATCAACTGGCTCAGGCGCAACCACAACATAACTCGCCGCAAGCCTCTCCAATACGAAGTCGATTTCCTGCTATTTCAGATCCCCTGGAGCTTGCGGATCTCGAGCTCGAAGTGGACCTGAGCTCTTCCGTGACGACTTCAGTAGGACCTTCCCGTGTCAACACCGGCTTCTCCATCTTCGACCTCCCCGAGCGCGCGAGGCGAACCGACACCGGCTTCTCAGTCGCAACCGGCTACCGCATGCCTGTCCACCAAGACTCAGGCTTCGCGGAGCCAGAACGGATGCTCTACGAGAGTGAACCAATACGCCGCAGCCTGGACGGAAGTATCCGCGACTTCCAACTCAACGAGGAAGACGACATCGTCAGCGACCGCCTCTGGGACTCAAAGGACGGAGTGATGTTTGGCCAGGGCATCCGCGCCTCCCAACTCGAAGTCAAACCCCTCACATTCCCCGACTACTCCCTCGCCACACCCTCCTCCAAACCAGGCAGCAACATCCACCCCGCATCCGACAAACCCCTCGACGAAAAATCATCAAACGCCACCATCCGCCCGCCGAGTATCCGCATACCAGACCTGTACCACAAATCCATCGACAGCAACAGTAATAACCCCCTCACGCCCCCGAAATCAGGCGTGTCGTATCAGCCGCTATATATCCCCACCGCACGCTCGAGTTTCATTGATGAATATCTGAGTCCTACGCAGAGTCGCGAGGGCTCACCGGTCAGGGGCGGGAGCGATTTGGATGATTATTTGGGGGCGGAGATTAGTTTGGTATGAGGGGAATACATTTTACGTATATACTACGTGCAAGAAAGAAAGAAGAAAGAAACAAATCAAGGAAGAAGAGGTAGATATTTCCGTGTTTCGCGAGAAACGCAAAAGTTTGAGTTTTGCATGAGAACGGTTTTTTGTGTTTTGGGTTAGCGGGCGTCTGGGATAGGTACGAGCGCATTTGACGTCGGGGTTGATGAAAGAGGATTATTAAGGCTTTTAACTTTGTCGAGTATGTTTACATTCGTTTTTCTTTTATTTTCTTGTAAGATGTGTGGGTTTTTGGGGATAGGGACGCATAGATACCTGGGCTGCGGGTGCATTGGTTTATAGTGTGAATGTGAATGATTGTCATACTTTGACCATGTAGAAATGTGCTTGTGAGGAGTTGCGGTTTGTGCGTGAGGTAATCGTATTTCAGCCGACAATACAATACGTAGTGCACAGCACTTCAAATGCAACGCTGCAGAACGCGTGAACCGCGTAGCATCGCTGATTGGATCACCACATGTTGTGACAGGACGCCTATGCGGAAGAATGGTAGATGGGCACCAGACGCAGACTGAATTCCTGTCCCGCCCTCCCCCAAGAGGAACATGTAAGCTCCTCAAAACTATTACATCACTTCGCGCGTGTGCAGAACGGACGCGAATGTTTTTGCCGCTGCCTAGTATGGGGGCTATTTCCTCGCCTATGACAGCACGTATTTGAATATCTGCCAAGGTCAGCAGCTGAGTAGGAACGCTGCTTACATGTGGAAGTGATGCCCAACCCCGCTCTTTATTTACTGTCATTCTTACAATTCGCAGCCTGGTTCAGTGGCGATGAAGTCCGAGAGCGATGCCTACGATAGCTCTGGAGACCAGTCGCCTTACGACTACCAGCCGTTAAAGCCCGGTCAGATCCGCCTTTTGCAGGCTGAATGGGTCACTGAGCCCTCCTTGCAGCACGTCTTTCCATGGACATCATCGCGAAAATCCTTAGAGCTTCATACTGTCCGTGTGGAGCTTGAGGAACAGCATAATTACGAAGCAGTGTCGTACGTTTGGGGCACCGCGCCTGCGTCCGTCAGTGTGATGTGCAATGGATGCCCGGTGTTTATCACACCGACGCTTCATGAGCTGCTGGGATTTCTAGCAGGGGCGGGGAGGAACCTCTGGGTCGATGCGGTTTGTATCGATCAGAGGAACTCGGAAGAGAAGGCTATGCAGATACCGCTGATGCGCCTGATCTACTCAAAAGCAGAAGCAGTTGTCATATGGCTGGGAGCCTCAGATTCTTCGGTCACGGCTTTTATGGAAGAGTTACCTAGGGTATGCAAGCTTTCTAGATCGTGGACGCCTACAGATCCTACAGGGGACATCTATTGGAGAGGTAAAGACTGGCCTCCAGACGGTGACCCGTTCTGGGAAGGGCTGTTCCACCTTGTTCGCCACCAGTGGTTCGCACGCCTATGGACTTTCCAAGAAGTTGTGCTTGCGAAACGCGGATACATAGTCTATGGGAACATGTGGAGACTACTCGAAGACTTTGTGGCCTTTTACTATCCGGAACAGGGAGCAAGTGGTTCTTATGTAGTTCCCGGGGTGGACCACTACGATCAAATCCCAAATCTCGATTTGTCATTGTCTATTGCCTACAATGCATGTAGTGTCATTAATTGGCGACATAGCAAGGGCAGCGATACACCAGTGCAACTTGCGGAACTACCGAGCTTGCTTTACCATGTCAGGCACAGGAGGGTCACGGAACAAGTCGATCGAGTCTGGGCAATCGCTGGTGTCCTTTCTGAGAGTCTCCAAGCTCGACTTTCATCCAAGATTGACTACGGTGAAGGCTCTCGCTCCCAATATTGGACGACATATCTATCCTTTTCCAAGGCTGTATTCGAAGAGGAGCAGTCTCTGGTTCTTCTGAACATTCCGCCATCTGTCGGACAGCATCACATTGAGCTTCCATCCTGGTGTCCTGATCTCTCTTCCAGCGAGCTTGCATGCAACTTGAAAATCAACCACTCCTGGCGCGCGCGCCAATTGCCCAAGGCGCGTCAACGCATCTGGTGGTTTGATCCCCAACACGATGTGCAAAAGTGTGTCGAGAAACGAGCGGCTGTCGTTGATCATTCATTGAAGTCGATCTCAATCAACAGCAACGACTCAATCTTGAACGTCCGTGGATTCGTCGTGGATACCATCGAAGAAGTCGTGGACGGAGCTGGCCTGCTTCCTCTGTGGCGTCGTGACCCTTGCAACGATTGGCGCGACCTCGATCCAGCGAACGCGGCCATCCGCACTATCGTAGCATACTATCTCCAAGCACTCAAACTCGCTCAACGTACTCGTTGCAAGCAAGATGACACAACGCTTCCGAGAGAGTTTGTGTCCTGCCTCTTCCGCGACAGCCGTTTCAGCACCGAGGCAGAAAGATTTTGCGTCGATATGTTCCACATGCTTGAACTTGTCATGGAAGGTATGGAGGAAGGATACAGACATATTGCTCCCGACAAAAGACACTGGGGTGCAAAGTTGTGGCGCATTTTGACCAGGTTGATTGGACACTCTTTCTTTGCCACAAGCAGTGGTCGTTTTGGTATCGCTTCCCCTGGTTGCAAGCCTGGGGATGGAACATGTGTTTTCTATGGTGGCGAACCGCTATATGTATTGCAGCATGAGGGTACTGGAGTAGAGGCCAAGGCTGTAAAATTCGGTGGTGTTGCGTTCATCCCGCATTTGATGGACCAGGACCAACGGGACGATGCACGGCTTGGTCCAGATGAGACTTTTGCCATAAGCTGAGGATATATCAATTTCAATGCATTTTACGTTCTCCAAGGGTAGGACTTACCTCGTTGTCACGGAATATAGATCCTAACGCCACGTCTGAAAAGGTCCAAGGCTATGTACATTAGCAAAGCAACATATAAATCGACATGGCTATGCATGGCGAGTTCTAATCGACCCCTGTTAATCGATAGAAGGAGATAACTTGGATATTGTGGCGCCTACTGGGGTCATGTTTACACACAGCCACCGCCACCAAGGCGCCAATCATACGAAAGGAAAACGTGAAGTCTGCCTTGCGATCATTTCTTCCATCTTACCCCTCACTTATCCCTCTATTAGAAATACTCGGGCACGACAGCGCACGACCAGAAGTGAAGGAAGGAACTCATTGCAGCATATCAAAAAGAACTCGGTCCTTTGACCATTGAAGCGGCAATCCACTCCTCAGATGTGATAGCCTAGTAACGTGTGAACAATCCGCGGAGTCCCTCTCGGTTTCTTGTGGCATCATGGCAGACTCTAGCCAAGCTTTCGACCAGTCCCCTTACTCCGATCAACCTCTCGGCCCTGGGGAAATCCGGTTATTGGTAACCGAGACAGTCCCTGTACCTCTACAACACGTCTTCCCCTGGCTATCCGAAGAAGCTACTATCAGCCTTACCACAAAGGTATTCCGACTTGACCAGAAACCTGATTTCCACGCGATATCTTATGTCTGGGGAACCGCTCCAGCCTCAATCAGAGTCCCTTGCAATGGAAATGATCGAAGTCTTCTCGTCACCCCGACCGCTTATGAGATGCTCGCGAATTTCGCAAAGTTTCAACGGTTGTGGTGGTGGGTCGATGCTGTTTGTATCGACCAGGAGAACGAAGTCGAAAAGGCTGGTCAAATTCCGCTGATGCGGCAGATCTACGCAAAAGCAATAAGTGTGGCAGTGTGGCTAGGTGTTGGAAACCCCGCAATGCATGCTTTTATGAATCAATTCGATCATCTTGTGGAACTGAGTAAGACTTGGCTACCAACTTACTTGACATGGGACGATGATTGGAGGGGGGGAGAATGGCCAAGAAATGACGACATAGTTTGGGAAGGTTTGATGCATATACTAGACCATGAGTGGTTCCGGAGGTTGTGGACGTAAGATCCATTTTCATGAGAGTTGGTAAAAACGTGTCGTGCTGAATGAAAGCAGTTTCCAAGAAATAGTTCTTGCGGACCGAGCCACCCTCGTATGCGGGACGGGATATATCGACGCGCCTTCATTCATGATCTTAGTAAAAGATGGACTCTCCCAACAAGGTGGATATATTTTCTACGATCGCAGAGTTGCCGATCGTCTCCCAAGCAGACCCAAATATACCAGTCTTGCCTACGTGACCATCATGACCATCGTTAACAGCCAGATTGACATGCAGTCTGGAAACGATGCGTTTCTCGCGGAATTCTTGTTTGGACTGCGAAATCATCGCGTAAAAGAGCCAGTCGATAGAATCTGGAGCATAGCCGGACTACTTAGCGAAGAGTTGCAAGCAAAACTTATAACCGCGGTTGATTACAGTGAGCAAGGACGTGGGGAGTATCACAAGACATATGTCAAGTTTTTCAAGGCTGCGATTATGACAGCACAGTCTGTGTCCCTGTTGATACTTCCTCCCACGATTGGGCGGGATGATGACTTGCTGCCGTCATGGTGTTCGGACCTCGCAGCAAAGCCAGCGTGTGATTTTTGCATTTCGGGACAATGGAACCGGCCTGTCGCTGTTTCGCGCGTCCGACCAACCAACATACTTCAAGAGGACAATGACACAGAGAAGTCCAAGGCGCGAGTTACGGCGATTATGAGCCATCCATTGAAGAATTCTATCTCCATCGACCATGATAACACGTTGCATGTTCGAGGTTTTGTCTTAGACAGAATAACAGAAATCGTTCAAGATTCAGACGTGCGTGGGCAAGTTAGTTATCGCGAAGAAGGGGGCTGGGAACACTGGAATATGGAGAACCCAGCACACGTGGCCGCTGTAAAATGGTTAGAAGAAGGATTGAGTCTTGCTCGCCGTTTGTCTCATACTTCGGATGAAGAAATACCACCCCATTTCCTGATGTCCATTCCGGCGGACTGGCGCATCACACCGGATGCTGAGAGGGTCATCCGGAATGCGTTGAAGTCCATAACAACAGGCGGATACGACTACTTCCATGCCCTAGAAGAGGAGGAAAGAGGGTATGTGTGGACTATTATGAGCACCATAATACATTTGGTAGGACACTGCTTCTTCGCCACAGCAGGTGGACGATTCGGCATCGCAGTACCAGGCTGCAAAGTCGGCGACGAAGTGTGTGCTCTCTACGGCGGAGAAGCACTGTACAACATGCGACGAACAGGCAGTGAGCGCTCGACAGTGAAGTTTTGCGGGGTTGCCTTCCATACCATTCCTAATGGAACAACACCAACGCGACGCCGCGAAATTACAAGAGGACGAGATATTCGGCATTCAATAAGTAGCAAAATACGACGCAGGATCACCAATCGGAGAGGCATTCAGTATCAATACATAGCAGTTCACGCTACAGAATCACAAAGCGGGGAGGCATTCAGTATTCAGTGAGGGGAGAATTCGTATTCATTCATATAGGCTCAAAAAGAGCCAAATCGTCGTGCCCAGATCATCTGAGCCTTGGTGCCGGCGCACCGCTGCCAACGCAGTGCCCTAGGGCAAAGCGTTCTCTCCCACCTCCGCCTCCGCCTCCCTCTCCTCGCCCTCTTCCTCTTCCTCTTCCTCTTCCTCATCCTCCTCCTCCTCCTCCTCCTCCTCCTCCTCCTCCTCCTCCTCCTCCTCGGCCTCCTCCTCCATCTCCTCATCTCCATCCCCAATCAACCCGCCGCCCGGAATCCCGATCACCCAATTGGCGACCCGGGAGTACTCCCAGCAGTTGGAGCACTGCGCGTGCCCGCACCACCAGGAACGCGCGCCGACGTCGTTGGCGATGCCAACGTCGTGCTTCTCGAAGCACCCGCAGCAGAGCCAGCGGTCCTCGTGCTCCTCGGAGCCACCCGAGGAAACCGACATGGCATCGCTGCCCTCCGAGACGCCGCGGGCGAGCTCGGTAAAGGACACGAGGCCCCGGACAGCAGACATTGTTGCTGTTGCTGTTGTTGTTGTTGCTGTTGTTGGTGGTGGTGTTGGTGTGGTAGGAGAGTGACCAACAGGTACGGTATTATGATGTGGCTTTGTTGGTAAGTTTTCTAGATTTGTGGAAACTTGAGGGAGGTATTTCGGTGCGGAAAAGAGCTTTTGTGCGGGCGGGAGGTGGGGCTCGTGCGCGGCTCGGGGGTGAAGGAGTGCGGGTTTTTTTAAGATTGGCATGACTGTTTCTGCGTTTGCTTCCATTTGTGGCTATTCCTCTTCGAACATGAGCAATCGTTACCTTTTGGGACTTAATTGATACATAATACTGCTTAGACACATATCAATACACCATGCATGTCAGATCAGACGAGAAGTTCACTCAAAACACAGGAACACCAGAGAAATTTTAGATGGGAGCCTGGACGTACCCAGGAATCCTCATCCTGTCGAGTACTTCCCATTGAAGTACTGAAGCCCTATGGGCATGGCCATCGTAACGTCGTGACCCAGATGGGTGATCTTGAAGTATCACCGGACCCAACGCCGGCACCCCCAGATGAATGCGATTAGTAGCCCTGGTCCTCCTCGTCCATGTCATCCTCGAGCTCGATGACCATGTCGATCCAGCCGCCGCCACCATACTGGCACTTGCTGGGGCCGACCTCGATGAAGCCCGACTTGGCGTAGAACTTGACATACTTTTCCCTGCAGATCAATGCCACCCTTTTGGCGACACCGGCGTCCTTGATGCGCTGGACATAGCTCCTCAGCAGAACCTGACCGAAGCCCTGGCCCTGAAAGTCAGGGTGGACACAGAGGGAGTGGATGCAGACTGTCTCGCCATCTTCGTTATGACCGGTGGTTGGGGTGAGTTGGTACTTGGTCTGCCAGTCCTTGGGGTAGTCCATGGCATCATCAGTGACAATCCGTGATGAGGTCTTGGTGGCGATGATGTGGGCGAGTAGGACGCGCTTGCGGTCGGCATCTGAGGAGTCGATGGAGGGGAACTTGCGCGCCTTGATGATATCGCCTAAGGGACCAGAGGTGGTGGCATAGGCGGAGGTGAATAGTCCGGAGCAGAGCTCGCCACAGGTGCGGAGACGGTACTCGATCTGTCTGTGGTCAGTGAGGTATCCTTGGATACATGAAAGTTCGGTCGACAAGGTGGTGACTTGGAGGTACAACAGGACTGAGCTCCGCGGAGTAAAGCGCGTTGCACAAAGACGAAAGAAAGCTGTCGCACAAGGACGAAAAGACCAGAAGCAGAAGCGCGAAAATGAGGCTGCTGAAAGTGACTGCGGCTTGCCGCAGATCCAGACTACGTGGTCGAATAACTTCATCGACGCAGACATGAGATTATACAAGTGCTGATTTGTGCGGCACAATGTCTCAAGCCACACCCGGCAATGGGGGAACGTGGAGAAAAGCGCATGGACCGACGCCTGACAGCAGCCCAATTGTGATACAGGGTATAATTCCGAAGTGACAAACTTGAAGCGAAGCTCGAAAATAGACATGTGCTATGGTTGGAAGACGCGGTCACCCACCTTCTCTCTTGAAGCGGCCTCAATGGGGTCGAAGGCAGCATGCTCGAGCCAATCGCAGTCGTCAAGGTCTTCGTAGTTGAGCAGCTGGGCGAATGGGTGGATGTCCTTCATCTTCTTGAAGCGCTGCTCTACGAAGACGGCCGAGTTGGATGAGCCTGACTCTTGCGGCGGACTAGAGGCGGATTCCCTAGACAACTGCGGCATGCCGTCGAGAGTCTTGCGGTCGGCTAGTAGATCTCGCGGCATCTTGGCGGGTGATCAGCGGTTCGTGACAGGTTTCCGATCGAGATTTGTTGGACCACAAGAAGCAGAAAAGCGGAGCTTGTGGGCGGGCGAGGATGTGGGATTCGGCTGCGCAGTGGTGTGTTCTTTGGGCGGGCGTGGTGGTGCCTGGATGTTCACGAGACGCCTTCTGGCCAAAGCCCCGCGCTCCCGCGCTTCGCTTGCCATGCCGTTGCAGATCATCCTTGCGCCGCTTTGGGGGGTCTATGCGGCACAGGCAAACGTCTTTTTGAGTGGAGACAACAAGGTGCACTAGACATGGCGTGATTTGAAAAACGTTCATGATTCATTACGGGATTTACGATGCCCCTGATGCATCCGCGTTGAGGCCGTCGGTGGCTATGTATGCGTGGGAGCCTGGCAGGCACAGCTACTCCTTGCTGCGGATCTGTTCTCGGATCGCAGGCGAACGAGATGTGCTAATGGCTTGCAGGGAGAGACAGTGGCAGACAGGGCTTGGGATCCAGCTAGGCTGCTTCGATCAGACGGTCTGGTGCGTGCAACGGGTGAGCATCTGCAGGCTGCATCCTGCTGCTGTGCTCCCGCGGCTCCTTGTCAACAGTCCATCAAGGGCGTTCTGCTATCCCGGTTTCTGGAGCGGGTGCTCGAGGCAAAAGAGGCGCCATGCGCGGAAAATTATATTCCAAACGGGAGGGGGCGCGCTGACAAGGAACCATGATCCAGCAATCCATATGTGAGCCTGCCAATGACGGGCTATAGTTCTCTCGCTCTAATGCAAGGCTGCTCCCATCGAAGAATACGTGCCACTGAAGCCATCCAAAATGCCCCGCAATGACGGACCCCGGTCGCATCACAGCAGGGCTACACCGCCAACCCAACATCGCGCAGAAGGGCTCGTTTCATGCTTCCAGGCAGTACTCTGCCTACGTGTTGCCTAGGTATCGCCCCAGCGGCAGCCCAACCTCGCTGCAATTGCTCCTATATTACGCAGACTGGCCGCTTTCCGCGCCCGCCTGCTCTCACAACATGTGTTTGCCGCGCTCCCTAGTCACTCGCTGATTATTAACTTCACTTGGGACGTGCGAAAGAGGCAACCTTGAGTCTCTCAGCTTCCATCACCTTCCCGTCAAGCTCAAGCTCAAGCTCAAGCTAGAGTAAGGCCATCGGCAAGCGCGTGCTACTCCCCGTCACTGCGGGCTCCTTTGGGCTGTTGCAAGCATTTCACCAACTGCACTTCATCGCTCCTCTGGGAACCGCCTGCGCCAGACTACAATCCCAGACACCCCGCCATCCACCCAGAACCTCGCCCTCCTCAACTCCTGCACACGGTACCACATTCTCTTGCCTGCTTTGAGAACCTCCTGCATCCACACGCAAGGAAGCCACACCCGCCGGCCCTTCCCGCCATGTGAGTTCACCCCAAACCATTGCTGTGCTACGCCCTGAGACACGCGACTAACAACGGCGATGCCAGGCCCCGCGTCACCATATCCATCACCGCGCCCGGCACGCCGTCAGACGGTGAGCTGTTGACTCTTGAGCTACCGCCCGGCAGCACCGTCAAGGACCTCAAGGGTTTCATCGAGGCTGAGACCAACCTGCCTGCGGCGTCACAGGGCATCTACCTCAACGGCCAGCCCGTCAGCCAGGAGACACAGACACTAGAGAATGTCGGAATAAGGGATGGCGAGATGCTGGCCGTCATCGTGCGCCAGAACCGGCAGCAGCCGCAGCAGCCAGCCGCCTCTCGACCGGCGCCCGTGGGCCAGTCTGATCCAGAGGCCGTGCGACAGCAGGTCCTTAGAAACCCTCAGGTCCAGGCCGAGCTTCGACAACGCGACCCCGAGCTCCTTGCCATCATGAACGACGCGGATCGTTGGAGAGAAGCATTCGCCTCGAGGCAGAATTCAGCCCAGAACGCCGAGCGCGAGCGCCAGAACCAGATCGCACTGCTCAACGAAGACCCTTTCAACGTCGAGGCCCAGCGCAAGATCGAAGACATTATCCGCCAAGAACGGGTTGTCGAGAACTTGGAGAAGGCGTACAACGAGAACCCAGAAGGTATGTCCATGACTCAGCCTCACATCTCTTTTGCCCGCTTGCTTACATCAACAGTCTTCGTGCGCGTCCACATGCTCTACATCAACACCGAGGTTAACGGCGTTCCGGTCAAGGCGTTCGTCGACTCGGGCGCCCAGGCCACCATCATGTCTCCTGACTGCGCTGAGCGATGCGGCATCATGCGTCTTATGGATACGCGTTATGCCGGCATGGCTCGTGGTGTTGGCACTGCGCGCATTCTCGGTCGCGTGCACCACGCCGAAATCAAGATTGGAGGCGCCGTCATGCCCTGCGCATTTACCGTCATGGAGGGCAAGGACGTCGACCTCCTATTCGGACTCGACATGCTCAAGCGCTACAAGGCCAAGATCGATCTGGAGAAGAATGCGCTCTGCTTTGAGAGCATCGAAGTCCCCTTCCTGCATGAGTCAGAGATCCCGCGGAACCTCGACGAGGCTGAGATGAACGAGCCCACTGTTGCCGGGCCCAATGGCACCGAAATTGGTGCGCGCTCGGGTGCTGTGCGACCCGCGGGTGGCTCTGCAGCTGTGGAGCCGTCCACTCAGGCCGGTCCCTCCGCGGCAGGCCCGTCTTCAGCATCAACCCCGGCCCCAGCACCAGCTCAGACCGCTCCTGCTCCGAGCGCACCCGGACCCTCGACTGCGTCCTCCTTCCCCGAAGAGCACATCAACCAGCTCATGAGCATGTTTGGTGTCGCCCGACAAGAGGCGATCCAGGCCCTGGAGATTGCCAGCGGCAATGTCGACGAGGCTGCCAGCGTCTTCTTAGGTTGAGGGTGGAAGCCACACAGCTTCTTCACAACGAGTCAATGACGAAAGTCACGACGTGCACTGGACACTCTTTTCGATGCACAGCAGCCTTGGTCTGCACTACTACTCCGCGTGGCATGACACCGCATCATTCAGATTTCCTTTCTAAATGACGAGGCATGACATCATGAGCTCACGACTGCATCGGTCTAATTGTATTATCTACGAACATGCGCAAAAGCGAACGGCGCTTCTGGGAAGGGAGGAGAGATTGGTTCACTAGACTCAGCGCAGCCGTATCGGATCGGGACGGAAGCATAATGAAGCTTCAGCAATGCATCTTTACGTTTATGACTGCTGCCAATGTGAAGTTTGAATTGTGATGGTTTGATATACTGACATACCTTACCTAATCTTGTACAAACAAGGCTTCAACACCTTCATCTCCTTCTCATCGTCCGCCTCGTCATCGCCAGCAATCGCATTCAGCTTCTTGCCCTTCATGCCAAACTTCATCGCCCTGCTCGTCTCAAACTTGCCCTCTGCCTTTGCCGCCGCGCCTTCTTTCGCGTTCTTGCCCTTGATCGCCGGCGCGCTCTTGACAAACTGCATCTTGACGAACATCTTGTTGGTCAGATCAATCGCGTCGCTCTGCTTCTCTGGCAGCGCGTCGAGCACGAAGCCGCGCTTCCTCAGGACCTCGACGAAGGCGCTGACATCCGTGCCTTCAGCGCCCGCGACGCCGTCGACAACTTGAGCGAGTTCAGACTCGTCCGCTGAGTCGACGATGCCTTCTTCCTCGGGCTTGTCTTTGCCCTTTTTCGACTTGTTCTTCTTATCGGGCTTCTTGAGCGAGCCGATGGAATTAATGGGCACACCACCCTTTTTGCGTTCGACGCGGCCGAAGCGGCTCTTGATCTCCGAAACCCAGAGTTCGCCGCGCCAGCGTAGGATGCGGTAGGCTTCGTCGATGAAGTCGAGCCAGTTCGTGCCCATGAGCGCGAGGCAGAATATCGCGACGTCGACGCTGCCATCTTGGAGGGGCAGGTTGGCGATATCTGCGACGGTGACGAGTGGGGCGGAGGGGCCGGTTGGTTTGCTGAGATCGAAGGAGTGCAGGGTCAAGTGGAGGTCGTTGAGATGGGGTTGGAGACGGTAGGATAGAGATGCGGTTCCACACCCAAGGTCGGCAATTGTGGCTTGGTGCTTATGGTTGCGCGGAAGGGGTTTGGAGTTTCCTGTTAACCTGACGCCTACCGCTGTGACTTCGGGCTCTTTGTCTGGCTCTTTGCCGCCCTTGCCCTTGCCCTTGGCTTTGCGTTGCGCGTCTTTCCATGGATCGCGATTTCGCACTTTTCCGCGCGCGAGGATGCTCTCGACGTATTCGTCTACGGGGTTCGAGGGCCACACTTCGACTTGTTGTGCAAAGCCGCGGTGATAGTCTTCGAACATTGACGGGTCTTCCTTGAACAACGAGAGCGAATCGACGGAAGGCTTGGTGTAGAGGGATTCGTTGAGGTGGCGGAAACGGGCGCTGGCGAGCTTTGCGCGCATCGATCTTTGGAGAGGCGTGAGGCCGGCAGGCTCGGGGATCAGAGATGTCAGATCGGTGGACTGGATGAGCCCCTTTCCGGCAGGTTTGGCATCATCGCCATTCGCTTGTGCCTTGTTGTCCTTCTTGCGCTTCTTCTTGTCTCGCTTGGCTTCGCTGTCGGTGTTTGCAGGCTTCTGAGCTGAGACATCTGGCGTTTTCACAGACGCATCCTTCTCTGTAGCAATAGAATCATCGTTTTCCCTCGATGCGGCCTCTTCGGCCTTTTGCTTGCTGCTCTTCCCTCTCTTTCTCTTTTTCCCACGCTTCTCCTGCGCACCGTCACCAGTCTCTTCTACGCCGTTGGTCGCGGTCGCAGGCTTCTCTTCTACAACTGAACCCTTTCCATCTACAACCTTGTCCCAGAGCTCACCAATGTTCTCCGCATTGACCTGTTGCTCCTGCTTCTCTTTGCGCTTCAACGCCTTCTTTCCAAGCTTGTTCGGGTCTTTGGGTTTCGGCTTTTCGACCTGAGCTGCGATCGGCGCAGAGACGTTCCAGCCCGGCACTGTGAACATTTTGGCGGATTTCTCCAGTAGATGGGTGCGTGTGCAAATTCACAGCTCGTGGAAGCTTGGGCGATGAGCTCGAAAATTTGGGCGGTGGAACTTTCTGCCGTGCGGGAAGTGGGGCGCGCTAAGGCGGAGGTTATCTTGACGCCGATTGATTGGGTTCACGAACAACGCGCTCAATCAATCAACTTGTTATATGCGTACATGCTGAGCTTTGTCTCCTTAGATAATTACTGTAATTCTCAGTCTGATGGTCCGCAAGCTTTCAGAGATGCTGCGTCACACGCATGCTGCCCCGTCGACTCCTTCCCGCCATCGGGCTGCCAATATGCAATTCGCCCTCCATGTCCTCGCGAACGACCTGAACCATCCAGCTCATTTTACCAATAGTACTGAGCTTGAAGTATGGATTTGGATGCAGGGCGTATTCCCACAAGTCCTCGGTTTTCCCAATCCTTCTGTCGTTCCATACTCCAATGGCGTATTCGTTTAGCGTATCTTCACCAACCAATTGCCGTTCCGTGAACATGATGTTCTCGCCTTCTCCACGACAACATGTGGCTAACTCATAGTCCTCGCCGTTTGTGTCCACTGCTCTCAGAAACACCCTTTTGATGATGGTGGAGTTGTTCAGCGTTAGGCTGTCTGTGCTGATGTACCAGAGTGTTAGTTTGATGCGATAACAAAAGCCATTTCGCAGCCGCGAAATGGCTGCACTGGATTTCCCAGAAGATTAGTTCATGCTTTTGGTAAGGAGCAAATTTTGTCCCTCTCTCCTGGTTTTCAAAGGGCATCCCTACGACTTGTCACTGCGGCGAATTCTTTGAAGATTACAGGTCTCACTTACCAATTCAGGTCCGTGACTGCATCACTCGTTACACTCGCGGCTTTCTGAAAGGCAGCACACTCCTCTGTCCCGTCACGAGCGTCAAGATCAGGTTCATTCATAAAACATCGCAGGCCACTCCATCACGATGGACATTCTGAAGCTTTACAGGAACCATTATCCTCTGGATCAGTGCAATTCTGATTAAGATCTGACGCGAGGCGCGAAGCTGAAAGAATTTCGATATGCGTTTTCTGAAGAGGGAGCCTGATAAGCTGTGGGGGCGAAGCGCTCCAGTCCTCTCCTTCTGGCGATCGTCAGCCTGTTCTCGCTAGGCAGCCTGTACGCTACCGGGATAATAAACCATGTTGCAGTTTACTTGGTCCAGTCATTCCCGATTCGCTTACACAGCCTTGGCACGTGAGCACTATAACCTTGGAATCCCTCGGGATTCGAAAGTAGTGGACTTTCCTCACAGTACATCTCCCCTTCATCCCCTCCAGCTCCAGCTCCCGCCCCCAATGATGTGGGACACTGAGAGTAGTCGATTTTCCAGTACTGCGGGGCCACCAGACGATTCTGGGACTGAGTTGGTAACGGCGGACCAGAACAATGTCCATATCCCGCGCGACCGCCGCCTAGGTGTATTTACCACCGCTAGATGGAAGTGGTCGCTGCAAGACAGAAGCTGGCGTTTAGGCCTGCACGTAGGGCTCTACGCGTCCATCATCGTGCTGTTTGGCAATGTTGCACTCTTATCGTATGGTATGGCCCAACACGATAATACTACACAAGGCGTTGCAACGATCGCAAAAGGGGAAAGATATCAGATCAACAGTATTGGCAATGCGTACCACGTCCTCATCAACATCATGAGCACGATTCTTCTGACGTCGTCGAGTTACACTATGCAAATCCTATGCGCGCCCACTAGACGCGAGATCGAATGCGTTCATGCCAGTGGGAATTGGCTGGAGATCGGCATAATGAGTATACACAATCTGCGCTACATTGACCGCAAAAGAGTCGCTATATGGCTGCTTCTCGTCGTCTCCTCCGTACCCTTGCATCTTTTGTAAGAAGACTAGCCCTCATCGATACCCTACAGGTACTAACTCAGGACCAGCTACAATTCGTCCATTTTTACTGCACTTGCTACCCAGGACTATGATGTCACCGTGACAAGCGCTTCCGATGCATCCGCCTACGATTTTTCAAATTGGACAACGCTTGACAATACTGTGTGGCCAAGTATCTATGCTACATCGTGGGTCCCGGGTTACAGTGACATCCATCTAATCATCGATCGTGTCTCCTTCGATGTAAGCTTATTTTCGAATTGGACATACGCGCTAGAAGAGCCTTCCCAGCCTAATTGCGATGTGACTCCCTCCTGGCTTCACAATGAGACGATTACTATGGAGCTTTCGCATGTATCGGACACCAACAAATCTCTCATGCCAGTCTCCGGTCAGCGAGTCATGATGGATACAACGGGGTATCTCAGCAATATCGAATCAATCCCAAGGTTGGACTGGCCAACTAAAATAAGTGTGAAGGCAGATGGTCCCCGATCTTTACCTGACCTTTATCAGCTCTGCCCAGGCAACGGATGGCTTTTGAGCAGGCCGCAATTTCACGTACGGAACGCGCGAGCAAAATTTAGTCCTTACACCAACCGTGTGCAAGTTGCGATTCCTTTCCTCAGCGTCGTGGTCCTGGTCAACGTCGTGAAGATATTCGGGATCTGGTATGCCATTCATTTACAATCCTCGAACCATGTCATCACCACCGGTGATGCTATCGCTACATTTCTGGACAGACCTGAACTGCAGACCGAAGGGAAGTGTACTATAACCAAGGCGCAAATATGCAGCACAATCACAAGACCGAAAAGTCAGCCATGGCGGGCTCGCCAGAAACCTATTTTTGTTGTGTTAGGGGGAGCGCGAATATGGTCAACAGCAGTGATGTAAGCATGAACGGGTCTCATACCTACCCTCGAACGTGCTGCCAGATGACATTTTCTCTTGTAGCGGTGTAGGTGTAGCTAACATAGAATAGTGTCATTTTGTTCACGTTGACCATTGCAGCTCTGATGGTAGCTAAAAGTCCGGGTCACGACTCATATTCGTGGGGAACCGCATCTAAATCCACCATCCCAATTACCTCGACAAGTTTCGACGCTCGCGGCATGCTCAGGGTAACATTTCTCGCAAACATTCCCCAGGTCTGCCTGTCTTTGCTCTACTTCTCCCTCAACCGTTTCTGCACATCCATCTGCTTCGCAATAGAATGGAACCAGTATGGCAAGCATCGAAAAGGGCTTCGTGTGACTACTTCGTCTGGAAAGCAGCGGAGCACGCACTTCTTGCAATTGCCACTACGCTGGGCCATACCGCTTACTGTCATGTCAGGCGTGTTGCACTGGCTGCTGTCGCAATCGCTGTTTCTCGTGCGTCAGGAGGTCCGCCGGCGCAATGGGATATTATATCCTGGATCTGCCTGCGCTTGCGGATACTCAGCTCAAAGCCTCCTAGCCTTCACCCTGACCTTATTTCTGCTGCTTGTTGCGGTACTTTACCAGCTTCTTAGAGAGATTGACATACACATACCACCTGCCTCTCATTGCAGCTTGGTTATTAGTGCAGCTTGTCATCCGCCAGAAGATGACGTAGATCCACATCTTGCGAAAGTCAAATGGGGTGTTACCGTGGCAGCTACGGAAAGTAGTGTCGGTCATTGCACGTTCACGAGTCAATCGGTTACGAGTCCGCAGTCTGGAGCTTTGTATGCCTAGATAGCCTTTTGATCTGGTCAAAGAGCAGTACGATATAAATGAGCTGAGGGAATTGTCTTTCGCTTTGTGTATAATACACAAGCAGACAGTAGAGAAGTACACAATTGATGTTGCCATATTGCGCCGGTCTGAACTCTTCTCATCATGTCCGTTGTACTTTAATTCCTCCTACCATGATTCCTGACACTCGCCAGCAGCATGTATGCATTCAGGAGACGCTATAGATATTCGGAGTGATGAGTAGTTTGATTATGAAGATCTACAGGAAGCCCCATCTCGCCACGAAATGGGAACGGTATGCCGTGGCACAGAAAGGAATTCGACTATGCCAGGACTGCAGAAGCACTCTTGATTTGCAAATGCCACCGCCTTGGGCCGTCGCTTCTCGTCATGCCAAGTGTACTTTACAGGTCATGTCCGCTTTGCAAGGCACGCACTCGCTGCCTCGTCACTGAGATAATGAACTAGTACAATGGGCTGTGGTCCTGATTGCTCTCTTTCCAAGCAATGTACATAAACATCAAGGTAGACTGTAGATCAAACAATTTACATAGAAGAATAGCGTATGAAGCATCCTATTACGTTCTTGGAATTCACACGCAAACTTTTGAATATGGACAGTAACCGTGCACGTACTAACATTGATTCGCCTCGCGACCAGAAGGATTATTTCTTCCTCACCGGCGTGAAAGGCGGCTGAGCAAGCTACTTGCACGCGTTATGACCTCCAATGCATCCCCAGCCGTCGCTATTTTCAAAAGTTCCGCCTGGAATTGCTCTTCACTCATGACTGCGTGTGCTGCCTCGTCCAATGGAGCCTTCTTTCCGCACACGCAATCTCCCCACTTGCTTCCATACCATTTCTGACATACCTTTTCTTGTAACAAAACTCGCCGCGAGTAGAAGACTTTGAAGTATAGGTCTAAATACTTGAACCTGATAGGAGTGTATTGGTCCCCAGGAACAACTTCACCATAGCCCTCACGCTGGCAACATGCCTCAAAGGCCTGTACAAGCACAGTTCCCACCTCTTCTTTCATCGCAATACGCGTTATAAAAGAACCAAGACTCCTCATTAAAGCTACTGGGAGTTCGCCAATGTACGACCCGGAAGATGCATGATGAATTCTGAAATAGTTGGGCACAGTTTCAGCCCAAGGGATGGGGCGCGTAAGAGGTTCGCCGTACCAGGCGATGAGATCCATGACGCAACTTCTCAGGCCCCAGCTGTCTATGTCGTCGGCCGGATGTGTGATCGTGTCGAGAATGTGTTGTCGGTCTTGTTCGTTGATGGCGAGCTTGTTTACATGGGTATCGTGGACTCTCTTCACGAGGCATGAGAGGGCGAACAGCTCGTCACGCTCGATGGCGGAAAGGATAGAATTTGTCCCAGTAATGTCCTTGTCGTTGTACAACGCAACATTCAGCTGGTCAAAATCCGCACCTAGAGTCAGCGCCACGATCTCGATCAGATAGCGCCGCAGCTGTCGCACGCGGCATGCAGGCTTCTCTGCCCTAGCTGAGCTAGTCCATTCTACTTCGTCTGCCGTCTTTCGGTTCGTCAGGTCGTGATGTTGGTGAAGCTGAGATTCCAAGGGGTTCGTGATGGCCGAGGGTGCTGTAGGCAGTGCAGTGTAAGGTTGAGGCTTATCGTCGATGTCGATGACGCTTGAGTCCTTGTGTACTGGCAGAAGTGGTTCTGCTGGCGTCGTTTGCCGAGTGATTTCGAAGCGGCCGAACGGGCCAAGGTTGATGACAGGCATGCTTGCAATTTGAAGAAGCAGTGTTTAGGAAAGTATTATGTTTGAGCAGAACTGTGCGCAGATTTGAGATTTACACTGAACGGTGACGGTCGCGCTAGTGCATAGTCTGGTATTGAACCATGGGAGACGGAGACCAGTGCATGTACCGGTACCATATTTCAGATGCTTAGCCGATAGAACAGCTAGAGAGACACGTGTACTGGAGAGGAGATGGTACATAGATCTATGCTTGCAGTTCAAAGCACTGTTAGCACATCCAGATTTCTACATTGATGCAATTTACCGTGTTACGCGCGTGCGAGCGCCTTATTCTCTACCTGGGCAATATCTAACCATCATGCCTGCTCATACCTAGCCCAATTAAAGTCTAAGGCCTGCCATCATTTTGATTGCAAGGTCCGCACCGCTTGCATCACCGTGGGCATGGGCTTCCATCCTTCTTTTGATTTGAAGACAAAGATAAAAGGGCCTAACGCTTCTTCCAAGATGACTGAATTGATGGACTCGATGGCATAGTAGTTTCTGTAGACGCTTGCAGGCAGAACAAGCGGAGCAGGATCTGGGGAGACCCAGAGAGGTAGCCGGACATGGACGCTAAGCCTAATTGGTGTAAATCACGTGAGCTTGCGTGAAAGCTTTCACAATAAGCAGCTGCCACCCAGGAAAAGGAGAAAGCTGAAGAGTACTTTGAGCATCTTTGTACGGTTTGAAGTTTGCTGCAGCATATTCTGAGCCTCTCCCTGAATTAGTAACGGTATTCCAAGCTCAACCTGGTGTTCCATGTCGGCGGCGGGCGCATGAATGAAGAAACTGTGGTACTCATGCTCTATGGTACAGAAATGCCTATCTCGAACCGAGGTTCGTGATCGGACTTGGGCTTGCATCGCATGAATGAATATTCAAGTCGGTGATGTACTTCGTAGATGATGTAGGTCAGCCCTATGCACTGCAGATGATGGTGTCTCGCTTCAGCGCATAGGCATGAACCCGTGTTGTGGTTCGCCTAGCAACCCGTGGACACGACAGCCCGGGCGCATCGTCATGGCCCATGCCCTTTTCCACCACCAAAACACATAGGAGAGGTTCACGGCCAACAACGAGACACGCGTCGCCACGCGACCAGGCAGGGTCACGATGCAGAATCAACAGCAACACTATGCGCCCGGCTCGAGGTCGAGCACCCCCAGCAGGGCGCGCCAAACAAACAATGACGCGAACCTCCTTTCCCACCCCCACAAACGACTTTCACTCCAAGCCGCTACGAATACGCCACTACCGCAGTCGCCCGGTATGAATTCGCCTAGACGACCCGCGGAACTCCACCGAACGCCCTCGTCACCGGGCATCGCACCCAATTCTCTGCGTCGCAGCTCCAGCACGGTCAGTCTGAGCCGCGCATCCTCCCCCGCACTCGTCAGGAAATCATCCACATCATCTCTTCGCGGTGATCCGCCGAGCTCGCCACGAGGAGGACCTTCAAGACGCTCGTCTTTCGTCCCAAATATGCCCTCGCCAATTGGCGCAAAGAGCCCGCTACACCCCCCGCCAGAAGAGAAGCCACCGCTGCGAGCAATCGATGTCGCCGACGAGTTCTTCAAGAAAGAGCTGGCGCGCCATGATGGCATGGAAGGCACGGTCAACCCGGGGACCATTGTTATTGTCCACGACCAATGCTATGGCCATCGCTTTTCGCGACCGAAAACACCAAAAGGCATGCTGAGCCTGATCATGGAGCGCCCGGAGAGGATACTTGCGAGCGTACTGGGCATATCAGCAGCCTACGTGCGACTGGGCGACCGTCACATGGAAGGCAGTCATCCGCCACACCCATATGACAATCCCCCCGAGCGCATACCCTTCAAGATTCGCAAGACGTCGCGCATGGTGGACATCACTTCACCGGTTGTAACCAACGTACATGGCACAAAGTGGATGGGCGAGCTTGATTCTTTGTGCAACAACGCCGAGCGCAAGCTAGCATCGACCGGGAAAGAGCTGGTGCGTGATGGTCCTCCCATTCCCGGTCAGTCCTCGAAGAAAGAGCTCCACTCAGGTGACCTCTATCTGTGCTCGGAATCTATGAATGCGTTCAAGGGTGCACTCGGAGGCGTATTGGATGCCGTTGATGCCGTCTTCCAGGGCACCAGCATGGGCGACGGCCCCTCACGAGCATTTGTCTGCATCCGTCCGCCTGGCCATCATTGCTCGGATGACTATCCTTCTGGATTTTGCTGGTTGAACAATGTGCATGTTGGCATTGAGCATGCCATGATGAGGTACGGTCTGACACACGCCGCTATCATCGACTTTGATCTGCACCACGGAGACGGCTCCCAAGCCATCACTTGGGCGCGCAACAAGAAAGTGCAGGGAATGTCCCGGAACACTCCCAACTCGAAGAAGACATCCATTGGCTATTTCAGCTTGCACGACATCAATTCTTACCCATGCGAGGATGGCGACGATGACAAAGTTCAGGCGGCGAGTCTGTGCATCGACAACGCCCATGGTCAGTCCATCTGGAACGTGCATTTGCAATCGTGGAGGACGCCCGAAGATTTCTGGAAGATCTACGAGGAGAAGTACATGGTTCTGCTCGAGAAGACCCGGCAGTACTTGAAATACCACACCAAGCGCCTAAGCACGTCGCCAAACCACCCTGCACCAAAAGCAGCTATTTTCTTGTCTGCCGGGTTCGATGCAAGCGAGCACGAGACGGCAGGCATGCAGCGCCACTCCGTCAATGTTCCTACGGAGTTCTACGCCCGGTTCACTCGAGATGTTGTGCGGCTTGCAGAGGAAGAGGGCACTGGCGCTGATGGTCGCGTGATCTCAGTGCTTGAAGGTGGCTACAGCGACCGGGCACTCTCCAGTGGTGTCATGAGCCATCTTGCTGGACTCTGCGATGGGCAAGTATACAATGACTCAGCGCCATCGAAAGGTCTTGCCTTCGACATGTCACAGCGACTAGGTGGGCTGAGCATGCGCGACGAAGATGTTTCGATGCAATCAGCTGGACCCGAAGCCACTCCCATCAGCTATGACCCTCGCTGGTGGCATGTGTCCAATTTGACAGAGTTGGAAAATATGGTCAACCCGCCGCCGGCTGTAGCGCCTAAGAAGCCACGAGCTGGAGCACCAGCACATTTCTCCTCGCCGACACAATCGTTCGTTGCCAAAGTGGTCGATCCCACCAAGCTATCACGCAGCCTTGGCGCGAGATACCCCTCTAGTCCCTCACGAGCTCCGACACCGCCACCACCTGAAGTTGATTGGGTGACTGCGGCTTATTCTCTGAGTCAGCTCCTGATTCCGTCGGATCGACAAACTCGAAGCCACAAGCCTGAGGATCTTGCTGAGCCCAAAGTCAAGAAGGAGAAGCCGATACCGCCACCACTGAGCTCTGTGCACTTAGATCCATCTGGACGACAACTTCGAGGACGTAAAGCTGCCACAACTTATGTTGATCCTGCCTCCGGCGATGAGAAGGCATCCCTGCGACCAGAGTCACGGACAAGTCGACGACAGACAATTGCAGACTTTCAGCTAGCCACTGCCGACGAGCCTGCGCCAACGTCTCGTTCTGTCTCGCGACGAATGAGCATTGCATCCAGCGTCTCTTCGATTGGCGACAGGAGCGCCAGTCGCGAGCCCAGCGTTGCTTCGAGGAGAAGAAGTGTAGCACCTGCCGTTGCTCCAACAACCAGTGTTGCTGTCAAGAAACCTCGAGGCGCTACCACGGCGGCCACTGCACGTGCGGCCCAGCGTCCGCCAGCACTTCGAGTACCCTCTAACTATGCAAGCAAGCCTGGTGCATCCAAAGGCAAGGAGAACGACGACATGGACGCGCTCACATCAGGTCTCAAGCGCATCACCCTCAAGCTACCTCCGAAAGAAGAGTATGAAGCCCGTGAAAGAGAGAAGGAGGAGAAGAAGGCGGCGGAGGCGATAAAGAAAGCTCCAGCGAAGACGACCACGAGGAAGCCTGCTGCGCCGCGCACGGCCGCCACAAAGCCTGCAGCCAAACCAACCACGGCCAAGAGAGGTCCCGGAAGGCCACCCAAGTCATCGAAGCCCGCTTCGCCTGTCGATCCAGGAGCTGTTGCTGCTGCGCCAGAACCACCAAAAGTAGAGAACACTGCGACTACAACTTTAGTACAACCTCGGCCTGTGCAGCCGGATCTCGTCTCAACACTCGTCCAGCCGCCTCCGTCACACTCTGCACAAGCTGGACCCGTGGTCGCAGATGCTTCAACTATTGACCGTCGCACGTCTGGTGGCCGTGCTGAACCACCAAACGAAAACACTCCCATCGAGCAGCTTCGTGAGCAGCTTCCAAAACCGTCTTTCATCACTGTCTCCGAACCGGTGCAGAACATTACCCCACCCGCTCGCGCGGAAACACCTCCACCTCCGCCCCCATCAAGCATGCACGACTTTGTCAACTACACTACACAGTCGTTCGGTCCGGCACCTGCTGCGTTAGATGATGCCAAGGAGGCAGATGCGCCGTTGCAATGGCTCCCTCCAAACACTGAGCTGAGTGGCGCGACACCAATGTCTCCGCCGAGCAAGAAGCAAGATCTACCGGTTTTTACAGCGAATGGTGTCATACCGTTCGCATCTGCAGGAGCTGGACAGCAGGGCGTGAAGGAAGAGGAGAACCGGCAGGATATCTGGGAGGTGCCGGATACGCCAGCCCGCTGAGTGCTGACGTGATAAATCCTGTGCCTTCCGCCATGGTGGTTACTATTGGCTCGAGAGGGTGGTGATACCCAATGTGTTGGTTTTCTCTGGGCGTTCAAGGGTGTGTTCTGCGGACGAATCGGCGATCTAGCCGGACTTGCAAATACGGGAGTGCTTTACATCTTTCTGTCTGCCTAATCCGCAGCAACAGCACTATTACCTGGGCTTTTTTTTCTATCTTCGACACCAGGAGTTTCAATTCGATTCTACAGCTTAGATAGAGATACCCAGATATTTTAATTGCACGATCAATGTTTTCTTCTCCTCGCTCTCCAACTTCAGCGAACAAATACAATGCAAGGCGCAACCGTGCCGTCAACATCCCCGCAGCATGCGTATCACAAGCGGCTAGGGCTCCGTCGCGGGAACCAATAATTAGTGTGGCTGATCCGTCACTTGACAAGGTTTTGTGCGGGGCACGCTTGGACCCTAGATCCTGCAGGTGTCGAGAGTGACGTACGATTAAGTTGGAGCGTGTTTGGACTGGCGCTGGGATTTTGCTTTATCCACTCTTGAAGTATCTGCTTTTCTCTTTTGCATTCTCCTTGTCCTTCTCCTACCACGACATTGACAAGTTTAGCATATTTTACTTTCCCTTGCCGCTTCACCAAGACATCTACAACACCATGGCGGACTTGGAACCCAGCTCTTCCACCGGCCGGTCTTTGCTGTTAACCAAGATCTCCACCACGGTTTCGTACCTGTTACTCCTAGTCACAGCGTTCTACTACACCTTCAACGCGCCCTCGGCCCACGACGGCAGATTCTGGCACCACAACCACGCCACACCTTTCGCGCAGTCCAGCATCTTCACGTCCATCTACATCCTGCTGCTCTTCGTGCTCCAGCTCGCCTACCAATGGTCGCTGTACACCGCGCACACCGCCGCCGCAACAAGCGTCGCGAGCCACTTCGTCGCGTCCAACCTCCTCCTCTTCGGCTTCGTGCACCTGTTCGTGCGCAGCCACTACGTGCTGGCCGAACTGCTGCTGGTGGTGAATTTCTTCAACCTGAGTTTCCTGTACTTCAGACACAGCACGACGCCGCGGTTCATCCACGTGGGCGTTGTGAGCGGCCCGCTGGCGTGGAATTTCGCGGCGCTGTACTGGTGCGGCGCGCTCGCTGTGACGCACAACGGCTTCATCGCGCGCATCGTGGCCAACGTGTTTATCTGGGGGTGGGCCGGGTATGGCGTGTTTTTCCTGGCGGCGTATAAGGACTACACCATGGGGTATGCGATGAGTGTGTTGGCGTTTTGTAAGTTCTTCTTCTTTTTTGAGCACATGTTGCGGATACTGACCTTGGGCTAGCTACTGGTGTGGGACAATTCCTCACGCGCCCGCATGTGCTTCAGCTTCAGTGGATTTTCGCTTTCACCATTGGCGGGCTGTTGTTCGTGCTCAGCACTGCTGTGGGGCTGCCGGGGCTGCTTGGGAGAGATCCCTTCCCGCGCGGGCAGATTGTGAGCGAAGATCGCGAACGCGCTCCGTTGTTGGCGGATGAGTAATTTAAATTATGGATTCTAAGAAAGATGAGGATACTTGTGCTGATTGAGCTTCATAGGGGTACAAGTACCCTGCCTGACGGCCAGTTAGCGGGAGGCGAGAGTGAGGATGAGGAGAGGGTGTTTGAGTTTGACGACGAGGGGTTGAGATAGGGGCTTCGGTTGGGGGATACGGGCGACTTGTCACTTTGTAATTTTACGTGGCTTTGTTGGTTTGCCTGGACATAGTTGATCACTACTTACCTCAAACCCACCGCCACAAATCATTGAAGATACGAAGCACTATCGTCATTGCCATATATGTACCTCGCTTCCCATCTAGAGCAGCAAATCTTGATTCCCATCTGTCCCAGCCGGACTCAACACCATCTGTTGCGGCGCATTCTGATTAACAACCCACCCGCTTCCAAACGCCCCTCCATCCTCATTCACGGGACTTCCGCCAAACGTGCTCTGTCTGCCTACACTAGCGAAATACATGTCCGCGTCACTAACAGCCGTAGCCATGCCATTGCCATTCGTGGTGTCCAGTCTCGACCGATCCGCAGCCGCGCGCTCACGAGCTAGTTGGGCAGCTTTGACCGTCGGCAGCTCGTGGCGTTGGAGTGCTGGCGATTCCTGTAGTTTCCTAGGTCGCGCACTGCGGAAGACCTGGTTGACAGGCTTGAGGTAGACGGTTGCGAGAGTTCCAACATTGAGACACATCTCTTCCAGCGTTGAAGGGTCCAGCTTCTCGGATTCTTCTGCTGTGATGGCGGGCTTCTCGCCCATGACAACTTTCTTGGCCTCCTCGGGAGCAGAAGACAAGAGTCGCCAGTACATGTAGCCACGATCGCGGAGATCTGGGTTGTCGGTTTCTTCTGTAGCCCATTTCAGGACTCTCGGTACAAGCGAGGAGCCGCGTGTTGGGCGTTGGATGAAGAGCTTGACCGTCGCGGTGAGAAGGGCGAGTTGTACCTCGTGGGTTTCGTCTTGAAAGGTGTCGAGGAAGTCTTCAAGTAAGACATCTGAATCTTCTATTCGGTCGGCGTATTGACCGATGACCCAGATCATGGCTGCTTTGGCCTCAGGCTCGTCTAGGGAATCGAGATTCTCGCACAGAGTCGAGATGATCGATTCGTATTGGTTGGGGTATTTGCGGAAGATGTTGCGAATGACAACAGTGGCTTCTTGCACGATGTAAGAGACCTTTGTGCTGACTAATTGAAGAAGTGTGCTGATGCACAGCTGTGCTGCTGGCGCGATCTTGATGGCGAGCTTGCCGATGGCGCGGACCGACTTTCTCACAAAGTCCACGTCAATCTCTGTGGCGTATCTAGGAATTATTAGCGAAGGTCTACGAGATATAAAGGCCATACCTACTCAGACAACTCGGTCAACACCTCCTTGATGTTCTTCTCCGTCGCCAGCATAAAGATGAGTTCAAGCTTTGTGACCTTTACGTATATAGGGTCGTTGTATTTACAGAAGAAAACGCGAATGTCGTTTCGCAAGACATCTGGCCGTCGCTGGAGGATGAGAAGCGCGTTACGCAGGGCCAGGTACTGGATTTCCGGACCCTTGGAGAGAAGTGTGACCAGGGGTGGGGAGAGCTTATTACACAAGGAGGATATTACTTTCTGGTCGGGTATGTAGTTCATGAGATATAAAATGACGCGTATGCAGGTAAGCACGACGGCGGAGTTTGAATGTGAGAGGCGCGGTGATATGCGCTCAGCAAGAAGAGCGGCTTCTGCGGTGTCTTGTGGGACGTAGTTCATCATCGCTTCCAAGATGTAGGTTTGGCCCCACTCGGAGCAGTCCGGTAAGATGGAGACAATCTTGGAGGCGCTGGCATAGTCGATGGTGAGCTTGATGTTCTCGCTTCGCTCCCAAATGTCCATGAGTCCTGCCAAAGCGCTGGATACGACTGTGGGGTTCTCGTCTCTCAGCATGCCGTTGAGCTTGTCGATCAAATCCGAATTCTCCACGAGGTGTCTGTCATGGTCGTAAAGCTTCGCGACACAGAAGGCGGCCGTCTTGCGAACGTATGGATCCGCGTCCTTGAGGAGGTTCTTCAGATGGGGAACGGTCGCTTCGACGAACTCGCGGACGTGGACGTAGGACATGGTGCGTAGGGCCAGTGCCCGCACTAGCGGGTTGTTGTCGTGCATGTCTTCCTGTATGATGGGCAGCGCCTTGAGCGCAATGTCGGGTTTTATCCTGGCATAGTTGACCAAGTACAAGAAGCACCTGCCGCTGTCAGCCTCGCACCTTCTCCAACAGTGCTTCGATACTCACATCTTCTTGATCTCCAAGCTCTGGATGTGCATGCAGCCCACGATGTCTGGGAAGAGCGCGACCATGTCGTTGTTGCTCATGGTCATGTTGGCGACAATCTTCTTGAGGGCCGTCTTCTTCGCGGAGAAGTTCTTGTCCTTCTTGCCGCCGCTGTTCAGCTCGAGACGGAGCTCGGCGACCTTGCCCTGTTGTGTGCGAAGCGCATGTGAGCGGGTGTGGTCAAACGTGTATGCAAAGAACATGGCCATGGCATGGCAACGATAGCTTCCGAGGGACGTCTACCTCTGCTACAATCGCCGCCCGCTTGGATGCGACGCCGGAGTTCAAGTAGGGAAACAGTGGAGAGTACATGCGGAGGAAGGTGTATGGTGATGATGTGCATGTGCAGCTACGGGAGAGGTATAATTGGTGTACAGAGAGCATGAACGTACCCTCGCAAAGAGCTTCGCATCTTGGCCACCCTGGCTCATGATGGGCTATCTATGTCGCGTGGCAGGTTCCAAGGTTGGGCGTCTCCTCACTGCATGTGCCTGCCGTGGCACACCCCAGACCAGATATCGCTCCCCTCTCAGGCAGGCTAGCGCCCCCTCTTTGCCGTGTTCGGGGCTTCTATGCGCAGGACGATTGGTGATTCGCTCGATGGTGGCCTATATGACGTCGCGCATGTCCATTGGGCGTGTTGGCAGGCGGTGGCACGGATTAAGAGCGGATTCGATATGTGCAGGTGGTGACACTTATTGGGGACCTCGACCGACAGGGACACGGAGGTCTCGCGGAGAAGGGAACGTGCTTCCGCCAAGCCCGACCCAAGTGGACCTCTCAGCGACAGCTGCTGGACCTGGCGCATACACCACCAACCTCACGATTCGAGAAGCACGTGAAGAATCAAATACGTTCGCCGCTGCCAACCAGAAGCAGACTCACAAATGTCGACCGCACCGCCGCCGCCCCCACAATGGGTGCTCGACCTCAGCGCAACACCTGCGAAGTCGAAGAATGCGTCCCTCCCCGACCCGCCAGGCTACACGGCCGCCATGACCAAGAAGGAGCGCGCACAGTCATCGAAGACGGCACGCAAGCCGCCAACGTCAGAAGAGATGGACACGCTCAAGATGAAGAAGGCGTGGGAAGTCGCCATTGGCCCCGCTAAGCAGCTGCCTATGAACGCTTTCGGTGCGTCGTCTCTCGCATAAGGAAGTCACGACCACTCACTAACATACGCCAGGAATGTACATGACCGGCAACACACTTCAGATCTTCTCCATCTTCATGGTCTACTCGCTCTTCAAGACGCCTGTCATGGCTGTTCTTGCACTGCAACGCACATTCGCGCCTTACGAGACGCCTGGCACTTCGGGGCGATTGATCGGCGTCAAGATTATCTACATTCTCTGCAACATGCTGATGTTGGGTCTCGGTATCTGGAAAGTCAACGGCATGGGTCTTCTGCCGACAACGCGATCAGATTGGCTGGCATGGGAGAGCGAAAGGACGTGGTCAGAAAGAGCTGTGCCTAAGGAATGGTTGTGATGGTGTCTTTTCAATTCGTAGGGTATCGCCTAATGCTGGATCGAGCCCAAAAGCTGCCGAAGCTGTAAGAATGACTCAAATTCTCCCTGTTCTCCTCCTCATCATTCTCATTTCCACTCCAAATCCCCGCCAAAAATGCTCTGGTGTTGTCCAGGAAGCACAGGCTCCGCCACGTCAACGACCATCTCATGTCCATCATCCCACTTAAAATCTCCATCCTCATCCGTGCCCTCTCGCGCCTCTTCAACCACGCCAATGACCCCCAAGAACTCGCTCTTCTTCGCTGCGAACCTCATCACCATGATCTGCTTCGTCTTCATTCCCGCATGTCCTCCAGCACCCATCTCCACCGGCTCGTCCGCCATAATCTTGATGAAGTCTTCGTACCTATCCTCGAATCTGATGACGGCTGGTTCACGCAAAGCGCGTTCGAACTCTGCTTGGGTAGCGAGATCGGAGTGCAGACGCTGACAGGTGGGGCGTGGTAGCTGCGCTGGACCGCTGGCGCGGATGTCGATGAGCCTCACTTCGAACTGGGCTCGGATGTCCACCAGGGAAGGAGAAGGCGTGGCGTGTAAGAGACGTATATCGCGCAGAACAAGCAGAATCGGGTCGTCTGTCACCATGTCCGCGTCGCCCTCAGCATGCCTGACAAAAGGCGTCGCATCGCTCCAGTTCGCGATGACCTCTTCCATGACGCGAAGAACCGCGAACGCGTCCTTTTCTTCTCCAGCTGCATCAATGGGCACAGCGGCAGCGAAGGAAGACAGCACAACATCTGGATATCCGCGGAATCGATGCCAAACCACACGCGGGTAGACGTCCAGCACAACACCCGCACTGGTCAGCGCGCCATGTGCTACGCCAGAAGCATGCACATGCGCCACCGAATCGAGCAGAGCAAGGAAGATGTGCGCCACCATCCAGTTCGCTATGCCTCCCACCTCCATCTCCTCCTTGCCATATGCCTCCAGCGTCAGTCCAAACACAGGCGCCATCACCACCCACCTACTCTGACGCGCCTTGGTCAACTGCGACTTAACCATCATGCTCACATACAGCGACGACGCCTCATGCCGGTTCACCTCTTCGAGCGCTTCGCACACCTGACGAACCGCATCGCCCATTGACACGACTACAACCTGCGGCAGTAGGTCAAGTACGCGAGCAGACAGCAGGCTGGCGCCGTTGTGCTGCATCATCCACACCAACACGTCGTTCCACGGATGCTCGACGTTCCACGCTTGCTGCTGCATGCGCACATTGTCATTGGGGAGCGTCGTGAATGCCGTCAGTGCGCTAGCAATGGGGGGCGCGGCTTGGGAGAGGTTGATGGCCCGCGGCAGACAGAGGTATGTCGTCGGCGAGAGACGCTTGATTAGGCGGAAGAGATGGGGTGGGGGTGTAGGCGCTGAGGGATCTGGAGGGGCGGATGCCGCGGTGTCGAATCCCACTGTGGTTGTGCTTGCTAGGGACATGGTGCGCGATCGGGGGTCCATGCTTGTGGGTAGTTGAGATTTGAGGAGAACCAGTCAATGGCGGTGTTTGGTAGAGGTTCGTTCGTTGAGCGGTAGGGTATCGTGATTGCGGAGGTCTAGTGGCGGGATGCCATGCAAACGGAGTCATGGGTGTGAGTCGAGCGTGATTGAATTGCGGGAGAGAGTCGAACTTCACTTTTGAATTTGAGACTTTGTTAGATCGTCGTGCTACTGCTTTCATCGCTGAGTCCATCTCCGGGCGGTGCTTGAGTAACTTTGAAATGATTTATTGCGGGTGAGGCGACAATGTTTGGACTCCAACACCCCAACTCCATACCGCCGACTGATGTCGATGGAGTTGTCACACGTCAGAATAACGCAGTTGGAACATGTACAAAATCCCCAGGCGCGCTCAAGTCCGAGCACGTGAGGAAGCCTCTATCTCAGAAAAGATCACGGAGGATGTCAAACAGCGTGACTGAACGACCAGAGACAAGCTTCCCAAATACGCAGTCTCCATAGCACAAAAAGAAGCTACAGGAGCAGTATGAGAAGTCAAACCGTATTGTGCTCTAAGAGAAACTAATGCATAGCTTGCATCGCCGTCGCAGAAATTCGACGGTAGTCCTATAACCCTTCATCCGCTGACCACACCGGTAAGCTGTATAGCATCATCAACCATATCGTTCAGCTGATCAAACTGTCCCTGCAACCACATATCCAAAACAACCTGATCCTCATTAACAAACGACGTGCGCGCCGGCGGCAAAACCTTCGTGCACTCCTTCAAATCATTGATATTATTAACCCCCAGCATAGACAGCCTCGTATACGCCTTCGCATAGTCCTGTATGAAAAATTAGCCCATCCCCTTCCCCCTCGTACATTCAAACTCACCTCATTCCAATGATTCTGCCCACTGTTCCGATCACTGAACTCCTGCCACTCGCCAATCGTCCGACTATCCTTGCTCAGATTCACATCGCTCTGAAACTTCAACACACGCGGCGGACTCGTGTTACTCGTCTGTGGGTAAAACGCCATGTCCCACACGCCCGGCGAGCTATCCTGCGGATCCCCGCTGCGCGTCGTGTCGACAAAGTGCTGCTGCGACGTCGTGTGCGCGCCCACCAGCGCAACGAGATCATGCGCGTCGATGGTCTTTGCGGAAAACAGCTTGAGCAGGGCGTCCGCGGAGTCGGTTTCGGTGGGGAGGAGGCTGGTGGGCCCGGCTTTGCTGTTGTCCTTGCGTCCGACGAAGGTGCGGATGCGTGGGCCCAGCGGGCACACGACGGTGGCGACGTTGGCGCCGAATTGGATGATGTCGGCCATGGAGAGGCCGTATTGGTTGTACTTGGTGTACCATTTTTTGGTTTGCTCGGCGATCTGGGAGAGCCCGTTGTTGTCGGTGCGCGACATTTCGTTGCTGAGGAGGAGGCCTGGTAGGGGGTTAGGTTGTGGGATGGATCGGGGGAGAGTGTGGAGATGGACTTACTGCCATCTGCGCCGCCGTAGCCGGCTGTCTTGGACCATACGCCTGCGTCGTGGAAGCCGAGACGGACGGCTTGACGGGCGAATTTGTTACAACGGCCGGAGGTGCCGTTGAACTTGGCTGTCATCTCGTAGGAGAGCCATTTCCAGTGACAGCAAAGGTCGGCTTTGCATGCTGCGCTGCCGATAGCTCCAGCTGGGATGGATGTGTCACGCTCTTGTGACTCTCCGCTCTTCTGGTCGGTGATGATCGCCTTGATGTCCTTGCCAATGGAGGTAAGCTTGGAGTCGGCCAGAGTTGCCAGATCGCCAATAAGCTCTTTTGAGGATGCTCGCTTTTCCTTGTTTGCGGCGCGCTTCATCTCAAACATCATCTTCTCGCCCATGCCTGGGTGAGCGTCGACGAGAGGCGCACATGCAAGAAGTGCATAGTTCAAGTACGAAAGAGTCCTCATCTTAGCAAAAGGAAGCGAATGTAGAAAGAAGTTGTCGAATATGACTTGCGTAATGAGGCAGACAGCATGGCTTCTTATAGTCTCGAAAGTCCAAGGAGTGCAGCTGGGTTAACTACTTCATCAAGTCCAGAATGCACCTGCGATGTCGAATAAATTGATACCTGGGCAATTGCGCCGTGTTGAAGCCGTGAACCCACGTATAGATGAACACGAAGCCCTCGCAAAGCACAGTTTGCCATTCAAATGCCTTGTCGTGATGCACTTCCATGGTTATCGCGCTTACCCATGTTACAGGCTTTGGGAGCCTTGCTGTAGCAACACTACCGTTGGGAGCTGACAGCCAAGGAAAGTAATGAAGTCAACATGATTCGCTCGCCCAATCCTGTCAGCTCTAGGTCCTGAATGCCTGAGTATTGCCCGGGCGAATACGGGGTACCAGGCTGTTGCAGAAGGTACTTTACTGCATGCCGTATATTGCTGCTGCAGCTTGCCTGTAGCTAGAAGGTCTGACGATATCTGCGGGCGAATTCCAGCAGTCAAAAGCAATCAGAAATGTGTCCGGTAGGTCGTGAGGTGTCACCGTGGTGATGTTGCGCCTGTCGAGCTTGGAAGGCCTTCTCTGGACCAGCCCACTCTGCCTTGGGAGGAGAATTCCCTAGCATAATTCTGGTGGCATTAGACGAGTATGGTGCTGAACATAGTTCGAGATCCTTCAAGCGGCTGAAAGGACCGATTTGCAAGTATGCCGGCAATTTAGTCTACATGCATGCTCAGCTTGTGCGACAGTCCTTGAGAACTATTCTTGGGCGTGGGAGGATCTCGTGTTCTTGGGTCGAGAAGGGTAGATCGACGCCATGTAATATCGAGCCGTCGATGGTGCGACCGAGACATATTGCAGGTTCAGCCTCATAATCGACCAAGACCTTAATAGACCAGTTATGGTATCGCTAAGCGATGCTTCTTGTACGCGAACCTCGATGCCGCGTGCTTGAATGTAGCCCACGTTAACTTGCTTAAAGATCCCGCACCTGTGGCTTGTCGTCCATTGTCGTTCCATGCACGCCGTAAGCTGCATCGAAAGTACGAAGTTGTCCACATTTAGCCGGATAACATGACCGGATAGCTGGGAGGACCCTGAAGCCGACCGGGAATATGCTTGATGCAGATACAAAAATAAGCCTGGAGCCCGGCTACAGTACATCATGGACCGCAGAGCCGGATTGCCAAGTAAGAAGGGTCCAAAGTCAGCATAGCCTAAGAGGCGATCGGGCGGATGATTCGCACATAGCCTCATTATCGCTGTTTCTGTATACTTCTAGCTCATATCAAATGCCGAGCTGTTCTCTACAAGTCTCCTGCAGCGCTCGCGCAAAATCGTCTCAGCAGTCTTGGGTCGTGTAACAACATTCAGAATCGTAGCTGAGTAACTACTGGCTTCCAAGGGCCTCCGTCAACGTCTACTCTAATATGCGCTCTGCCTCGTCTTTTTACCTCTTCGATCCTTTGGAGAGAGACCTGCGCTTGCGTGTGCTGAAAAGGGAATGGAGGAGATGGAAATCTGACGTGTACTCGTTCGACGCGTCGTAAACACACATTATGATACACACGATGAAATCTGTATGACTTGAGATACGGTAGACTTTTGATGAGATGATGGGACCGCAAGATTGAAGCTGCACGCGTGAAGAAAAGAGCTGGACTTGGCGCTCTGCCGATTCGGGCGAGCTAGCATAACTGCTAACAATGCCACTGCCACTAAGCGTCTCTCACGACGGTATCATGAAAAAGAGAGGCTAATAGTGAATGAAAATTTCAGTTCGAGTGGTTATGCCCAACAATGGTGCTCTTCGTCATGCTGTAATCGTGATCCGTTGGCCGCAATTCTTTCAGATGTACATGAAGGTGCAGGAGACTGACCTCAGTTCGATCATGTAGTGGAATTCTATACATCTATCTTTCTCCACCGCCGTAAACTCATGTATTTCATCGCTTCATTCCAATTTAATAGTGCAACATTGTTTTACAGACCACCCTGGGGTTGTACACAGAATCAAACAAGTTCAAGACGGGGTCAGAACACGTCGCAACACTAAATGTGCTCGAAGCTACCAGTTGGGGCTATGGGACATACTATACCCATCCATATATGATTTCCGTGGCACAGGCGATTGTTGTGGTGACTTCCTTCGGGCCAGATTTGCGAAACGCACAGCTCAGCGGTGGATGACTTTGGACAATACATAAACGTGCAAACGGAACAGAAAATTAATGGGATCAGTCAGGTACAGCCTAACTCTTGCGAAGCAATAGGTTTTGTATTTGTCACCTGAGCTGCTGTCCCAGCTATTGTCCCAGCGCCTGGTCATTCACCTTGCGAGTTTGCTATCCGAAAGCTATATAAGAACCGGCAGCCTACCAGGACAGCAACACCAACCTCAACCTGGACTATCAACTATGGCTTCCATCAACATGCCACAGTCAGCGAAAGCTCAGCTGATTCCTATCAAGACAGTCCATCGGGGAAAGCATGGCGCGACGGTCTTCGCAATCCTCAAGAACAAGCCGAATCAAGAGCACAGAGCGCTCAAGATCATCACCAAAAGCAAGCTAGGTTTCGTTACCAAGGCCTTCTTCGACAACCTCAAGGCCATACAAGGTCAGACTGGCCATCCGCTCACGAGAGTATACGAGCATGACGCCGACTTGACCTGGTACACCATGAGCTGGGTCAAGGGTTACCACGTTAGCTATCTTCTCGGCAACCACTATACAAATGGGTTACCTCCGTTCCTCCTCTTTAGGGTCCTCGACCAGGTCTTCCACGCGGAGCAGCATCTGCAAAAGAATGGTTTGTGTCATGTTAACCTGCGCAACGGAGAGAACATCATGCTCCGCGCCGGAGGTCACGTCATGCCATACATCACACTCATCGACTACAGCGCCGTTGAGACATACACGGTGAACAAGGCTGGCCAGGTCCTAGAAGAGTTCATCATGTTAGCGCGACGTATGACTCGGGGTCAGACGAAAGTGCCAGATTACTTTCGGCGTGTTCGCGGCGGCGGACCTTTCAAAGATGTGCCCTTGGCGGAGGCAGATTGGTTCTTCAAGTACATCGCGCACTGGAAGTGGGATGGGAAGCAGACACTGGATGAGTGGTGGGAGGGGAGCGAAGATCAGATTGGCACACGGCTGATGGCTGACGTGTCCGAGCTCAAGGACGACGGGATGGTGACAGAGGTGATGGAATTTCTGAAGATGCCTAAAGTGTCCGAGGAGGAGATTGCGACTGGTAAGGTGTCGGGTGGACTGGATGTGATTGAGGAAGAGTAGGAAGAGGATAGCGCGACTGATTGAGCAGTCCTGGAGATCGTCGACTAGCTCGCTTCTTATGATGCAGCTCAAACTATGACATTGTGGACTTCTAGATTTATTGTGTGTGGTGCAAATATTTGAGAGAATGGTGACGAGGGTGGTCAAGGGCAGGCGAACAAAGGACTATCCGTATACAATGTAAAACACGAAAACAAAGCAAAACCTTCATAAAGACCCAGTCCAACCCCCAACATTTACCAGTCATGCCATCCATACGAAGTGATATCTTGCGCAAACAACTGGCGTGGATGCCTAAAGTGTGGCTTGCTGCTCTAAAAGCGCACCGACGGGCGGCTAGCTATGAGATAATTGGTTTCGAGCTCACATCCCCCGATTCCCTGGAACTACCCGCCGAGTTCCAGAGCTTGACCGGAATGGAGTACTTTTATGCCTCACGTGGTCCGGCTAACACCGACGAAGGTATTCATATCCATAAGCCAGACCTAGATCCTCGCCTGGTCAAAGCAGATCTACTTCCAAACAGCTGCACCAACGCTGTCTACACTTTCTGGCATATCATGCATCGAATTCTGGGTATAGATCCCGACTTCAGTGGCATACATTGGATGCGCCGAAATCCGTATCCAAAGTTTGTGACATTTGATATCGATGATATCGAGAAAATCACGGCATGCAGTCATGACTTCTTCCTTATCGCTTACCAAGGCAACGATAGATTTGTTGTAGATTTCACGGGCGCGCAATTCGGCTGGGAAGAGTGGCTGTACACAGAGAAAGACTACGAAAAAAACCTGCTGCCATGTACACTGGACCTCAAGCCTATCGAGGCCGAAGAAGAGATTCTCATTTACAACGAAGAAGAAGATGGGGCAGTGATATTGATAAAAGAGGCCATCGAGAGATGCGTAGAAGAAGCTGAAGCTCAAGTGATCGCAGGAGAAGGAGCGGACACAGTGTATGAGAAGCTGGCAGATCGCGTAGGAAATGCCGTATTAGAGGCACTGAAGAGGCGGAAAGACTCTATGGAGGAAGGAGTTGAATCTACATAAGTATAGTGTGATCTTGACATTGCCGCTTCCCGTCACAACTACCTCCCAGAGGTCTAGAGCATCTTTTCAACAATATCATTCAAATGTTAATCTTCTTCCATTCGTTGAAAATTCCCGAAAGTGTTATAGTTACTACACTTCGGTCTTGTCTTCCTACACCTCCCAGTGAGGATCCAACCCTGCTTGATGGGCTATAGTTCTCCTCGTTCCTCGCTCCTGTCCGTTGCTACGCGCTGCGTCAATGTTATTAAGAAACGACGTGGTCTGCGCCCTTTATGTATGCCAACGTTCCCGCTATTATCTGCCGATTGAGACCTTCAAGTCAGTGGCTTGATTCCGACTGCAAGTGGGAATTGCTCTGTGTTTGACGGACCTCCGCATTGTCTGGTATGTTAGTTTATGAGTGCTGCGCAGCAGAGACCAAGCTCTCGGGTCCTCATACTCAGAGATCTGGTGTTGCTATATCAACAATGGCTGCTACAATCCCGCTTTCATTCTGACGTTACCTTTTCCCTCTCAAATTTTTGCACGCTCCATCTATCAGTGTAACTTGCTATACGCTGAGAATTGAGACTGTTGCTGATCTGCTGCCACAAAGCATCAACTTGACGCTGGGGGATGTGGATAGGTCTTTTTGCACGCGCGGACCGCTGACGCGATCTTCGAGACGCTCAGAGCGTCGAAGAGATCGGGCGAGCCATTAGAGCCGTCGTCGGAGGCTGCTTGAGTTTTCTGCCGCTTTTCCCACCCCTCTTTTACTGCTGCCGGCGGGGCGGGGAAACCTACCTCCGGCGAACTTGGAGTTGTCGAGTCGGGAGCCGGATTCGACGCTGTGATGTCCTTGGACATGTCAAAACTCTCGATGGCAGATGTTTAGATATCTGTAATCCTCTGCGCCCAATCTTGAAGCGTGCGAAGAGCTTGCCGTGGTGTTGTAGCCGTGGGGGAGGGCAATATTTGAAAGGTCCGAGCTTACAGAGGTCGCCCTCAGCTTTCAGAGTGCCCCCTCCCTTACCTCCACACCAACTCACCCCCAGCAACCACGCTAATATGAGCTACTTGTCGTCTTAGAAAGAGAGAAGCGCGCTCTGTGACTTTCGGTAGGATGGTACGTGCCCGCCCGCATCCCCAGCAGTCACCATGAAAGACCTGATCCTTCTCCGCAACCTGGACGCCACTCGGACAACTACACCACCCCCATAGCAACGGGAGCAAGCACATGACGGTTTAGCAGCTTGTCGCCAGCTATAGCGTCCTCATCGCCATTCTGGATCGCCTGACCTCGAGTGTGCCGATCCGACATCTGTGGTGGGCCATGAATGGAGGCTGCGGGGTCGCTCGAGGGTGGGCGCTCAGCCTCGACAGTACAAAATGTCGTGCCAGATCTTCTCGCAAGCTCTGAGAGGACCTTGGGAATGAACAAGCATCATGCCACATGGGAAGTCCACGGTGATGGCGACGACCTTTCAAGCTGGTAAGTCTCGGGCAGCGACTCCGACTCCGCAAATCATACAGCGGGATTCACCAGACTAACCTCTCACTCGAGGCTGGCACTACAGGTGACCTGTTAGCAACTGTTGTCCAACACCACAAACCTTTTCGAGTATCTCCTTAGACTTGAGTCACTTGCGTCACGTCGCACCTAGTATCACCCCGGACAACAGCATGGGCAACTAGAGCCGCGGACACACATCAGGACCTGAACAATGGACTGGCTGCGACAAGGACGGTATTCGAAGTCGCAGAGGAAGCCTCGCAGACGCTGCGACGTCTGGTTGCCCTACCTGGCGTCAACTTGCCCTCGCCATTGGCAACCGACTCATCGAGTCTGGCAGATGTTAGAAAGTATTGCGCCTCGCTGGGTTTGACTTGGACTCACCTGGACCCGGAAAAGGACCACTGGAGCCATGATTCGAAAGATCAGAAGGCCAAGTAGAACCTTTCCTGTCTCTTAACAGCCAGCCCCCACCGTCACCTCTCATTTCCACGCCCCTCTCAGTCCCCGACTTCATTTACCGACCCTATTCCCCAGTCAGCTAAAATGGTCTGCCATTCTCTATCGGACCGAATCACGCCTGTGCTCTCGTGAGATCGGGCGAGCTACTACACGATGGGTTAGCGGACAGGGCTTCAACTCATGGGGAGGTTAGAACATACCCCATAGGCCAGGTTGTGAAGCTTATATGAAGAGGCGCAATCTCCGAACTGGTATGGTGTTAATCTCCCGTGGTGTCGCCCTGGGTTCCCCTTGGTCAAACTGCCTCTTTGTCAGCGCAGTCGAAGATGTCCCTCTCTACACAACCTACGTCTAGTCTCCACTCTACCGGTCGACAAACTAGACGTGAGCTGTTAGCCTCTGTGTACAACACATGGAAATACTCCAAACAGACTTAGTCTATCCCGCACGACATGGATGCGAACAGCATTTCTGGCACTCGACTTGACAAACGGCGGTCCCAACATTTGGCTGCTTCAAGGCGGATGTACTTGGCAAGATCCGCGGCAGTCGGCATGCCTGATGTACCCAATCTGGTCGGCACATACTGCTCTGATTAGACACCTGCAAGGAGGTGCCCGGCGACCACCACGAGGAGGTTCAGAGGTCAGGTTCTGGTCGCCATCTATGAACTGACTCCTAAATCAGCGAAGTTGACATATGTCTTACTCACATCAGCCTGACACAGACTCGCGTGATCGACGTCGTTGTCTTCAATCTCGGTACCAATGTGATATCTTCTGCTTGCAGTCGAATTACAAGTCCGTTTGAGAGCGAAGATGGCTTCTTAGATCGCGTGCCTCAGCGGCCGCAATCTCCTTCTCATCGCTTACATCTGCCCTTCACGAACCAAGCACAAAGAACAGCAGCACCTATCCATCAATTCGGGCGACTCTTAGCCGTCCATACCGGATCCTCATCAGCCGCATGAGATTCATTGCGATAGTAAGTCGGCTGATGGTGGTGAGGTCCCTGGAGATCTGAGCCTATGCAACTGGGTTGATGCGACGTGTGATGTGAAGTGATGATATGAGATATTGCGGATCGTCGAGGGTTCGGTTTGTGGTAGGTTGACGTATTCCGAGTTGTCGTGTTGACTTGGCTCTGCAAGTATCCGTACAAGGCCAGCGAAGCCTTTCAACTTGCAACGATACTCGGCAACATCTTGTCGCCTAATAGTATCGAAACAATTCTGACGTTGCTGAGAAATCCTGGGAATCTTGAAGATCGTCCAGCCAGCACATGGTGTCGACTCGTGGAGGGATAACCCTGGAGCGATACCACCCCTACAGCCCGAAGGGGCCCGAAGGGATGGACAGACCCTCGGCGGATACTTTGACGTGTTGTGTCTCGACACTGCCCATTTTTGGTTTTCAAGATGCGGAAGGCACAAGCAGGTGTCCCACATTCTTGACATCGGCGAGAAATACCTTGCCGAGGAAACATCGGCATTTCCAGTGCGCATTATGCTGCTGTCATACTCTCGTGGCTTTCACCGGTGTTCTGTCTTAGCCAGAAGACACGAGATCGGCAATACTGTCGCGCCTGGCAGTTAATTATGCTTGCATCGTGCTGGTTTCCGAAAGCGCATCCACTACGCCGCAAGCCCATGATAACTTCCTGCCAGGTCGCCGTGGCATAACGAAGTGGTGGAGCATGTTCTTCGAAATTGCGAGGGTGTAGATGAGAGCAAATACCCGCGAGCTACCGTCAGATCATGGCTCTGCGGTACGGACAGTTTTCAGAAGGCTGGCTTCTAGCAACGTCCGCAAATCTTCGCAGCAGATACTTCTTTGTCTGCCATCTGTCTGGAGCTTCTGATGGCCGGCCACGTCAGGCTGTCCGGTATCGAAGAGCGATCACCTTTGGGGTTGACCGGTGCAGTCGGCTCTTCCCGGCCCCGACCCACGAAAATTGGCAGCGCTGGACAATCCGTCTCAATGGACAAGACGCAATCAAGATCAGCACCGAGCCACACACAAAATCTCCAGGCTTCTGAAGTGTTCCAACGTTGTTGTAGCGATCTGTGACCAACCACACACGGAGGTTCATCGTGTTCCTGCTCTTCAAGACTGTGTTCGGAACACGGGTTCGTTCAAACACGTATCCGTCGGGGTCCACGGCGTCGTAATCATGGGGTTCTGATCCAGTTTGGACTTGCTCGGAGCAAGACACTCCTGATCAGACACAGCTCTTCGGGGAGGAGTGCAGTCATTGCATCTACCGAACATCAGCGCTGAATTGACTTGGCTTGATTTCAAACATGGTTTCAAAAGCGAAAAGTTCAGGAAAGCTTGGTTTTGTTCGACACTGTAACCACGAGGGTTGTCTAGGCGCAGTATCATCTGACAGTCGTCGATGAGCTGCAGCTTATTAGACTGGCAGCAGACCGTCTAGTCATCATGGAAGGTATCAGAAAAATGTTGGGAAATGTCTTGGACTTACGACAAGAAAAGAGAACTTCGGTGTGGAGATGGCCCTGCGGAGAGACTGCAGGCATTGCGTTTGACAAGAGCTGGCGCTGTTTTGCCTCGACTCCATGTGAACGACGATATCGCAGGCCTAAAGGCTTACGAGCCTACAATTTCGCTATGGGTTGTGTCTTCGAAGACTACAAAAGCATCGTCTCATCACCGATTCGTCCAGCTTCCAGCGACTAGCGAGACAGCTGAGTCGTCAAAAGCTAGACGATATCGCATCTGGCAAAGGTTAGCGCGTATCAACACGACTTGGTGATAATCCAGAAGCAAGTTAGACAGAGTTTCAGACATTAAATGCTGCGCATTGTGACCGGTGTCACTATGCTTGAACCACGAGAGATTTTGTCATCATCGTCAATGGGAAACAAAGGAAACACTATCAACTTACTACTGGACCCGAAAAGCGCGGAAGATGTCGGTCGGACTTCGCCAAGATGGCACACACGATACCTGTCGTCCATCGACTGGTACTGGCTCAACTCGCAACAACACAAACTCCAAGGGATCAAGATGGTTCAGAAACACTGTTCACGTCCACCGAAACTACATCCAGCCATGGAGTGGGTTCTTTTTGCGCCATAAAATCATGACTGTCGATCAGGACGTCATCATGGTAGAGAAGAAGTATGAGATGGACCTTCTACTCGCCGATACCGTAGAAAGTTCGCCGAAGCCAGAGGGCTGCGGTACCGGGGACGAGCTGCATCCTATCTGCTGAATGTCAGTGACAAGCCATTCTACGTCAACCAGAACATGAAGAACGAATGAGGGAGCTCAGTCGCGTTGTTTTCGCCATCGTAACCACACATGATAAGTATGGGGTTTTCTTGACGTTGATCACTTTCGCATTTCATCATTGCAGAGAGAGGAGTGGGTGGCGACTTTGGATACTTACCGTTGACACCAACAAAGTTGGAAAAGGAACCTGCCGAAAGTCAGTCACTGCCGAGTGCGCATCAGAGGGAAACTATATGTCATCAAGTGGCTCAGAATATGGGTTTGGTATCGCACATTGGGACCACACCCGTGGGGTTCTCCGTACGTGATACGATCAAGTGGGCCCTTCCAAAGGTTTTTACACCCAGAGGAATTCATCATTGCCAGGAAGGAGTATGTGAAGGGCTTGATACTTACCCTTGATACTGATAACGATCAGACAGTCGGAGAGGATCGTCGGTCGGTGACGATGATGGCGCATTCTGTCAATTGTCAGTAACTGTCCTATCCGAGTCGACAAACAAGAGGATTTGTAGAGGTGGCTCAGATTGGGCTTCGTTCTCGTACATTGGAACCGCACCCGAAGGCGGGTTCTCCGTACGTTAATGATCAAGTGGGCCCTTATTCTCATCATCGCCAAGGGGAGGGTAGGAGAGGCTCAAGACTTACTGAGAAGGTCAGAGATCAAGCGATCAACTTCGTTGAGGTGAGCCACGTTTCAGCCCGCCTCGCTGAGAGCCAAATTGTTCGGACATCATTCTGGTCCAAGAGGAGAGCGAGACATGCCAAGGAATCTCTCAGTGTCGAGAAGGGGAAACCCCGCCAGAATGTTCTCGTGCCGATGAATCCTGCACATTGTCAACACTTCCGCAAGTCGAAAGAGCACTGACTATCTTTTCGTGCATTGGCTCTGGGTACCATCCTACCACCGAAGCAAGCAGAGCCAGACACGTGAGTCTTCTGATCCTGGGATCAAGTTGTGTCAAGCCCCAACACCGTCGAAAATTGCGCATGCCGATGGGAACAGCCATCCCGAGATCTAACGAAACAGATACAGAGTGCCGAGGTGGTGACTTCGTTGATGCACATCGAGATCAGACTAAGCGTAACACTTGTGCGCTAAATGCAGCTCCGGTGGATTTCAAATCATCATTCCGAAAAATGAATTTGCGAGCCCAAGTGGGATTCGACAAGCCGTGAGCTAGAAGAGTTGCGCACGAGAAGTCAGCGTGGTTCGAATATGAGAAGACGACGAAAGTGTTTGGGCATTGAGATTGGCTCAGACGATTGTTTTCGCACATAGCAACGACCACTACGGATCGTGATGCGGAGATGAAATAAGGTTGTTTGAGATTGTCATCACAGAGACTTCGGACAATTGGGGAAAGAGAGAGGAACATACCCGTGCGAGACGATCTGAGAATGGTCGCTGAATCGCTCGAAGACTTGATAGAACGCCGGGAAGATAGAGTCCTGGCAGTCTTGTGTCTCAAGTGAGCGCGATGTCGAGCTGCAGGTGGTCATCTGTCCGGTGATGAGGTTGACGATCATATTCGTCAAGTTTGGCCATGCCAGTGTTTTTTGTCGCCTTCTGGAGCTACCGGACCTCTGGAGCAAGATCCTATGCTGTCAGTATATGAGGGAAGACTGCTCAGGGTGGAGTAACAATGTCTTCGGAGATCGTCAGAGTCGAGTGGTCGTCAACGTTCGGTGCAAGAGACGTCATGTGCCAATTTTCGCAGTCTATCAAGGCAACCTCATCATGCAAGGATATGGTTGTAACGTGGCTGGCCGGCGTGGTATGGGTATACCAGGGCTGGCCTCGACCTGTCCAATGCGGATTGACTGGTGTACCACGCATCAAGTGCTGCTAGCTTGGCTTTGCGACAAGCAAACATACCACAGGACCATTTGACCAACTCACAAGGACCAAGAGCTAGCCTTTGATTGTGTCGCTGCATGTAGTTTCGTCGCTGTAGCGCGCAGAGATCCTCTTGCTGCGCCATGTCCATGCTCTTTCCGGTACACTCGGACCGCACAATGCAGTCCCACCAGCACCTTCATAAACGCTACTGCCATCCATCCTCGTATGTTATTACCATTCGTTCTTTGTTCGTTTGGTATGCGGCGGAGTGAGGAGCGGATAAGACGATAAAGCGCAGTGGTTGAGTGTTTCCACCGTGGTGGAGGGAAGGGAGGGAAGTAACCGACAAAGCTTCAAGGCTACGATGGTTAGCGAACAGCTCTGGTCGTATGCTCAGCAGTTAAAACGCGGGAAGCCTCTGGCGATCTCGGATACGTGTGTACTCTGCGCTTCTTGCCCCTCCGACTTTCATGGAAGCGCAGTGTGCGCCGTCATTGTCGTTGTGGTCAAGTGCTTGCGACGAGAGCAGTGCCAAAGCAAAGACGAGCTGACCTTGGTTGTAGTCCTACACGAAGTCATGCTCGCTGTGCATCATTGAGGCGCGGATGTATACCTGATCTCGTTACTTGATGCTCATCCGTTGCACTTGGCAGATGGCGCCGAGGGAGCAGCGCAAAGTGAGAAGGGCGCGCTTGTTATGTCGACGGCTGGGCGCCGCAGCACGATCTCAAACTAGGCCGACGTTTGGATGCAGCTGTGCAGTTGACTACATGGCCCCGCAAGTTGATTCCGGAGATGTCATGATCCCCATTGTGTTATTTGTGGGCGATTTGCTGCGGAGGTCTTGACCATGGCACTTTCATCTCCCACAACAGTCAAGGAAGTGCAGATGCACTTTCTAGTAGTGAAGAGAGTGATGAACTACATTGTTGTCAGTTGCTTCCGACGTGGTTCAGTTATTCGGCCTACTCACAGTCCACTTAAGTCGGATGTTGTGCAGCCCGACTTTGCGGAGGCAGACAGCGGGGAAGAGCTGCGACACTGAGGGGCAAGCCGATGGGGACCGGCCTGCTATTCTTCAGGTCAGAGTACGGCGGTGCCACCCTTTATGCTATGCCAGAGTCAGTATGTTGTGGTTGCAGGAATATTTGCTTGTCGCCGACCCCGCATAGCCAGCGAAGGAGGTTGAGTGACAGCGACATCCCACCACGGGAAGTCAACGGGACGGTGGACAAGAACTCACTATCCCCCAAGAGAATCTCCAGGTAGACTTGATGTCGCGTGCGCCCAACTTGAGCGCATCAGTTGTCAAGATTGCCCAGCTGGTGGGCAAAAGCTGCGGAAGATTCGAGTGCGGGCGAGCAACATGCGAAGTGAATGAACGCCTCTCCACTTGTACCTGCACTACTCTGGATACTATCCAGCTCATGGGGACTTTCCTGAGCAATTCTGAGCATGTGGTGGTTGGTGTGGTGGGAGTGTCGTGGTGATGGTGTGGGGACTCCGACAATCGTGACTTTCGCGGAAATTGGAGGCCTTTGCCGCCAACACCAAAACGTTCCGCACTCAGCCAGCGTCCCCGCACGGCTATCTATGAGCAGGCTCACTTTTCTCAGTAATGTGAGCACCAGCTATCATAAAGATACCCCGGTGCACTTTTGCTACACACATGAGCACGTCTTGGCGGACCAAGTACATGTGCTACATGACGCTGCAGGATGCCCTCACGGCTGACCTCCCAGTTGTAATCTCAGTAGAGAGCGATGAGACGCATATCAGTAGCACACAGTCCCTTGAATGCTATCCTATGTCTGCGGCAGGGCAAGCACATCTGTCAGACTGTATGCACGGGGAACACAAAGTTCTGGGCAATGCATGCACTGTGACTGCCCTGTAGATGCATCAGCTTGTTTGAGCATCTTCAAGACGAGCGGCTACGTGAGAGGCATGCCATAAACCCAACAGTAGCAGCAAGTGCAGCTCATGTCCTGGTGCTACGAGCCCGCATGTAGAGCCTTGACGTAGAGGGTGAAGTGCAAAAGCACGCTACAAACGCTGCCCCACCCCTGCTCGTTGCCTGGTCCACAATCGCAAAAAACAACAAGATTCTACCCTGAGAATAGTTGGTTTCCAGTACTAGATAATCAGCTTTATTCAGCAATTCTACCTACTAACCCCAGCTAATTCGAACCCGCAGTGGCCTGGTCTGGTTGTCGCATCCCACACCTATAGGTCCTATGCGCCTTTGAGCGCGAAACTTTTTGCCCATGTAGATCCCTCAGTTCGAGTCTCTTCCCGAGAGCGCACTTAGCAGTTTTTTTGCTTCGCTTTTTAACAGGATCAGCGCTGTCGTGCACGCATTGCAGATGCAATGCATCTAATCTGTTTGCACAACATTCACTGCTCAAGTTTCCGAACGTAGAAAGGGCTGGAAATTACTGCTATTTGCGGCAGACTTGCTAGGCAATGTTAAAGCGCCTATGTGTGCTCAACCAGCTTCCTCCCACGTCCTCCTGGAAGATTCAAGGAGCTTTAGATATACCGGTTTTGGAAATTTCAGGTCGCCACGAAGGCCAGACTAGTTTTCTCTTGTTTGTTGAAAGATATGAAGGCATTGTAGTAAATCTTGAGTAGGTGCAACTATGACGCTTGGCTATTCCAGAGACTTTCATCCAGGTAGCCGATGTCAGCTACTCAGATGTCCGTGCAGCATTAAGAAAAATATGCACGCCTCGTAAGGACAAAATCCTAAGCTTCAAGTTGCCGTATCAAGCAATTAGATTATCTAAGAACCTGGATGCGCAAAAGGTTCGCGAGCGCCTTCGGTGGTTGGTTACGTTGAACTTAAATTATGGTTGCGTTAGTGTAAAGAAACTACGTTCCATCGGAGTATCTATAATCTAGGCTGCAGTACTTCACCCGAGAAATAACAGATAGAGATTCAGGACCCCTTTGCAGGAATCGACAGGAAAAGCCACGATTTTTTGATAGTCTTCAGGTCCTGATGTTCGACTTCTGATCCTCTGTCATACCATCCGGATGGCGCCACGGCCTTCCTCTTTCTCGAGAGCGCAAGTTCTGACGATAGCTGCCACACCGAGATGTGCAGGATCGTAATATCGTGGACTTATTTCGAGTCCTTGCCCAAGTCTTACCCCCAGAAGTTGATACTCTGAGTTGAATGTCCCCTAAATCCAATGCGATCTAGCTATGAATAGGTCGTGTGGCAGAAACTGACATATTGATTGCTCGTTCGGCAAATTTACCGAGGCCCAAATTACTTTGACAGAATAGACACAAGCACAGCTTTTTCAGCGCTAGCTTATCTAGCAAAGAGCCGTCGTACACTCGACCGAGCCGACTCATGGGGTCTCTCATAGCCTCACCGGATGTGTCGCTCGTCTTCTATGTGCCACGCACACCGCACGATGGTGAAGTATTCGCCACCAAGGCTATTCCAGTACGACTTGCTGCCTTTATAAGAGACGCATCTCGTGGTAGCTTCGTGGGGGCTTCGCAGTTCAAGTGTATACAAAATGGTCCATTGTCGCAGTCTAAGGCACGCAATAATTGTACCGTGTCGACAATACCATAGAGTGCATTATCCCAGGAAGGCGTCTTGTGTTAGACCCTGCGGAGGGGCAATCGACAAATCGAGTGAATTAATGTTTCGAGAAACTGGTGCCATTAAGCTACCCACTCCGGTATGGCTGGCTTGTATGCGTCTATGCACCTTTAGTCAGCCTTTTATTTTACTCGCTCGCAATCTCGATAATGGAGGGGTGACAGGCATCAGTAGCGAAGAGTATCAGTCACCCTCGAGGAAACCTGTCATGGCCACTGCGAGTTCGCTGATTCGAGTTCTCGTCAGAGGATTTTCTTGAGGCCTTCTCACCCTTGCTTTCTTGCAGTACCAAAGCTGCCTTAGGAGCTCTTCAAAGACGTAGGCTGCAGTGCCAACTCTGTCAAAGGAACATTTTGGATAAGCGTCGCCTTTCAATCCTCCTCGTAAAGAACAGCCTCAGTCCAAGCAATTGGAGTTCTCCACAGACCTCTAATTTCAAACATGGAATCGAGAAGTGTATCACTGGTCAACATAGCTGCACTCGGCACGTAGGTTGCTCGCCTGGCAGTTTTCTAGTATGTGGCCGAGAGAGGATATCATCGCCTAAACCCGAAAGGGTTAGCGCCAACACAAAGTTGACTTCTACCACCACTCTTGAAGACTACCATCACACAATGCGTATCTGAATTTCAAGAGTCTTTTGCTACTTGAATAACCAAGATCATAAGTATAGCACTTTCAGCAAGATCACAGCAACTTTTGGAATCACGTCGACTTAGTCTGGCATTTCTCTGCTCCTCTCCGCGATGAATCGTCTTGCGTTCAGTGAGCTTTTGTGCTCAGGAAATTTCCTCCAAAGAAGCCAGCTGTAGACCTGAAGTTTCCTCCAACACGGCTGTGATCATTGTATGTCCTTTGCCCTCACAGCTGCGCACAATGTCTTTGTGCATCGACTCAACCTTCGCCTGCGGGATGCCCATCCAGTTTCCCACCCAACAGAACTGCATCAGGTGCTCCACGTCTTCTTTAACATGCTCAATAATCTTAGAGACAGTACTTTCGTGCGCCTTGTCGTCGAAATGAGAAAAGATGGCGTGTCCGCCGTTGACGACAAAGTGACGGTAGAAGGCGTTGTTGACGGTACGAATTATCGCTTCTGCCTCAAGGCATTCAACCAGAGGCTTTTGGGGATCTTGGATGCCGTGACGAATCTGGCGCAGGTGATCATGGTATGTAGCGCCTATCACCTCGGGGGCAAGTTGTCCGGATGATATCTCAAGTGCTGGGTATGTCGAGACGGGCGCGAGACTGGGAACATCGCCATACTGGCGCCTGGTTATATCCATGTATACGCCACGAGTCCCGAGGAGTTGGGAGAGGCCTGGATATTCGTTCGGCAGGAAGGGGCGCTTCGGGGTGATTTCCAGCATGGTGTGTATCGGCGCGACCTTGCTGTGCTCTGGGGAATTTGGGGTGGTAAGGATAATGGCTTGAACTGCCTGCACCTGGCGGACGTTGATCTCGCGGGTTTTCAACGGGAATTCTAGGGCTAGCCAAGTTAGCCTTACGAAAGACAGTGGTAGTGTGGTGAAGTGTACCTTTGAAGAGCAACGCGATGATCCCAGCGTAATACCGCAGCAGAACACGGCAAGCATTGTGGGATACCATTGCGTCTCTTTCTCCAGATGTCGTCAAGGTAGGATCGAAAGATGATTCGTCCGCCCGCTGCTTTATCCGTACGCTGAGTTCTAGGACCCCTTGTGTCGTCGTCCGCGCGCCCGTCAGTGTTTTTAGTGACGTTGTGCGGCCGACCACGAGGAACAGTTCATCCATGAAAGCGCTTATGCGCTTGAGGCTTCGGACTTGGCGAAGGTCTGCTTGAACTCTGATCGAGCAATCGACACAGCAGGACATCGAATGGCCGAATGTCGGCTCAGCTGGATGGCTCGAGTGCATGCCATGAGTTGTTGTAGTTAGACAGTGCGAGCAGCCGCTGTTGTCGCACACGAGGGATGTCATGGTGAGAAAAGGGATGTGTGCTCAGGTCGAGGATGAAGGTCGAGTATCCGCGGCCGTCATGCAATTTCCGACACACATCCGTTTGCTCGAAGCTGTAGTGGGGTAGAGGGGTATTGGAGGGAGTGCGAGCGGCCGCACAGACACTATTTGTTGATATTCAGCATGCCAATTTGGGACCAGCTCAGAACACCGCATTGCCAAAAACCCTAATAACACCAATGGCGCGCTCAAAGACCTCTTCACTCTCTTCCTCCAAGCTCAAAGACATACTCAACGTCTACCGCATCTGCTTCGAAGCCGCCGTAAAGGCAGAGCGCAAACCCTCGGTCACCGGACTTAGCCAGCATCCGAGCAACGAGAGAGTCTGGAGGATTTACCAAGACTGCACAACGAGTTGGGATGTGCCAGATGGGGCGAGCGAAGCTTTTGTGGAGGCGTACAAGAAGTGGTCTCTGTGCGACAACTTCTGCGTCATGGTCTACGACGCGTTGAAGGAGCATTTGAAAAGTATGCGTATTCAAGCACTACTTGTTTGAGCACACGGAACCTAACAGCTACCCCAGAGTACAATGCAGATGTATACTGGCGCATCATCTCACCAAATCCGGTGTTTTCCTTCCTTTGTGGGGACGAGGAGCTCAGACAGTACAGTCATTCTGTCGTGGTGGTGGAGACAAAGGAGGGCAAGACCTTCATCTTCGACTGCACGGGAGAACAATTTGGTTGGAACGGTAGTGAGTGGCTCATGGAGCTGGAAGAGTTCTCAGAGCGCATGGATGAAGACGAATTGCCGGATAGGCAGGGCTCATTGGGCTTCACCAGGCGGGTGATCTCCAAGCAACCAGACGGGTACTGGCCACGAATCTTCACGACATTTTCGCAAATGTTTAAGGCATTCAATTGGGAGGGCCTGCCTCTGGAAGATCCTGCTTTGGCATTGAGAGCCATCAGTAGCACAGCAGCGGAGCGAGCGGAGGCCGCTGCTCTCGAGAGTCGGGGTCCAAGTCCGCAAAAGTAGAATGACAATGAATCACATAAGCGCGACTATTGCCTGCTCAAAGACATAATGCCTGATTCCTTCACATGATTTACTGAAATTCTGTGCTGTTGCTAGCCTTGTTGTTCTTGCGGGAGCCTGCGCAAGCGCAAGTGGGAATGCCGTCACTTGCCCCCCGCTTTACCGCACCACTGAGTGAAAAGCTTCCACGGAAGCAAAAATAGTGTTAGGTGAAGGATTCGAACACTGGCAAAAAAAGATCGGGGAGGGATACCACTCAACCCGTGCCCTGTGGGATAGTTAGTAAAGGTTTGTTGCCGGGCGGTGACTACCTAAACTATCTAAACTACAGAGCTATCTGTGTAGCAGATCTTAAGGATCTGCTACGGAAAAAGAGCTGAATTATTTAAGATGTATCCTAGAAGGTGAGGTCAGCGGGGCAGTGCAGGGGTCAGTGGCAGGAGCCTTAACACACTGACGAGCAGGTGAAGGATTTTCCTGCAAATAGCAACTTTGACGTTTGCTCATTGTTTTGTGCCCCCAGAGCTCGCTTGTGCCCCGCTGTTTGGTCTATTGGTGAGGTACAGCCGTGCTCACACGTCACTCCTGCAAAAGCTTCTACAGTCGAGCACAGCTTACTCAACAGCATGCATGCACTGGACACCAGTGCCGTGAAGTTCCAGTCATTCATTTGTTCATTTTCATACCGGCCATGTCCTACCGTACGTCTGCGACTCTCAAAAGCTCCTCGAGGTCGCTACGTACACCAGTTATTTATGCAGTACTATCAAGGTATTTGGTTGAAGGCAATTCAGATCATGTGTGCCGTCATCAGAGTAGATGCCTGCAATCTTGCATTTGAAAAAGTTCTATATAGTCGGGCATTCATTCAAAGTACCGCATTCTGCCAAATGCACAGGGTCGCAGAAGGCCATGCCCGCAGACGCAGATTGTGTGCTGTATTGACATGACATGCGCCACCTATTGCGCCAACTTGTACCAAGCTTGATACGAATTCCTTTTTGTGACACGACTGTGGAAATTTGTCTGCGTTTTCGTGTCGGGCCCCGTGAAGGCAATTCCATCTACTCCGCAACCCCCCAAACCGCATCGGGTGGGCCGTCTACGATGCCCCCTCCATAGCTTACTTTGTTTCTTACAAGCCGTCATCTTCGTGAGTTCATTTGACTGGTAGCATTTGGCTGAGAGATTCTAGAGCTTGTGGCGGGAGCTGGTCAGCACCACGCTATGTTTTCGATGATGCGTCTTGTCGCACCTCACGTCTTCTCGTCGGCATAGGAAATGATAGATATCACACCGCGTGTGACTTCGATGTGTCCAATTCAAACTAGCCAGCCCAAGTCTACGCCTGTCTCTCTACGCACGAGACGCCTGTTATGTACCACCATGCGCAGAGCTTCAGAACCCCTGGTCCTTGTTCGTCACATTTCGATCTTTTCCCTCCCCTCATCTGCGGGTACCGTTCCCAAGTCTTGTCCAAGTCAAGTTTGTACTAGACGGAGATCCGGTAGCGCTTGTACTGCTGTATACGGGTGGGGTGACTGCGGCGGCGGGTCTAAGAGGCTTATCGTAGGTGGCTCAGTTCGATGAAGGATCACGTAGAGAATACCTTGCGGCGATGTGCATTCGGGAGGATCCTATTGATGTCAGCCTAGGCGTTGTGTATCTTTGAAGCTCCCACCTTGCACAGCGAAAGGACTTACTTGATGATGGCTACTGATTCGATGTCGAGCATGACACTTGTGAACAAAGAACGGGTGTATCCATTCTGCGGAGAAAAGAGTCGCCATGGCTTGCGGGATGATTATGCTTTTCGAGCGTTTGGCGGAAAACGCGTACCAAGCGCAATGGGTAGACATAAGTGGATCTCTACAGGCGGCCGCACGCTAGCGTCTGGAACAGTATTATCACCTACAAACAGTTTCACTGAGCGACTTTCTCTCCAAGACGTCCATATCCCTCCTCAATCCGCCCCAACACGTCTTTCCAAAGACAGATCCACCACTACCACACACCCCCATGGCCACCACTATCTCTCCTTCGGCAGCGGCCCGCCCTACCAACATCAAAGATGCGCTCGAAGTCTTGCTGCTGTGCTTCGAAGCCGCAGCAGACGCCTTGCCTCCCTTCCCCCTCGCATATGCCATGGCCGTTGCGCCTGAGGCCACTCCGACGAACATCCCCAGCCTCGTCATCTGGCAGATCGAGGACCTGAAAACAAAGCCTCCATCCTATTCCGACTTTGGGTCACTCTGCGCCTCCTTCCCGCCACAGAGTCTGCCCGCGGCCCTCGCACGCTGGAACATGTGCGACTACTTCGCAATCCTCCTGATTGACGAGGTGAGGAAGAAGATGGATGAGTACTTTGGTGCTGAGGTCGACTGGTGGCAGATTGTCCCCAGACCTGAGCTTGGCCTGTTTACCTGCAACGAAGAGAAGTTTTTGCCGCGGGGCCATTCTGTCTTGGTTATCACAGAGGCCAACGGCGTGGTCAGCGTCATGGATGGAACGCCAGAGCAATTCCATTGGGACCGCTCTACCTGGCTTCTCCTTGGGAATGATTTCCAGGCACGCATCGGGGGAATATGGGGCATCAATTCGGAAGCTCACATGCGCCAGTGTGAGGACAGTCTCGGGCTCTTCCCGAAAGGTCACTGGAGCGTGGCGCGAAAGCGCATGAACGTACTTTTTGGCGAGCTCGACTGGAGCCTTCTTTTTTTGTTGTCGAGCGAGGATCGTACGGCCTCGGTAAAGGCACAAGCTCAGTTGGCCTTCGCTGGCATGCACAGGATTGAAGAGACATTGGAGTAGATATTCTGTTGAGATAGGTCGACAGTATCAAATGTATGATTATTGGGGACTACAATGAGATTCCTCATCTATGCATTACAAACTCTGAATCATGGCGCCGTTGGGGCCCATTTGCTCTTAGCTCTGATCTTAGCACCGTATATGTAGAACAGAACAGGTACTGGAAGGAAGACAACGCAAATGAATCCGAGCAGACTTGAGGCCCATGGAACGCCCAAGGTATGGTACATTGTATGTGTGAACAAAGGGAAGAATGCGCCAAAGAAAGATCGTATGAAGGTGTTTACAGCGATGGCGCTGTTGGAGTAGAAGCCATAGCAGTCGATGAGATAGCTCATGCCTTGCCAGAAAGGCACCATACATCCCAATCCGATAAGGGCGATAGATAGCACCTGGGGAACCCATGAAATGTTCGGGTTACTAGTCCATGCGAACCAGAACAGACCGACTGGAAGTGCAATGGCTCCAACAATCATAGGTGGTAGGCGCTCCTCGGGTATGGTTTTGCCATATTTGACATAGGCGCGTGTAAAGTTGGTGGAGGTACTGTAGGCGATTAAGCCAGCACCCATGATGATGCCGACAATGAAGGATGCGAACGGTAATTGAGAGACTCCCAGGGACCAGCCACGCTCTTCGTAGAAAGATACTGGAAACTGCATCATTGTCAGTACGGCCATGTTATTCAGTGATAGTTGACATACAGCCTCGAAGAGAAGATACACAATACCATACAAGAAGCTCATGTATGCGGTGATGAGGGCTAAGATTGGCTCTTGGGAGAACATGATGAAGGGTCTAAGCAGATAAACATTGACCACGTTATGTATCGTCAGCTTGTTTTGGTCTGCTTTCGAATAGTATTGAGAGTTCCCCGTCTCTTTGCGTAGTTTCGCTGCGCGTAGTTGCAAGATCCTGGCTCCAGAAGTCTCTGGTATCACAAACAGACCTATTGTTCCGAGAAAGGCAGCCATGATGAGAGTGATCCATGAAGTCCATCGCCAGCCCAGGTGCGATTCTGTTATGAAGCCGCCCGCAATGGGGCCTGCCACTGGTCCAGCAAATCCACCCGCTGCAAATACGCAGATCGCGTAGGATCTGGGTATGGGGTCCCAGAGATCGGCAAGGGCTCCTCCGACGACGGCTAGGGGTGCGGACGCGAAGAAACCACCCAGAAACCTTCCGACGCATATAGTCGTGATATTTTGCGCAAGAGCTACAGGTATTTGGAAGATGGCGAACAGGGCGAAGCCGAAGAAGAGGGGTATCTTGCGTCCAAGGACTTCAGACATGGGTCCAAAAGCGATGGGTCCAAATACGAATCCGAGCACGAACAGTGCGACACCAAGAGTTGCTGTGACGAGCTTGACGTCAAACTTTTCTTGTACGACTCCAATGTTGACACTAAAGATCGAGCTGGCGAAGGTGACGGTGAAAACCAGAAGACCCATGGATATCGTGATAGCCCATCTCCGCTTCGTAGTCCAATTCTTTGGGTTCCCGGTGTCGTTTGGTCCTTCGAACTCGACTAGGTAGTTTTCCTTGGTGGTTGGGAGAGTTTCGTTGTTGCTGCGACCATTTTCAACATCTGAGTGTGCTTGGTTCGAGTCGCTGGGTGTCTCAAAGCTTCTCTGTGATTTCTCATCTTCGGTCAGCGCTGGATCTAGCACGTTGTTCGTGGGAGGTGCGGTTGTTGCACTGGACATGGCGGCCATCGTGTTGGCGTTGATCAAGGCACCTGAGTTCAAGGTCGAGAAAGGGCGAGTTCGGGTATTTGTAGTCAATCAGTAAAGAATGCGAAATGTCGTTATTCCCGGAGGATGTGGAGTCAAGCGTCCTGGGACCCAGAAAATGGGTCTAGCGGCTCTGCGAAAGCCGAGCTGTGGATCGCGTGTCGGAAGACATGTCAATAACACCAGGCGATGGAAACATCACAGTTGAGCACCACCACAGGTCGCAACGATCCTTGTATGTTTTGCAGCAGAGCTGAGCGATAGTACATCAGGCCGCTCATAAGCAGACTATGAAACGATGAGGATGTTTCGAGGTTGAAAAGCTTTTGCATAGCTGGGTATGATGTTATCCCCTATCTCTAGTGTTATTCCAAACGATTGTGGCACCTGGTCGCAGAGAAAAGTTGCCGACGTCATGCATTGTCGGGTGGCGCACGACAAGTCCGATATCTCCGACAACGCCTGCAGCATAACGCATCGATACATCTACGTCAAGTACGTAGAAGTTGCAATAGTATATGATCGCTATCATTAACCCGTCTGGCTACCTTGCTACCGACTGCTCACCGTTGCTTGAACCGTTGCTTGACTTTATTTGTCTTACCATTGCTGAAGAAATTTATTGCACGTCTCTCCTTGTCGTAGTCCCTGATATGTTTAAGCTCGCGCAATGGCCCATGCACCTGTTGTACTTAGGTATTTGTCAAGGAATAATGTGCACTACGGTCGTGCAATCTCAAAGTTAGCAGTGCCCCTAGGCGAAGGCACTATTCATGCTCCTCCATTCCCGAGAACTTCTGCAAGGGCATCAGGATGGGTTAGCCGTCGTAGAAAATGTCGGAACTCTGTAGTGTCGATTACTCGCAGCTTTCTCCCAAGTTTGGAGCGAAACCCATCGATAGGAGATTTTCGAAGCCAAGTTCTTTGTTCCAGAATCCTTCTTCCTTC